CAAGACACCCCTTCACTATAGTGGCCTGGATCCATGGAATCTCGGCTTGTTGGTAGAACATCTGTTTTGCGTCGGCCTGTATCCCATCTTCGTGCTGAGTGGAGTTGCTTTGTTGTTTCGTCGGCCAACAATGCCATGGGGTATACTCCAGAGGACGTCTCATCTGCGCAGTCCGACAGCCAACCATTGGTTCTAGTTGACATCGGCGTTGATTCTTGTGAAGGGGTATGCTGGTGGAGTGCGTATCCCATTTATATTGAGGAGAAGAAGAGTCTGCTCCCCGCTCCAAAACAAGGGCCACAGCTAGAGTTAATAGGGCCAAGGCAGAGGTATTTAGATATTTGAGGTCGACGGGGTGCCTTCTCAACCACAGACTCATGTCCCAGCATTCATGTTGTGATTTAGGAGACTCTGAAGGAGAAGAGCATGAAGACCCAGAGTCGGACGCGGAACGGCCCTGGAGTGCAAAGAAACGCCATGTTGAAAGCTTGGTTGGGGTTATCGAGTACCGGTTTGTGGTTACTAGCGAGGCAAAAATGAGTGAGTTGGGAACAATATTATACAGCAGGCCCAAGAAGAAGATACAAAACCATTCTCGATCATTCATGTAGCTCGGGGAGGGAAGGGGGCCAAAACTTCAATCTAATAAGCAAAAATATATCGTAGAGCTTGAGTGGGAAATGGTCATTGCTCAATTACGTCGGTTTTGTATTACCTCTTGTTATCGATTAATATAATTTTCATAGTGTACCGTTTTATATAACCATCCATTAGACCACATGCGTTAGACCCATATATATTAGGCAAGGGGATCAGTTTTGCGAGAGGCGGAACTCCACAGCTGATATGGAATCATTCCGACACGTAAATTATCCAAGAAGATTCTTTGCTAATACTGGGAGTTTCTAGAAGACCGGTGAGGTGAACTATACCAAAAAACATACCAAAAAATCAAACTAGCCGAGGCCCCACCACTTGTCAACAAAAAGCCCAGTGCAAAATATAGGGCGTTTTGTTATTTGTTATTTGTTATTTGTTATTTTTTATTTTTTATTTCATACTTGTTCAGGGTGGAATTTGACTCAAATGCCCTTGGAATGAAAGCCTTTTGGTTTGAGTAAAGCTCGAGCCAAATTGGTATCAAGGTGGTCGGGCAAATGGCTGGGAGACGCGACGAGGTGACCGGTGATCAATTTCGTGACAGTAAGTGGGGGGTTAGGGGGCTTGCATTTTCTGCTGGGAATTGTATGAATTGTATACCCTAGTACCTTCGTACTTCGTACTAGAGTATTAGCTATGTACGAGCTTGGAGAAGCTGCCTAAATTTCACTATTGGATCCCGATACTTGAATAGGCCGACAATTTAGGAGGGAAAATAAGTTGTCCTCATATTTTTGAAATCATCCCAGGGGCTACATGCTAAATAAAGTCAAATTTGAAGTCATGAATACCATTCCTGACACATCCTTAACCCCGGTTTACTGTCTCGCGTAGGGTCACGTGATTTGAGACGCGGACGCGCAGTGTATATGAGTTGACAGCACGAATTTAAGATGAAACAAACCTTTAATTCGCGCCTTTTCACGTTTTCATCTCTCAATTTACAAGTCACTAGTTGTACAATACCTAAAGGTAGCAATTGAAATCGCGAACCTGTAGTGGAGCGTGGTTGGCGCCTATCGAACGCGTCTCGGACTGTAAGCGTGCATTTCCGCGCAGGACGAGACCCTCCGCCCCAGTGCATTCCACCACCACACCCTTTCGACCTTTTTCTTCAATGCTTCTCCTCCTTACTCCTTGACCAATTTCTTCCCTCCCACCACATCTTTTTCTCTAGGGGAGGCCTTGACGCCTTTCTCTTCTTTAAAATCCTCTAGGTTCCTCTCTGTGTTCGTATAACACGCGGAGACGCGGGTCCTCGACCTCGACTCAGGTTTTTTTTTTTTCGTGAGTAGGAGTGCTCGTTCGACTTCGTCCCACCTTTTTACTATGGAGTCCTCTCCGTTGAAGAGCCGGGTTGGCTCGATCTTGGGCGTCAAACGTCCTGCAGCCCTACTACCTGCCTTTGAGCCGAGCTCGTCGCCCTCCCTTCCTCGGCCTCAAAAGCGTGTAGCACGCGAACCAGATATCTCGACGTATCCCACCCCGGTCCCGACCTCGTCGACCCATATCATGTCCTCTTCGCCTCCTCCTGGCGTCGCTGCCTCCCGACCCTCCCTCCCACGGTCCTTCTCTGCTGCCCTCGAACGCGCTCCCTTGTCTGCTGTGCCGGCGATAATGTTGTTGGAGAGTGGGGAGCCCATTCTGATGGGCAGATCTAGTGTCTCATGCCATCACCAGCTTGCTGCTAGTCGCATGATCTCCCGTGTTCATGTCAAGGCTACATATAAGCCGGCTCCGAACCCATTCGATCGGGATAGGGTGGAAATCGTGTGTATGGGATGGAATGGGATAAAGATTCACTGCCAAGGGAGGAAATATGATCTGGCCAAAGGCAAGACCTTTACCTCGGACATTAAAGATGCAGATATCATGATCGATGTTCATGAGGCTCGTGTTCTGGTCCAATGGCCTCGCAGCGAACGGAGGGACTGCCCATCTACCGACTCGGAGCAGACCAGTGATGAAGCAACACCAACTCAGCGACGCCAGTCCCGACGAGAGCTGCAGGAAAGTCCGCTCCTGGATCGCCAGCGTCTGGCATCGCCTGTCTCCCCTTCGCCCGCTGTTCAGCATGCCATCCCCCCATCCTCGCCAATTTTCACTCCTTCTCGTTCTCGTGCTGCAGTAGTGGTATTTGAGGATGAGCCCTCTCCATTGAAACGTCACAACACTGTCACTGGGGTGATTTCCCAGAGTGCCCGTCGTGCTACTGCTATGCTTCACAATTCGCGGGCAAGCGAGTTGAGTGATCTGGGTAGATCTGAAGAGTTCTCCGATAATGACGAAGAGAATGATCCTATCATCCACTCCTTCGGACCATTCGGAGAGAACCTTCTTCCTCGTATGGCTTCTTTCCGGGCAGGTGAATCCCCCGTTCAGACCGCTCGTTCTCCTCGCAGCCTGCTGCCCGCCCAACCTCTTCAGCCTACCCGGTCCCCTAGACAGCCAGCCACCGTCCACGAGGACAGGGAATTTGAGAGTTCCGAGGCCAAACCCCAGTACACTGACGAACGGTCTGAGAAAGTCCGCAACCACGCTGCCAATCAACTCGCCTTCTCTCGATTGTCCTCCACGCCCTTCTCCACCATCTTGAACAACCTCCCTCCCGCGTACTGGAAGTCCGGTCACGAGTACCCCACCGGCCTCTCCAAGTCTGATATCCGCAACATTCTCGAATCGACCAAGTTTATTGGTAGAGTTGCCCGCGAAGGCAAGGACGCCGCTGGCAAGCCACTTGAGAGTGAATATTACTACGTTCCCGATGAGGATGACGATGTTATGCGGCGGTCAGCTGTGGTGGATGATCTTCGGAAGCCTGGCCTGCGCAACTGCCGGAAGCAGCACAAGGTAAGTACCCCTCCATGCCCTATACATACATCAATGTACCCGAACTCTCACTAACTTGTTTCTAGCAATACTTCTGGCGCAAGCCCAAATGAATCATTGACCGAAAAAAGTTCCTATGTCTTTCCGCCATCGGATGGACTTTCTCAGTACATATTTCCAGTGATTCTTGGTCTCCCTGGCTGCTAGGGAGACTCGCATAGCGTGGCGTGAGGCATACCCTGATTTTAATTCATTATTATCAACATCCTTGATTTTTTGTTTGTGTTTTGTTTCTGCTTGTTTCTTATTTTCTCGTTATAGCATCGACGTGTACGATTTTCTGGTCTCCAAAAGGCACGTGTATATCGTTTTGGTCGGGCCTTGGATATCCCAAGTTGGCTTCCAACGCGTCATGTTTCTTTCGGCCGTCATTGGACGTTTTGTTTGCCCTAGAGATCAGTTATTCTGGTACTGGCTCTCATGTGTTGGGTGTCTCTTTGGAGAGATGCTTGGCCAGCTTGACCTTCCGTGTCTCCTGACACTATTCAAGTCATGCGCGTTTCGCGTACTATATGTATCCTATTTCTGCTTTTGCCTCGTTGGTTTTGCCATTTTGTCAGTCTGCTTTCCAATGGTTGAACGCACTCACGACTTGTACGTTAGCTAGTCAATTCCAATATATTTGTTCGAACGATTTGTTACCTTCATGCTGTATGGAATGCAGCGGTGTAGTACCTAGACAGCTGTCATGTCTCTCACCAGCTAGCAGAAATGAAATCTGTTTGATAATGTAGCATTGTAATCAGTCATGCTATGAGCATAGTGGGCTCATTTAGTCAAAGCATTCAACTCGCCTGGAACCAAGGTGATACAGCAGATGCTTGCTGCAGGGGTTTGCCATTACTGTCTCGATATCCGAGGTTCATGTACAAACACAGCCTTCGACAAACTCTATAATAATAGAATACTCGGCCCGCTTATGCGGTCTTGTCATGTCTTCTTCTTGGGCTTTTTAGATGTCTTTTTAGGTGTATATGAAGGTGGTAAAAAAAACATACTTTGTGCAAGAGACCTTTCTATGTATAAATTTTGATATGTTGTCATTGTGTTCGGAGGAATTGATGATGCTCCTTTGCACCCTTACCATGCATATCGCTCGTCCTACTCGAGATAGCCTGATGTCTTCGCCACCCGCACGTCATACCCACCTCCGCCCGAATGCAGATGAACTACTTCCTTGTGCCTTGTGAGAGGTTCTCTTCACACGTATCATTTGTGAAAAAAAACCCCCACTAGGATCTCACTCATTGCCACACCACACCATCGGATTTTGAACACCCCGCATTGAAGAGGTATAAAAAGACAAGCAGATGAGCTGCGAACACCACATCACAGATTCCCAATATCTTTTAATCTTTTTCTATAACACGTGAAGCTAGCTCCAAACAAGTAGCTGGCAGCCATCATACCTCCCAATCTCGACCTTACACTATCTGCCTACGTCACTCAGAATGGCATCAAACAATCACAATGATAGCCACGGCAAAATCCCGAATACCGGCAAAGAACACACCATCACTCCTAATCCTTTAAACGATACCACTGGGTCATCAGGTCCCAATCGAGGAGACACATCTCTGAAGAAGTCCTGGAAGCCGACTTTTGATCGTCAACGTAGCTGGAGTAACGAGGACCGCAAGCACAAACTGCAGGAACGACTGCACGGGTCGGAAAAGGGAAAAGAGATGGGATTCACAGAGGCGCATAGTGGGGATTAGGATGGTTTGAAACAGCATTTAGTGCTGCGATGATCGTCCTTTGATGCAGGGTTATAGCACATGGTGGGACCTCAGAAGTGGGGGATTGGGGGGCAATAGAGGATAGGCTTTTAAATTGAGAATCACAAAAGGTATTGAAATTCAAATTAAAACCTGAAAATTGAAAGAACGAAAACGAGAAAGGTTCTCAATAGATGGAAGTAATGAAGTAACTGAGTTGAAGTACAAGAAGTTATCGCACAAGTGTCGGGGGTGGATAAATGGATAAGCAAATAAAAGTCCGCCTTCACCTCCGCTCCGCCTTGGACCTTTGGACCTTTGGACCTTCAACCTGCTCTCATAGCTTCTCTTCACTTCAAAGCTTTGAGCTTTGCCCTGTTCTCTTATCTTTTCTTTTCCCCCAATGTGGCATTCACGTCACTTATGCGCTTTCCTCTCGGACATTCAGAAAGGACCCCACGATTGAGCCTGTGATACACAGCCATGGATCGCCAACGTAAAAGTACGGTCTACTGGACCTCACCTTGGAGATATTCACTGACGTTTGACTTTTTTATTTGCAGGGGAGCTTCGCGACCTAAACGAGCGAGCCTGGGCGGGCGAATCTGGTAAAATCCCATCCGCCTCCCTTTATGACGAAATGTCATTGCAGCCCACCTTTGAGGTGATTCTAACGACTTGCAACCAGATGTATTCTCCACTAGCAAGTCCCTTGACTCGGCGCTCAAAAAGAACACTGCCTTCATCAAACGTCTACGCACCGGCATTAGTGCCTCCGCCCTTTCCACTTTCCTCGCTGATATCCGCACCCTCTCGCTCCACAAGTACCTTTCCGAGATCATTTCCGCCTGCTACGAAGGCCTCTGCAAGCTCAAATCCCCCGGAGAAATTGCCGCTGGAGTGGAGGTTGTTAGTGCGCTGCATCAGCGTTTCGGGCCCTGGGAATTTACACGGCAGATCGGTTGGCTGCTCGGCCGGGGACTGAGCACACCGGATAAAGCGCAGCTCAAGGCGCTCAGCCAGGAGATCCGCGAGCGCGAAGAGAAAGACCGTCTGTCTCGGCACCGTGTCCTTCTCCGCGTTGTTACAGAGCTTTGGCTGGTCAATGTGCTGAAGACTCTCGATGACGTCGAGCGACCTGAGGAACTGGGTGCGAAAGGTAAAGAGGGTGCAGTTGGAATTGGGAATAAGCCGTCCGATGCGCCGCTGAAAGCCAAGACGCTTGCAACGGGCGCGAAGGACCAGGACAAACAGGCTGACCCGTTCCCGTTGGAGGTTCTGAAGGAATTGCTCGGCCACGACCGTGATCATACGAACCTGCCTCTTGCAGTCTTGTTTGTGAAGAGTTTTAGCTGGGATATCGTCGGCTCGAAGCTTGCCGAAGACGGCAGGAAAACCGTCGAGGCGGATGGCGCTACTACGACTTCTGGTGCGGATGCGCAGACTACAGAGACTAATGGAGATGTCGAATCTGAGACCGATTTGCCCCTGACGCCGGAGAAGACTCAGCAGCGGTTTAGAAATATTTTGAACCGGTACCTTGAGGATGTCAAAGCTCACGTGGTTCGAGATCAGAGAGCGCTGGCACAGCAAAACCGCCGGAATGCCGAAGCATACGTGAAAAGTGGCGAGATCTTTGAGGACCGCCAGGCTAATTTCGAGAAGCAGTCCAAGGTCCTCGAGAAGCTCGTGGCCAATACCCAGGTGCTGTGTGAGGCTTTGGGAACTGACATGCCTGATTTAGCCGAGAAGGAACCCACCGATCCCTCTGCTAGTGGTGGCATTGGCCTTGTGAAGACTACCGATTACCTACGAGGCCAAGGTGAAGGTGCCGGGATCTGGGAAGACGAGGAGGAAAGACGCTTCTATGAGAATCTGGTCGATCTGAAGGGCAAGGTACCTGCGGTCTTGCTCGAGGATGGCAAAAAGAAGAAGAGCGAAGGTGAGGAGTCAGGTAAAAAGAAGGCAGATGGCGAAGCCGCTGACTCTGAGGCTTTGGACGAGAAGTCTGCTGCGGAAGCTGATGACCAGTCGACTGCCATTGCCAGCAAGACTGTGGGTGCGCAGGTGGACTCCCTTCTTGCCAAGCTCCCTGAGTTGCAAACCAAAGATCAAGTCGACCAGTTTGCTCTTGATTTCTGTTGGGTCAACTCTAAAGCATCTCGAAACAGGCTAGTCAAAGCCGTATCGGACATCCCCAAGGGTCGCATTGATCTTTTGCCTCTGTATTCTCGCTTGGTGGCAACGCTTGGACAGTACCTGCCAGATATTCCACAGGGACTGACCACGTACCTGGACGAAGAGTTCCGAAGTCTGCAGCGGCGCAAATCCAAGGAATTCCTCGGTCAAGTACGCATGAGCAATGTTCGCTATCTAGCTGAGTTGACCAAGTTTGGTGTCGTTCCGGAGCACATCATTTTCCATTGCTTCAAGGTTTCGCTTGACGAATTTTCGCGGATGAACATTGAAATTATCGGCCATTTGCTAGAGAACTGCGGCCGTTACCTTCTGCGCAATCCCGAGTCATCACCCCGGATGGCTTCTTTCCTCGAGACCCTGAGTCGCAAGAAGACCGTGCAACATCTGGCCCAGCAGGAGCGGATGGTTATCGAAAATGCCATCTACTACGTTGACCCGCCACCACGCCCGGCTATTCAGCAGAAGGAACGTACGCCCATGGAGCAGTACATCCGCCGGCTAATCTACCTAGATATGAACAAGCGGAATTACACCAAGATCTTGAAATCCATCCGCAAACTTCACTGGGAGGAGCGAGAGGTTGTTGAGATCCTGGAACGCGTGTTCAGCAAACCGGTCAAGGTGAAATATGGCAGCATTCACCTTTTGGCAATTCTTGTCAGTGCTTTATACCGGTACCACCAGGATTTCGTGATTGGCATCGTCGACAACGTCCTGGAGCAGGTCACGCTTGGCCTCGAGCAGAACGATTTCAAGTTTAACCAGAAGCGTATTGCGGAAATCAAATATCTAGGTGAGCTCTACAACTACAAGATGATCGATTCCCCCGTGATCTTCGATACGTTGTACCGCATTATCACGTTTGGCCATGAAGGTGGTACCCCGGCCCCTGGAAAAATCAGTATGCTGGACTTGCCAGACGACTACTTCCGCTTGCGGCTGGCGTGCACTCTTCTTGATACGTGTGGCCACTGCTTCGACCGTGGCTCTGCCAAGAAGAAACTGGATTTCTTCCTCGCGTTCTTCCAGTACTACTTATTTACCAAGGATCCGTTGCCCATGGATGTCGACTTCCTTGTCCAGGATACGTATCACTCTATTCGGCCGCAGTGGAAGCTTGCCACCGATGGTGAAGAAGCAACTCGAATTTTCAGCGAAGCTGTTGCCCTGAACTACAACGTGCCGGATTCCGAGAGACCGGTTGAAGCCGACGAAGAAGATGCGGAGAGCAGCTCTTCTGATGAGGACCTTGAGGAGGACGCTATTCCCGAAATAGACGAAGACCAGGAATCCAGCGACGAGGCCGAAGTAGGTCCCCCATCTTGTCTGCATGAAGTACGACCCATTAACCCGTTTAACCCGTCGAAGGCATCTGGACCAAATCCGGAGGCAAACGACGACAGCGATAGCGAGTCTGAGGACGAACAAATTGTTGTCACTAGACAGGAAGAGGAGCGAGACCCAGTAACCGAGGCTGAATTTGATCGAGAATTCGAGAAGATGATGGCTGAGAGCATGGACTCGAGACGGTTCGAACGCAAGACAGTCTTTGATATTCCTCTTCCCATGAAACGTCTTCGCGAAAACATGCCCAACGATTCCAGCCCTGAGCCAGTCCCAGCGGAACCAGTTGCGCCTAAGACAATGGCCTTTTCCCTGATGACGAAGAAGGGAAACAAGCAACAGGTAGGACTTTCTATCTACGGAAATATTATGCACATTGCTAATTATATCTAGACCCGCACCATCGATCTCCCATCGGACTCGACCTTTGCTGTTGCCATGCGGAGCCAGCAACAAGCTGATCGGGAAGAACAGCAGCGCATCAAGAACCTGGTCCTGAACTACGAGGCGTCGACCGAACCCGAACCCACCGAGAGTGAGCAATATCCCCTGGTTAACCGGAAGAACTTCCAACTGAGATATTCCAAAGCAGCAACCCAAGAAAAGCGCACCCCTACTGGCCAGCGAATGGACAAAGCCGGCGCGAACCGGTCCGCCTTCCGTTCCCGCAAACTCCAGCTCAGCGACGTCAATTGGTAATGAATGCTGCTACTATGTGGACAGAGGTCCATATTCCATATCCTCACTTGACACAGCAGCCAGCGCTTTTCTCCCGGAAGGTTTCCATCCCACCATGGAACAATTCTTTCCTCTCTGCACTGCCTAGTGTGAAAACTCTTGGTTCAACCCAATGAGCTTATCTATGGTATACATCGCACACAACGCGAGTATGCAATGCCGTATGAGTATGACCAGGGATCCGTTCTTACTAATGGAACCTACCCCGTCGCGAATGCCATCGAAATGGATGCATTCCTGTTGCTGTTCGGGATTCTTCTTTTATCACTTTCCCGTCCTGGATTGGGCGGAGAGCTGAAGGTTCCTCATCCCCGCATACAGAATCCCGATTTCCGGCATGGTCGCCAATCATCAATTACCATGGCTAAAGACACCAGATATCACCACTTTGCTGCCCTCTTGTGAAGATCGTACGCCATTCGATCTAGGGTGATGGGTCAAATGACTCGGAGAATTAGAGAATCAGTCAACTAAATGGACACACAAATATGAATGCTATGCCGTGGATGTATCTCTTAGACACGATCTCTATTCTTTAACAGTTGTACTCAATGTAATGTATTTCTTTGCACCAAGTAAATGAGACCAAGTAAATGGGACACAAACATAGGATGATTTGCATGAAGTAAAGGTGTTTCCCTCTAACTCTCTTTATTATCCCACACAGAAGCCTTTTGTACGGGCTATGATATTTGTCCAAAAAGACCACCCGAAAAGAAGTCCTACGTTGTCAAGGACAGAGGTCTGAGCGGCCAGCCCTTCTTGTAGTCAAGTACAGTTCTTCTAATGCTTCATTTTCGTCGATTAGATCCCTGGATAACATTGATACGTTGGGCGAAGATCTCAATCGAAGCAAACTAAGCAGGGCTATCGGATATATGGGTAAGGATTAAATCCCGGAGGAAAGTAGCTTTGGTTCTTTTATTGTTTCTCCTAACTCCTATGGTCCTCTGGGTCTCTTTGTGTGATATCTCTAAGGTAATATCTGCACTTTTCTGTTGTTACACTTCACATTATAATATCTAGAGTGGTCTGGGAACATCCTGTTATCCTCCTCTCGCCGCCTACGTCCTCTAGACGGTCGGAGATAGTACTGACGCACCCGCTTCCCTAGTACACATCGGTGACATTCTGTTGATGCATTTGGTACGATGTATCCTTACGGAGCACACATATCCAGCAGCATGCTATGGCACGATTAGGTTGCACGATGGCCTAAAGTGCTAGGCTCCGCGATATCTAGGTGCAAGGAAATTCTGGTGGATAAGGTCTCTTACCTCGTGTTCGTTTTCCGAAACCCCAACGGCACTTACAAGGGACTGGTCGTAGTATGGCCACAAAAGAAGAGTTCTTATTATAACTGTTGTATCTCCACACCCAACTCTCGACATACATTTGATAGCTTCTCTTCCTCCCAAGATACAGGACTGTCTGGCAACACATGTTCAAAAATCTGCGTCCCAGCATTTTGCACCACCTGCTCAATCCCGCGGCCGTTAGTGAAGGACCAGACTCTGACGTATCGACTAGCAAAGTCCAGCACAAAGGCGTCACCAGCCGCGATCACTAGGGTTTGGCCCTCCCGGACTTCACTCCACGAATCGCCACTTGACCTGAGTTTGACACGCAGAAGACCTTCTTGAACACAAAAGCAGTGGTCCACAGTGGGGAAGCTCAGCCAGCGACCTAGGGGTGTTGACTTGTATACCTTGGATGATTCAATACTGGCGATGGAGAACTTGCCGCTGCACTGCGATGAGAGAATGAAGGGTCGCGACATAACACCACCCAACAGCCACCGCGGTCCTGTATTTGCGCGAAGGAAGTACGGCTCTCCCGGGGCTGGCAATGTGTTCTCCGTATCTAGCCAGTTTCCAACATCTGGTGGCTGGTAATCGCGCTTAAAATGGACGTCGAAGCGGTCCTTGGCCACCATCATCTTCTCTCCTAGCATGGCATCAAGATTGCGATTATCATTTTCAGGAACGACGATACCCTCATATGTCTCGCCGACGTATCTAAAGAAGTCGATCCAGTCACCTGGCGCCACCAAGCCGATAGTCTCGGTATGTGGCCCAAGTAAAACAGGATTATGTATAAACCTCTTCTACATGTAAGCCGTCTGTGCTTTTTTGATCCTTAGAGAACACTGACCGGAGGAACGTAGGCAAAGTCACCAGGGCCCATAATTCTACATTTATCGCCATTCCACAACTTTAAAAACCCTTTGGTCACAAGGAAGATATCGTGCGCCTCCTCATGCCAGTGGAAGCCCGGGGCATCAGACAGGACTGCACCGCTGGAGAAGACGGCAATTCCACCGTTGGTTTGTTTAGATGAAGCCAATATTCTAAACACGCCTTTGCTTCCAGGGATACTAATGCGTTCCCCCTCTAACTGATCAATGATGTAGCTCGTTCTCCCTTCTGGGGGAATGGAATGAATGGGGACGCTCATTTTGCAGGGAGATGTTGATGTTGACAATTTCGAAGCTCATATAACCTGCCATAGCTGTAGCGCTGCTTCTTTATACATATGATCTACCGGAACATGTCCATCCGGTCTCCATAAAGTACATGCGGGGTCAAGTAGGTCGGAAAAGCCGCGCTCTTGTCACTTAGGACCGGAATTTCCGATTCCTCATCAAAAAAGCTTGGCCGGAACCTTCGGTCCACACGATAGCAGGGACCGAGGGAAATGAAAGAATAGCCCCCTCATCTCTGATGACAAGTTTTTCTGTCACGTCTGGTGGCAAGTTAGGATTCACCATGGATAGTCCAGCATGCTTTCAGGCTATCTACAAGCATGTAGGTCAACAGAAGATTGATGTAGATGTTTATTTGCCTTCGTCGCGAAATTCCAAAAGACCTGTTTGTATGTCAATACCCCTCTCAAAATCTATGGCCATTATAGTCTGGCGTGTGTACAGTTAGACACACCGACTGACACCAATTAGTGATCAATATTCATGGGGGCGCGTTCATACTCGGCTCGTCAAAGATGGTCAATAGGGACCAAGTACAAGATTGCGTCAACCGAGGATGGATTGTTCTCAGCCCCAACCATCGCCTTTGTCCGCAAGTCAATATTTTAGAGGGACCTATTCAAGATTGTCGCGACCTCTTGGCTTGGGTGTATGATGGTGGACTGGAAAGGGATATCAACGAGACCACCCAGTCGCGTGTCATCCCGGACCTCGATCGTGTCTTTGCTTTTGGCACGTCCTCGGGCGGCACTCTAGCCCTTTGCTTGGTGAGTTACCAAATTTGGAAAAGCAGAAATAATGCGCCATAAACCATCCATGGCTAACAATAGCTGTTTTTGAAGGGATTCGGAGTCCCTCGGCCGGTGGCTGGTATATTTGACATGTACGGGCCGTGTAACTTCTCAGACAGCTTTTGGACAACAAAGCTACCCCATCTCAAGGTTCCTGCAGGGCTATCAGACTCCTTCATGAACAAGGTATTTGAAGAATGTCCAGTCCCTATTACAGGAGGCGTGTCTCTTGAAGGCCAGTCCATTGGTCCTCCCGACTTCAGTGACCCACGACAAGCATACGCCTTGACGCGACTTGCCAATGGTACACTTTTAGACGCCATCTTCCCGTCCAAGGACTGGGATAAGGTAGATCCTGCTCGGAATATCAGCTCCTATTTCCCACCCACTTTCATCGCGCATGGAACGGCGGATTCGAAAGTACCCATTGGTGTGAGTATGGAGTTGTTCCGGATATTGAAGGACCATGGTGTTCACTGTGGTATGAGCGAGGTTCCGGAGGAAGACCACACATTTGCTTCTAAGATGCAGGTTGGATCCCGAACGTGGGAGCTCCAGCGTCTTGGGTTTGACTTTTTAGAATCGCTGGTTTAAATATACTACAATATACGTGAGATTCAGAAACAAAGTTCAATGAGCAGTGCTTTAATGTCATCATTCCCGGGTTGTATACCACTTCTCATTTTTAACGCAAACGTTGGATGAGAGGAGCCAAAAATCAACAGAACACAGTATATACACTCAATAAAAGCATCGGTCAACACCATACGACAGAATAAGGCGTTAGTCCGTACGGCATAAATCCAACAGGAATGGATCCTCCAGAACGGCATTTTCTACTACCTTAAAAGCGTCATAGCCATAGAGCCACGGCTGAACTTGGGGACAAGTCCATTTGCTAGGGAAGGGCCCTTGGATCTTCGATTTGCCGAGCTGCGATAGGAATATTTTGTCTCGTGCTTCCTGCTCTGGGCCGTCTGCCATGTGAAAAGAGTCTCGCTATCATACGGCTGGTCAGTGGACGTATTTTTATAGCTATGGATCAAGTCTCAGCGGCTAATAATTACCTGCTTGAAAGTTTCCTTGACGATAGCATCACCCCGGGCTTTGCGCAAGTCTTCGTACATCTTCAAAGCTTTGGGTAATTGGTCTTTCGATCTCAAGTGTCCTAAGATCAGACCTAAAACAGCACCATCCTCAACAGCTGAGTTGGCGCCCTGGGCTAGATACGGTAGCATTGGGTGACAAGAATCACCACTGTAGAGGCCAAGGACAGTATGAGTTAGAAAAAAATGCATCATCAGGAGCTGGGAGTAGACAGAATTGGTCTCACACAAAAACAAAGTTTGACTTCTCGTTGACCCAGGAGGGAAGCTCCTCCCCTAACATGAGCACGATTTGTTAGCTTCCAACCCATCACAGTATCGAGAAAGGTGCAAACAGACTATGCATCAACTTCCATTTGTCAACCTGGTCGATGACACTTAGAAATCTCCCAAGGAGGGGGTCCCAATCCTTGAAAAGTGCCTGCATTTCTTCGACTGAGCCAGCATGTCGACTGACTCCTGGAGGGAGATCATCGGGAACGAGTAAGACGATGTTATACATCGTACCACCACGCAAAGAATAGCCCACAGCATGTGCCCCAGGTCCGATCCAAAAGTGCACAGTCGGGTTGTTGACCCAAGATTTAAGCTCAGGGTCATCGAGCTGGTGTAGGTCTAGGACGACTCGATACGCCAGATCCCCAGTCGGCCGAGGCATATCCTCAGTCCCAAGAAGATTTGAGCGGCACCGTGACCATAATCCATCTGCTGCGACTACGAGATCCCCCCTCATTGTGAGGCCAGACTCAGCTGTCACGCTGGGCAAGTGGAAGTCAACATTAATGACCTTCTCCCCAAGCTTGAACTCAACACCTAGCTCTTTGGCTTTCTCGTACAGCGAGAGCTGCAGATCAACGCGATGTAAATCGATGAATGGAGCACCATACTGGCTACGGATCTTCTTATCGAAGTTATCCTCTCTAGCAAGCACCTTACCGGAGTAGCGGTGCACGATCAGAGCGCTAGGTTCGGCGGCACTGAGCCATAGTCTGTCAGGGAGCCCCCACCTCTGGAGGATGCGAGTGCAATTGGGGGTCACTTGCAACCCTGCGCCAACCTTTAGAATGGTTGGAAGTAAGTCTTATAGATTAATTAACGGGGATAGATGGCTAACCTCGAGGAGTTCTTTGGCCGACTCAAGTACCGTCACCCGGTGGCCGGAGAGGGAAATTGACACCGCTGCAGCAAGACCTGCAAGGCCTGCCCCGACAACAATAACATCTAATTGAATGATAGATTTCTTCTGAAACTCTGTAGAGTGAAGCTGTCAAATAGAAGTCAGTCGGAATGGAAAATCTCGACTCAATTGCTAAAGCAGTTGCATACTAACTAACCATTATTATGAGGGGCCGTAGAACAACGATACTGGGAATCAGAATGGAAGATTCAAAACTCGGGAAACGACAAGAGGCTTATGCCTCTATCACATCGATATACATCGGGGACTATAATGTGGCAGCCGGAAAACCCGATATGCAGGCGTGTGGAGGCTTTTCCATTCCCCGGCTTTTCCGGTTCTGAATACTCGGGGATTTTCCGCCACACAGCTTGACGAGATGGAAGCGTGAACCAACTGAAACTCTGTATTCCATGTAAGAAGCCATTCTATCTAACTACCTAAAGGAGTGATGTAGCCGACCGTAACCTTTTGACCTAATTACGTATCAGAAAAGATATCCAACTACCCTTCGCGGCAGTTTAAGGTGATCCAATGTAAACTTAAAACCAGACCAGGTTGTCTATAAAGACTAAAAACGAATCGTGGACCTTCAGGGTACAAGCCTAGACCTTGCCCAGAACGTAGGTGGGGGTAAGGTAGGGACGAAAAGTAGAAATTAGGAATTCATACGGAGTTCGCAAGGTCGACACGTGTCTCGCGCAAATATGGCGTTCCCCGCACTAAAGCATCATCCTTGAGTAGATCAGCTACCATCAAGTCCACTGTCTGTACTTTAAGGGAATGCAACCTCAGTTTGTCTACGCAGCTTTGAATAAATTTGGTACGGCATTTATTAAGATTTCTGTCTTGCAGGCTGCATAGGATCTATCGTTTTGGTCTATTGCAGTTAACTCTCACACATTGCAAAATCGTATCAAAATGGAGGGTCCGAGCAATCAGCGTTTGGCGAGGAATCCAGGCCAGCGTGCTCGGCGGCCTCGGGCAGCTCGTGCCTGCGATTACTGCAGGCAGAAAAAGTACAAATGCGATGAATTGTACCCCTGCTCCTATTGCAAAGGTTGGTCTTCACCATGCTATTCAGAATTGGCTTCCAAAGAAGCTTCAAACCGTCAACTGACAGCTGTGCAAGTTCGAGGTGTTGAATGTGTGTACAAGGGCCAGAATATGTCTAGGCTTCGGGTCGCGCCAGAGTATGTTCTCGGTAACCCTGAGGTCTATAATTTAACCTAACCTCTTTCCCTAGCTACGTGAGGAAGCTTGAGACTCAAGTGAAGGATCTATCTTCCCGCATTGAGGCCTATGAAGTAACGGGAGCCAAAACAATCGGCGGTAAACCGACAGGGACAACTTCCGGGATTTCTACTCTGGACCATGACCCCACACAGCAACCCGGGATCAACCACGATGACTATCCAATGCAAAGCAGTACATTGCCCTGGGAGACTGGTCAAAAAGAACTATCTGGTGTCAATTCACACACTCGAGATGTTGAATTCTACGGCAGCTCCTCTTCTGTGGCTCTTCTCTCTCATATTCAGCGCACTGGGGATGAGCCTGAAGGAGGTGACGCGAGTTCTCTTCTTTCCACCTTGCACAATCCTGCTTTTGGACCAGCCAAATTTCAAACATCTCGTGAAAGATGCAGGGAGATCGATTACCCAGATAGTTCAAACTGGTTCCCACAATGTCATAAGTTTTTGGATGCCTTCTTCACCACTCTCCACCATGTTCACCCCATTCTTAACAAGCATGCCTTTTTGCAGCATTGCGATGTGTTGCGGTCTGGAAGCGAAGCTGATGGCCCGCAGCTTTCAAGTTTTACGGCTCTGTACTTTAGTGTCCTCTCTTTGGGTGCGCTTGTGGGTACGAGAGATGATGAGCCAATCGATGGCGTCAATAATCTGCAATGGAGCCGCAAATTTTTTGAGAAAGCCAAAACCTGCTGCAACCAAATAGGCATGGTAACAGACCTTGAGATGACTCAATGTTACTTCATGCTTGTATGTCTCTCCATTTCCTACTGTCGCTGCCGCAGCTAACAACTTACAGGCCAAGGTGTGCCAAAATGAGCTACATCCTCACTGTTAGTGGAAGTCTTTTGTAGTTTTACCTCCTGGCTTACTTACCATTGCCAGTGTCGTATATGTATGTTGGTCTTGCCATTCGGACTGCTCTAGCCATGGGCATTAATCGAGAGCCTGGAACAAATGCGAAGAAATCCACATATTTGCGAAAGGCAGAATCAAGAACATGGTGGTAAGTCTTTGACTGAATTCTACGCCCTGTCAATATCTAATTCAGTATGAACACTAACGTTTCTTATCAAGGGGCCTCTATTCTCTTGAAACGTGCGTTATCTCCCTCATAATTGCCTTGAGGCTAATCAGCTGAGCTACTCTAACTCTGATCTGCAGTGAAATATCCTTCGCCATGGGTAGACCAGATACCCTTGGAGCGGATATGTATCATAACCGGCGATTCCCAATAACAGAAAACAGAGAGGTTGTCGATAATAGTGGCACTTGCGAGATGCTAGAACATCCCTCCTGTTCTATCATAAAATGCATGGTAGATTTGTCGAGAATCACCAAAAATATCTGCCAAAACATTTACCTCTCAGGTGTAACAGTTCCGAGGACAGTTCATTTGGCGTACCAAATTGAGAACAATCTCGAGCGATGGGTCGAAACGCTCCCCGAGGAGATACGTCCAGCAGAGCTATCTGGCGGTATACCTTCTTTGAGAAAAGACAGGGATCAGCAATGGATGAAGAGACAAAGATTGGTGCTGTCACTAAGTTCGTCATCCGTCCTTGAGCCCCCGGCAGAGAAATATCTAATCGACTAAATGTAGGATATCACAACTTGAGGATACTTCTCTTCGGGTCATTTCTTCGGAGGTCCACACCTCAAGACCGAGCATCAATTCCTGGGTCTCAAGAAGGAGTCCAAAAATGTCTGGAATCGGCCAAACAGACTATTGATCTCATTTATCAGACGTATCAATATAGTGACTTTTTCAGGACATGGTATGTGCTAATAATATTTTACTATCCAATCCTGACGCAGCAATAGGTTCTATAACGTCACGTACACCGTTTTTGCTGCAAGCACCATCCTTATCTATCTTGCACAAGAAGCATTTCCTACAACGGCCCAACCCCTCTTGCGGCTCATCGACATGGCTGTGGAGATTTTATTGATAATGGACGAATGTGCTTTTGCTCTTGAAGCTGCAAAACTGCTACGTCGTGCCAAGGAGAAGGTTGAAGCAAGAGCTATGGCAACTGATACAGCATCTACGGAGCCAGTATTATCGAGCAGGGATGGAAGCGGACATCTGAATCATTATTGGAGTCCGTTCAGTCTTTTTGATGGGGATATTGACCCAGACCTTGCGTTTTCGTTTCTTGGCTTTGATGAAGCAAATCCGATAATATAAGCGCGAGAGCACTGCTTTGCTTCGTGATTGCAATCAGCATCTTCCTCAATCTAACAGGCAAGGACCGCTTCCCAACAATTGAGGGTGCATGAGGTGCGAGTTGCGCTAGCTGGTAATCGTGCCAAGCGCCCAACATACATACGGAACGTTGATTTCTGTTTGCTGGTATTATATAGTATGTGTAGTAGATCTATTACTTATATTTTATACTATGATAGTGAGATTCTTAATCAAAATAAAAGCTAAAACAAAAACATACAACAGTGAGGATTCGCTGGTGGTCACCCACCCAACTACTAACTCACCGGCGTGTGGCTTAAGTACGGCTGAGCGGACGGGAAGCCCTGTTTTCCACACCCTATGGTCGTATGTATCATGCTACATCTGGGAAAGGAATATAACATAAGGACAGTTGGGTTCTAGAAGAAAAGGCTGAGTGTACTATAGACAGGGAATTAAGGTCACAATCTTTCGGGCGGGCGCGAAAACCGCACAGGCCGCTCAGCCCGGCCATGATGAAAGATGATTGGGTGTGACTTGGCTCTGAACACCGGTCTCTTAACATATCTCCGCGCACCCCGGACTCAACCCCGGTCATTCTTATCACTTGCTATCGATATCTTTCAAAATTTTTACTAAGGCTAAACCATCGTTGGTTTCATATGATAACGGGATTCGACAACCCAACTGAATTTGAAGGGGTCTTGTTCTTGAAACACCTTTATACCCCCCCTTTATGAGCGATGACTTACACCCCATGCCCCAAATCAAGAGTAGAAAGACCCAATATTGAACACAAAATTGGGGGTCAGTTCACCTATCTTAAGCTAAATTAAACTGAACCCACATTCTCCACTAGAAAATCGACCGCCGTCGGAATGCGTTATCTCTGTTTCCCCTCAGTGCGCATTGCACCTCGGCCATAGCCAATTAAATCAGACATAGAAAAGGGCTTCTCGTGCGTGTCTAACCATTGTAATTTTTTTTCCCTTCACCAAGCAATGCGCTGAGACTGCGCAAAAATCTATACCATGTCTTCTAAGGAGTTAGGTACCGACATAATCAAACCCGCGCTCGTCGGGGCAGATGAAGAGGTAGTCGAAGGCCGCTTAGACCAAATAAACCTGGAAAAGGACGAGGAGAATACGAATGAAGAGTTCAGCTATGAATCGCACCGCTCTCCATTCCCTGAAGGCGCGTGACTAGCTCACTGTTAATATATATGTTGATAGACTAACAGTTACTACAGTTAGGGCTGTCGTTCCCGAGACGGATGACCCCGATATGCCGGTCAATACTGTGCGGATGTGGCTCCTAGGCATTGTTTTTACTATGCTCGGATCCGGTATTAACCAGTTTTTTTCGCTGCGCTATCCATCGGTTCATATTGTGGCCCTAGTAGCAGAGCTACTTGCTTATCCGATCGGAGTGTTCCTGGCGAAGACCCTCCCTCTTACATCCATTCGGTTTGGGCCGTTGGGCACGTTCGTTGTCAACCCGGACAGGTCATTCAATATCAAAGAGCACGCACTTATCGTTATTATGAGCAACGTGTCTTTTGGATATGCTTCAGCCGACGCGACGAACATTATCCAAGCTGCCAGCAAAAGCTTCTACAATTTCGATCTCAAACCCGGCTTCTATGTGATCATCGTTCTTGTTGCACAACTTCTTGGATTTGGCGTTGCAGGTCTCGCAGCTCCGTGGCTCGTTGAACCGGCTCGCATCATCTGGCCAGGTGTATTATCCAACTGTGCCATGCTGGAAACATTGCATTCGCGAGCGAACTCTGTCGCAGACGGATGGCGCATAACCCGTCTCCGATTCTTCATGTACGTTATGACTGGTGCGTTTGTCTGGTATTTCTTCCCCGGACTTATATTCACTGCTCTATCCTATTTCACTTGGGTCTGCTGGATCGCACCAAAGAACGTCATCGTCAACCATCTCTTCGGCATGCAGACAGGTCTCGGTCTGAGTCCAATTACCTTTGATTGGAGCCAGATCGCCTACAATACCAACCCGCTCTTATCGCCATCATGGGCTGCGTTGAATGTCTTCGCAGGCTTCGCGTTTTTCTACTGGATTGTCACACCCGCCCTGTACTACACCAATACCTGGTTCACGGCTTATCTCCCACTCATGACGGCCGACGTGTACGATAACACGGGCGCCGCCTACGATACGGCTCGAGTCATTTCCGCAGATAATACCCTAGATACGGCAGCTTATCGAACGTACTCGCCTCCATACTTGAGCGCAACCTTTGCCTTCGTATACGGGCTTTCATTTGCTGCCATAACCTCAGTGCTTTCGCACATTGCCATCTGGCATAGTCGCGACTTGTGGGCTGCTCTTAAAGGCCGGAATAAGCTCGATATTCATGCCCGACTCATCCGTGCCTCATATCGCCGGACGCCCTGGTATTGGTACGCTGGCATTATTGTGGTTATAATGGCAATGGCCATTGCGCTAGTCGAAGTCTACCACACTAAACTCCCAGTTTACGGAGTCTTTCTAGCCTTGATTATCCCAGTTGTTTACATGGTTCCCTGCGGTATCGTGCAGGGCATTACGAACGTGGATGCGAATCAACTGAATGTTCTGGCTGAGTTCATTGGTGGATATCTGTTCGAAGGAAAGCCCCTCGCGAATATGATTTTCAAGATCATTTCCACGGATGTCGTGGGACAGGGTGTTTACTTCGCTATGGATATGAAATTGGCTCACTATCTGAAAGTGCCGCCACGTACCTGCTTCGTGGCACAGTTCGTAGCCACTATCCTGGGCGCCCTCACACAGGCGGGTGTTACAATTTGGATGCTTGGTAATATTTCGGGGATTTGCGAGTCTGACCAGGCGGATGGATTTACTTGTCCAAATGGCCGGACTGTTTATTCTTCGTCTGTCATTTGGGGTCTTGTTGGACCTCGCCGGCTCTACTCTGTGGGCAAGATCTATTCCCCTCTGTTGCATTTCTTCTGGATCGGTGCTATCGCTCCGGTTGTGACTTTCCTCCTCTATCGTTATACCAGACGCCAGTTTTGGAAGTATATCAACTGGCCACTCATTTTTGTCGGAACTTACAACGTCCCACCTGGTATGTCCCGCAACTTGCCATTGCCTCTTTTTTCAATCGCTAACTCGAGCCCTTTTAGCCACCGGAATCAACTATTCCAGCTGGGCGCTGGTCAATTTTGCCTTCAATTACTTCATTAAGCGTAAGTTCTTTGCTTGGTGGACCAAGTATAATTATATCTTGGCAGCTGCACTTGATACAGGTCTTGCCATCAGTGGCATTGTTATTTTCTTTTGCATCTCGTACCCTGGTGCCACTTTCCCTGACTGGTGGGGGAATAACGTGTACCTGAATACTGCCGATGCCCAAGGTGTACCGTACAAATCGATGCCAGATGTTGGGTATTTCGGGCCTGCTAATGGAACATGGAGTTGAGGTGGGTGATAATATGTCAATCATGGTAAAGAATTTGTACGAAATCAAAACAAGTTTTAACTCTGTATTGTAAATAAGCTCATTGAGAGAGAAGAGGAAAAAAAGGGGGCTTGCTCGATTCCTAGACAAGATCCCGTCATTGATCTACTGTAAATTGAAGCGAATGGGCCCAGGAGATACAACCGAGTGATGTGTCCGCCAACAATCGTTCATGACAATGACAAATCAAGCTCAATCTTAAAGGTATGATCCAATGTAATATACCAAGCCTCAAACCTTCATCGATGCAGATTCCTCAGTTTTTTTCTTCTACACTCCGATTTTACGTCGCTTAAAGGTCGTAGCGTATATATGACTGCTATTAATTTCTGTACCTAGGTAATCTTCTATTAGTTTTCAATCTTGATATCTGAGCAAGAAAGCCTCGTTATAACGCCAAATAACTTGCATCATCTCCTTCTCCCCTTGTACTCATCCGCCTGCGTTATAAGGAAGACATAAAACACGACACCTCTCCTACAACCTTTCAAACTGCACAACATTCCCGGGCTTCCTTAGCTAGCGGTATTTAATATGTATCGCAGCCAATTGAGGGAAGCTCTCCGAGGCAGCCAATTCTGCCAACTGAACTATAGCTCCACCGACGCTTCCGCTTTCATTGACATGAAGATACAATGTCTCCAACGAGGAAGGAAGAACATTCAAAAGTTCTCGCGGGGGTAAATTGCGCACATAAAATCCCCAGATTGGGCAAGGAAGCACAAACAAGCTTCAAAGTGGTGAAATCAACAAAGGACCCCATCTATTGGCGTTGTGATCCCTATGAACTACCTCGTGAGCCTCGACCCAAATAGACTCCAGCGTCGACTTCTGGAGCGAAAGCGAGTCGTAAATTTTCCGCGGTTAAAAGTGATCCTAGGAAACCACTCCTGCACCATGGACAACCCGGAATGGCTTCAGTGCTTTGCAGGCCTGAACCTGTTCTCCCATCCCTTTCCCAGTGTTGCTACCTTAGACATCGATATCGGTTATATTCGAGCATTGTGGTGGGAGTGTGTCTGGCTTCGGAGGTCTAGAGTTATCCAATTCAGTCTCAAACTTATTATCATCACGGTTCCAATACTCCGCCAAAATATAGCAGCCCACTTTGTGCATTGATAGGAATTTGAAGAATGGATGTATAGAAAATGATAGTAATGCGTTCTCTGTATCGTACCAAGCTATATATGCTTTCTTAAGATAAGGGAACATCGGTTCCTCTATAATAGCAGCTTTTTGTAACATTTCTATAACATACTGTGACCCGTATGGTTAGGTGAGCCTGAGCTTCCGCAATTCCTTCAATTGAAAGCCAACCATGCATAACTGTTATCCCGTTCTAGATCTTTCAACCGTTTAGATCTCTCCTCTTCGGAATATCCCGTTCCTTCACTGAGTATTCGCTAAGTATTTTGTGTATAAGATTATCATCAAATCAAACTGTCTGGGGACCTATTTTACTGTCGGTGTTTGTGGTATCCTAGCACTTCAAGTTTAAGGACCGAACATAGCTAGCCAGCTTCGGTGCTCGGGTCACGGCATATAGAAATATGTTGGCTGTTTGGTCCTTACTGTCGTGTCCGGAGACAGTCAAGTTGGTGTAGCGGGTTCGTTGGGACACGGTGTGCAGTTGACGCGATGAGGATACCAGGTGAGAGCCTTGGTATCGATTTTCCGCGCAATTAGACGGAGTATTTCCGGGGGTAGATCGTTGAACATGGCTGCAGTGGTTAATCCGATGCAAAACTACCGGAAACTTGAGGCTCGTATATTTATCATATCATGTTCTCAGAGGCCCAACTGGACGTTGGCTTGGCGTAGGCAGAAGCGGGGGTTAGCCGCTTTCGCCTGGGCCTTTAACGTGACTTGAGAGCAAATAGGAGAAAAGAAAGATTGAGATTTTCTACAAACAACCAGAAACCGGCTTGTTAAATGCTAGGTGGCAGCCTGACAAACCAGACATCGAGATGCTATCAATAATTATCTTCTAATATTCACGTGTGAATCTACGTGGTACGGCACGTGCCGAGTGATGGGCTCAAGTACGGCTAAGCGGACAGGAAGCTCTATTTCCCACACCCTAGTTAAGTATGGTACTATGTGATTTACATAACAATGAAGAGGAATAACTATGCAAGTGGTGATGGGGATAAGAGTGCGATATGTACTCCGTATTTCGTATATGGAGCCCCAGAGTACCTACATAGGACTGCTGCACTAAATTATGATTGGGTCGCCTTGGCCCAGCTGAAACACAGCCTCTTGGCACCTTTTGCCTCGGCATCTTTATTGCATCCATTCTACAACATATATCACAATTTAGCTTAAACGAAGGAGAAGAATAGGAAGCTCACTGCTGTCTAAAAACAGTTCATCTTTTCGACTCTGATAACTCGTCGATTTTTACTGAATTTATACGCGGCTCACGCAAATATCCACCCCTATACTCCGTACCTCGCTCCCGAGATCGATGGTTCGCTTATTTGTACTAGAATAGGCTAAGTCGACTTTGGCACACTAAAAACACCCCAAACCCCGGTATGATGAGATTAGACATTCCAACTTCGTTCCTGACATTAAGCTGTGTGTGTCAAGATGGCTCAAAAATCGAAAAGCAAAGAACCCCAACCCCCTGAAAATATCATTGTTGCGGCCGATAATGGCCGACTCGATCTTGTCACAGCGCTCTTAGAGGGCGGCGCAGATCCGAATACCGTGGACGAGATCGGAACTTCGCCGCTTCATAATGCAGCAAAAGGGGGTCATTGGCATATCGCCCGCCTTCTTCTCGAGAAGAATGCATCACCTCGGATCGAGGATGGCAACCGCGCAACTCCACTCCGCCTTGCGGTAAGAGCAGGCCACCAAGAGATTGTTCGCTTATTCCTTGAGTGTGATCCTCCTACAAGAGAGACAAAAGAAAGCGAAACTTATAGACTCCTTCGCATTGCTGCGGCCTTGGGCCATACAGAAATAGTTCAACTTTTTCTGGATTGCAATACCCCCACCCTAGGGAGCAATGGAGACCAAACAGCGCTACACTTAGCAGCTGCAAAGGGACATCATGCCATCTGCGAGCTTCTCCTAAAGCATGACAAGGCTTTAACTCGAACATTATGGGACCGTATGACCGGACCCAGTTTGGAAGTGTACTCAAAAGATTACGCGGAAAACACGCCTTTCGCATACGCAGTCGAGAAAGACCATGAGCGGACTGTAGAAGTCTTTTTACGCAGTTATCCAGAACTGAGTAAGACTTGCAATGGCCGCAAGGAGCTGCTTTTCCATAAGGTTATCAGGGAAGGAAAGATTGGGATGGTTCGAATATTTTTGAACCACGGCACGGATATTGAGTTGAAAGACAACCAAGGGTGTCGGGCCCTTCGTGTGGCAATCTCCACCGAGAATATGGGATATGTCACTGGGGCTACTGAGATTATCAAGCTTCTACTTGAGCATGGTGCTTCAGTTGATACAAAGGACAAGGACGGCTATACTGCCGAGTCTTACTCCAATAACCCAAAGACCATAATGATATTGCGTAACCATGCAGCTACGCAGACAAAGGGTATCTCACTACCGGTAGCACCGATTGCTTCGGCTCCACCACCCGAGTACAAGGCATGAATGGCCGAATCGAGCGGGAAGATCATACTTTGAAACGCATATCAATAACTGATTGTACGATTGGTGTCTTGCTTAAAAGAGTAGCTAAATACGTACCAAAGCAGTATGGAATACAGTCTAGGAAATTCTGTTTTTCAATATAAATTTGCGACTTAGAAGCTATCCTAGGAGTAGGAAGTTACTGTGATAGAACGTGATAGAACTACAGTAGAATAGCTGTGAGATGGGATTCAATAAGAGCAGTGTGTATTAAAGATTGATCCTCACGATCATGTCTAGCAGTGCATTAAAGACTACATTGGTGTTCGATGCAAGGCAAACCTTATCATTCTATATTTACTACAAACCTGCACAGTTGCAAATACGTCATTGCTCATTGTCTATGGAGGGAAGTTGTAGTAAACCTGTCGCCAGAGCGAAAGCCAAAATATCTGTGTACTGACGAGAATTTCAATGATACATCTGAAAACGCGTGTCCATTACTGTATACCTATGGGGAGAAGGGGACGGAGATGAAAGAGAGATATCTGGATTAGGGGAGCACACCTACGTGTAACTGAGTACTTTTATCTTAAAAGAAATATGTTCCGCAGTTAGCAGAAGCTTCCCAGTGCAACAAAAGGTTTCCATGTGTCTCCAGCTGCACAAGAATGACAGAAAAGGCATAAAGCAATAATAGGGCTCGAACGTGCTGTACTATACGAGTGACCCGAGAAATAATATATCTAGGCTGTAGCAAATTGAGCTATTTTGCCAACGTTCGAGATCAGCTCTTTTTCACATTACAAGGTAAGATCTCTCGGAGCTTGTGACAGCAAGCCGCTTGTCATTGTAGTCCACATCGTGGTTCCACTTGCCAGAGTGCCAGATCTGACCCTGGAACTCCTCCAGTTTAGGAATGATGCCTTTTTTAGGAATTCTAATGGTACCGATACAGGAGACTAACACTTTGGCCTCGCGATCGAAGGTGTGACCAGTTTGAACATCGCGTATAGTCACACGCCATAATCTCTCCTCCTCAATCTACTCTGCCCGCACAACCTTCGATTAGGTTCGGACATGCTTTGTGATGCCGAACTTGTTGGCCGTGTTGGTCAAGTACTCGAGACTCTTGGGGGCCCCAACAAAGCGTTTAGACTAATCGTGGTTCAAATTGGAAGGGGGTAGGAAATAGATAGTGGAGCTCAATGACGTCAGGGATATTCCCTGTTAATTTCCCTTTTCAAGACTTTTGGACCTTGTTTAGATCTTTTAAATAGATTGAATGTCGCAGAATTTAGTTCCTAGACTTTTATTCTTTCTATACCTTCGCGACCGCCATTTGAAGGTTTCGACCGCCGCCGCATTGTTGTGTGGTTTCTTTTGGGAGCGTTGTTTTTTTTAATTATTCTACCTTTCACAACGCTCTTGGAGACAATGAGGTACATCCTTGCACATAGCCTTGTACAGGCCTCACTTCTCTCAATTGCCTCCGCTTCCCCCGCACTAACAGCTTTCGCCAACAATGTCGCCCCGCCCGACCCCGTCATTACACCTTCCCCGGTCGAGCATAATCCATCTCCCATTGTTGGCCGAAACATCTTGAGCGACGTTGAATCTGATATCGGCAATGTCCTTTCGGACGTTGGGTCTGGCCTACCTTCGTGGGTCGCATCTGGGGTGCCCAACTTCTTCCAGGGTTTCCCGACTGGAGACGCAGTTGTGAGCTCCCTCGGATTGGACAGCTCCAACTTCAAAGCATTACCAACAAATGTGTTGAATATCGACCCTTATGCCAACTGGACCAAAGCAGGGTGGAATGTTCGCTTCCACGGAAATATCTATAAGCAGCCAAACACTTCTGTCTCAAAGTTGAACGATTTGGCCGATATCTTCCTCGTCAACACTAGTATCTCAGACCTTCCTAAATCCCAGCAGGCCCAGGCACGTAACCTGACGGCTGAGATTTTTGTTGTGCAGCAGCCAGAGGTTGCCGTGAACAAGATCCACCTGAAGCCTGCAGCGAGTCAGGGATCTAGCGGACAGCCAGGCGGCGGTGGATCATCCAACACAACAGGTGGTACCCAAGACATCACTCTGCCATACAACACAACGGTTGAAGGTGATTTTGACACCTTCGTGCAGATTGATAGCAATGGCCTTACTGCGGGAAATGAAACCTCCGCGATCCAGAGACTGGACACTCATGTTGAGGGCGCAAGTATCGGAAATGCTACCGCCTATCTTGTGCCTCCAACCGGACTCACGATTGTTTCTGACGTTGATGATATTTTGCGTGTCACCAAAATTTACCAACCGGAACAAGGATTACTCAATTCTTTCGCTCGTCCATTCACGTCTTGGGAGAACATGCCGGAGATTTACCGCAACTGGTCCATCAGCCTCCCCGATACGCATTTCCACTACCTTGTAAGTCCCCTCTGGTTACCACTTCCTTATTCAAAACACTAATAGTCATTTTAGACCACTACACCAGAGCAAGTTACTAGAAATTACATGGAGTTCATCTACACCAACTATCCTGGTGGCTCCTTCGACACCCGTCCTCTCAACTTCAGCGACGTCTCTGCTACTTTGTCAATCCGCAAGTTCTTATTGCAAAAGATCTTTGAAACCTTCCCGAAGCGCAAGTTTGTCCTGGTGGCAGACACCAGCAACAGCGACGTGATGCGCGACTACCCAAAACTGGCCACCGACTTCCCCGATCAAGTCCAGTGCATCTTCCTCCGCAATACCTCGGCAACGGATCCGGGCGACAAGTTCCCATACGACACATCCGGGTTCAAGGACATCAAACAGTCGAAGTACATGTTCTTCCTGAACCCGGCTGACCTGACCAACTTGGATATTGCGAATGGACATTGCTACAATCAGTCCATTCCGCAGAACCTGACGTTTGGCTACCAGGGACTGCCACTTGGCCTAGGGAATACCCTAACTGCTGTCAACGGGTCAGCAAACCACACCGGAGCTGCCAGCGGCCTGTTGACTAAGGAATCGGCTGGTGCGCAGGGCCTCATGGCATTGGCCGCAGCGATGATTACGGCCACCTTTATGTTTTTATAGAACCGTATAGATACGAGTAACACGATACGAGTAACACGACGAACCAAATGGGCAATTTACTTAAAGTGTCTTTCTCGACCATGTGCACTTTGTAATCCTCTGCCACACCCCGCTAGATACATGTGATACAAGGCGTGGAAAGCAAGGCTTCCCGTCCGCTCAGCCGTACTTAAGCTACTTATCCTGCATGGCCAATTATCAGCGCGGCGTTAACACCTGTGCAGCACTCTACAATGAGTGCGGGTGATATAGCTGACAATTCTGGATACCGAGACGACAGAGGTGAGAGCACGGGGTGAGAGTGGGGTGATCATGATTACCTAAGGTGATAAATATCTCACCTCGGCCTTAACTCCAGCTTGTATTTCTTTTTCCCCCTAGTGTGAAGGGCCGTATCACGTGGCTTCCAAGGTTCACGAGATACCGAGAGGCCCTGGAGAGCGGGTAAGATTAGCTTAGCCGAGCCAAGGTTTCTGGGCAAGGCTTGTCATCTGACGAGATGGGAACTGCACGGGACTTTCGACTAGAAAAATCGAGAGTATAATCAAACCTCTAAGAGATAACACCTAGTTCTCTATTAGATAGAGTCAAGTTAATATACTATGGTTCCTTAAGAAATTAGTATCTCTTAAGACTAGCTAATCTCTCCAGCGGAGGAGGTTCTATAGTAATAAGAAGAAAAAAAGGTCAAAAAAACAAAACATTATGATCCCCTTCACACCCGTCCAGGGATATTGTCCACCATTATTTCCGATTATTGATGACTCGTATATATACGGGTCTTTGGTTTTAAACTGCCCAGCCATGAACATTGGCCAATATTTTTAATGCATAAAATAGCACTTAAATTTATCACAAGGTCCTACGATTCTTACATTTTTAGATAAGCGGAAGCCGTCGGTTACCCAATAACCAAGGGGCCCGTGTGGCGCGTGTTGATAGGAAACAACCGAAAGAAAACTAAGCTTCAAAGTAACCAGTTACATGGGGCCACTGTAACGGTCCCGCTAACTAACTTTGGAATCAATTAGGAAACAGCGCCGGGGTGGAGCTAGGAAATATTCTCCCATACAAGGCTTATCTTTTCCCCCACAGCTTTAAAAATTCAGCGATTCCCCAGGCACAAAGTGTCACCCCTTGTTTTCCCCATCCTTCTCAGTCCATCAGGAACCATGGCCTACGATCCGGAGAAAGGCCTTGCAACAGTCCAGCAGCCAACTGAAGAACATGGTTCACCCAAGGTAATTTCAGTTGACGATGCTGCCCCTCACGAGACCGGTATCCTGGCTAGGATCCGCGCACTGGAGGCTAAGCTGGATAAGAAACTCGGTATAGAGTCCGATGCTATCGAGCGCAAACGTGCCGAAGATAAAAGAGAGGTCCACTGGGTGGAGGAGATATCAATGGCAGCTCTGTGGGCGAGTGGTACGATGAACACCTCCTGTTTTGCGACTGGCTTCCTCGGCTGGGAGTTCGGTCTGACTATGAAACAATCGATCCTCATTACCATCTTTGTTTCCATCTTGGCTGCGTCGCTGAGTGGATTCTGTGCGACCTTCGGCGCTGTGACTGGATTACGTCAAATCAGTGTTAGTCGATACAGTTTTGGTTGGTGGCCTAATAAGCTGGTCGCCCTGCTGAACGGTATCCAGCAATTGGGATGGGCAGCTGTCGCATGTATCACTGGAGGTCTTGCGTTGACAGCGGTCTCCGATGGCCACGTCTCTTTGATTCTTGGAATTGTCATCTTGGCTGTCGTAGCCCTGCTCATTTCTTGTGTCGGGCTGAAAGCCATTTTGATTTACGAGAGATGGGCCTGGATGGTCTTCTTGGTTATTTTCCTGATCATCTACGGCGAGACCGGCGAATATGCAGACAACGCAGCCCCAGCTACCGTGACCGGTTCCTCTTTCTCCGGTGCCGTTCTCAGTCTAATGGCCGTTGTTTACGGATCCAGTGCCTCGTGGTGCACAATGGCTAGCGACTACTATGTCCACTATCCTGCCAACACGAGTCGTTTGAAGGTTTTCCTCATGACAACCTTTGGTATCTCGATTCCCACCTCGATCGGCATGGTCGCTGGCTGCATGGTCGCATCCGCTTTAAACACCAAGCCCGACTGGTCCGCCGCATACGACCAAGGAATTGGCTATCTCATCCAAGAGATGCTTCATCCCCGCGGATTCGCCAAGTTCCTCCTTACTCTCCTTGTCTTGTCCGGTATCAACGTCAACGTCATCAGCATTTATAGTTCCGCCATCTCCTTCCAGCAACTTGCCCGACCCTTCGCTCGCATTCCTCGGTCTCTCTGGACATTGTTCTGCTTTGCCTGTATCCTCGGCTTGTCAATTGGTGGTCGGCAAAAGCTGAACGAATACCTTCAAAATTTCTTGAGCCTGTTGGGATACTGGTGCACAAGTTATGCCATTATCCTATTTCAGGAACACTATGTTTTCCGCAAGGGCAACTTTGACAACTATGATCTTGAAGGATGGAACGACCCGGCTAGGCTTCCGCTGGGAATTGGTGCGAGTGTGGCGTTTTCCCTTGGGGTTGTGGCGTGGTGCTTGGGCATGGATGAGACTTGGTTTATCGGTCCCCTTGCTGCGACGATTGGAGATGCCGGTGGTGATGTTGCCAACGAGTTTACATTCGTTGTGACGGCTTTGACTTATCTACCGGCAAGATACTTGGAGCTCAAGTACGTCGGTCGATAAATTGTGTATACAGTACTGGAGGTGCGGTTGCGCTAATATTACCCTTCATAATGTTTTATATTTCTTCCACCCTGTAGTATTGAAATCAGATAAGATATACCACAGCCCTATATTCCACGTTGTGCATATGCAACATAGACGCTCAGCCACACTCGGAGTTGCCTATTTCGGGAATATGTTAGGAGCCACCCAGGCTTGCAGGAAAAAAAAGATCCAGCTGCACTGTATAACTTCGACTATATATATACATCTCGAGTACGTGAGAATGGACACAATCTTGTCTTTCCTTTCGGCTTTCAATGAATCACCACCTATCTCGAGTAACACGATACATATTGATAAGACGAGAGGATGGAAGAAATAAGTGATATATATATAACTATACGAAGAAACTATCTCTAGAAGCTAACTAAGTCAACAGTACCAAAGTGGTGGCTAAACCCTAGGGTGCTCTCTCGACAAACAAGGGAACCTCCCAACCCACTAACTATATACAAAACCGAGGCAGGGCTGACACCAGAGGCACCAGGCCACAACATCCATCTAGTATAGTGAAGCAATATATATACAAGAGCATATGAAGAAGGACTTATCTAGAGACCGCCCTCTTAGTTCGATCTAAGATTCAGGGGCACCATCCCCAACCTGGCTTCCGGTGGTATAGTTACCAAAGCATGCCTTCTGGAACTGCGCCTTTTCCTTCAGAGCAGGCACGCCACGCAAGAACTTATCGAGGTGGCAGAAACCATTGCTGGAATTCTCACAACCGATGAGTCCATCTTGTGGGAGAGGGGCATTGTTCAGCACAAAACGAATGTACTCCGTGGTTTTGGCAGTTGACTTGATGGTAGGGTTGGTGTAGAGAACAGGGTCCAAACTATCGAATGACACATCACGCGGGCAAGTCCAGATCTCAGAGATGAATCGGGCACCAAAGGGTGTCATCTGGCTGAGAGAGAAGTTGCGCTCGGGGGCATGATCAAGGTGAACGGGTAATCCCTTAGGACCGTACTTGAAGTAGTCGAAACCAAGGGCATTGATCACGGACAGGATGATATCATCATGAGACATGTCCATGTAGAAGGGCTGGCCGAATGGAAATTGGGCTTCGTTATTGGTGTAGGTGTAGTTGATGCTTGTATCGCTTGAGTTGATGAGCTTTTGTTCGAGGCGAGCGGCGAGCTCTAGAACGTAGCCGATGCCCTGGGCACGACCACTGGGCGAGCCGTAGGCGTAGTCTCCATAGTACTGCACGTCGATATTGTACTCGAAGTCCTTCCACTCTTGCTCGGTGAAAAGAGAGCAGAACGATGAGCCGCCGAGACTGGTGTACTCGTATACACAGAGGTTCTGCATGGCAAGCACGTCCATACTGGTCAGGTTGAAGTCGGAAGGGAAGTAAGAGGACAGACGGCTGCGAGCATTCTTTGTGTATCGAGAAATGAAGATCTCAGCAGCGTTGTCGCTGTAATTTGTTAGTACGATTTCACGATCAAGTACTCGTTGGAGGAATTTTTGCCCACCCTTCGGAATAATCAAACGTGCATGTTTCGTAAGAAGCGAGAGTGTTGTTGAAATCAGCCTGCTCAGGAATTACGACAAGATTATACTGGTCGTAAGAGCTGTTACCTCCACTGTTGCCAAAGAAGCCGCCTAGTCGAAGAGGTTAGCTCGTTATCCGGGATTAGTGAATGAGATGAGGGTTCCACTCACTGAGCCACCAACGTGCGCTTTCCAAAATACGTGCCTGGGAGGTAGTGCGAAACACTGGCGTCGGGCGGTCTGTGCCGTTGGCGTAAACGTTAAGAGATGAGCTCCAAGCAGCCACATTCTCACGTCCAGCACGGTATAGCAGTCTTCCGTACTTGACCCAAAAGTTGGCACCGGATGTAGCCTCAGTGGCGGCACCATTCTCCATAAGAGTGTCCTCGCCAATAACGTAGTCCCAGTTGTTCAGGAACTTCAAAGGCCCCACAGCCACGGTCTTGTCTGGGTTAGCCTTGCTGTAATTGGTCAACTTGGCGGCAAAGTCGGTCATGCCCTCACCATCCAGCGGGTAATCCGTGGGGAATCGCTGCGCATGGCGATGCAGAACATGTACCTGAGACAGTTCACATCCTTGCGGCACACCACTAGGAATACTGAAGCTATCTGCGTCCTTATAGGGGCTGAGATTGGCCCAGCTTTTGGTCATGTCAAAACCAGACGCATAGCTAGATCCAGTTGGGGCCGATGTCGGAGCAGAAGTGCTAGTCGCTGTAGCTGCGACAGCTGTCAGCAGCGTGGCTCCGATAAAGTTCTTCATGGTTGGGACCTCTGGGTTTCTTATGAGACAGTGGCTGAACGGTTCACTTCAACCTTTCGTTCTCCGTTGTTTGGAGATACCCAATTACAACTGATCCGTACAGCGTAGGCAAGGTGTGTATAGTAGAGGTGATGCGACTGAACTGTTTTGTTTATTCGCGATCGATGAATTCTCCAATTAAGTTTCGGAGGATTGTTGTTCCAACACGAGAGTCTGTGATTGGCGTTATCTCTTCCTGGCTGGCTGTGACCGCCCGAAGGATTCTCATACGACTCTCACCCCCTATCTTCGTAGTCGCCAGTCTCCTTTCCACAACCCAGCTATTCGCACCCTATCTTCTTCTCCTACAGCTAATCTGATACATACGACCATAGGGTGTGGAAAACAGGGCTTCCCGTCCGCTCAGCCGTACTTAAGCCACACGCCGGTGAGTTAGTAGTTGGGTGGGTGACCACCAGCGAATCCTCACTGTTGTATGTTTTTGTTTTTTGTTTTATTTTTTTAATTCACGCTAGCGAATTAGAGAGCGGTAGGAGAAGTAGTAGGAGCGGGAGAGAACCTCCGCCCCGACAAAGCGCTTAGTATAGGCGCCGAATAAGAAGACCCTTCGTTTATACGAAGGCCTATCGAAGCCATAGTATACGATCTTGATTCAGATACGTATAATACGAATTAGCCTTCGATACTTCTTATTTAAGATTAAGGCAGTAGAGATAGACCGGTATAATTGTAACGAGGGCTTATAAATACTAAAGTATATCCTTATATAATATCCGCGGTATATTATTCCGCGTACGAAGTTATAGGAGCAACTAGAGAGAATTAGGGTAGGATTTATAGAACGAGACTATAATAAGATTATATCTAACCCGTAGGCTACCCGCTACGTAGCCAACTTCATACACTAAATAGGTCTCCTCTAGCAGTTTTAATACATTAGAATCGAGGAGGACGACGACGAACCGGTAGGCCTTACGGTAATAAAGCTAGGTATAGAAGACGATAGGTATTAGCCAATAACGATAGATAATACTATATAAAACGAGAACTCAGCCAGAGTCGACAAACATGCCAATCAACTAGCCAGGACAACGTTACCATCAAGTAAAACTAAGGCAGGGAGGGTTTATAGAGAGAGAAGTGAGAGAGAAGTGAGAGAATTGAGAGCTGGAAGGTGGAGGGTACACTCCATGCAGTCATTATATGTTATTTCTTATGTATAGGTTAGGGGGATCTGCGGGGTTTTACGGGCTACAGGAATGGGCTAATTCCGCATTCTTTTACGAATTAGCATCTGTATACTCTCTGGAAGCACTATATGTGGTTCCAGCTCGGCGTTTGGCTTCGAGTTCTTGCTTCAGTTGGATGAAGCGCCTGCATAGTCATACGCAACTAGTTAGACTGCAACAGGTTAATTGAACTTTGATTGATTGATTGATTGATTGGCGTGATTGACTGGGATGGTGGGCTGTGGTGGGAACAAGAAGCAGATCGTCATCTCATTTGGCGATGAGGACGGGAATCCGTTGGTACGATACTTGGCCTCCAGCCTCCATCCCCCACTCCCATTTTCAACCACCTGGTCGACCTTCTATCTTTCAAACATCATGGTGAGAACAGCTCAGATTGCACGGTATCCATCCGACCCAATCAGGCGATGGATTCAACGGGAATATGCCGACCATGGAGGCAACACTGTCATTCTGGGGAAGTTTTCCTATGAAAGCCAATTCTATCGGCCGGAGGAAGGTGAAGCTTACCGAATTCAAGTATACAGCACCACTCCTATCCAGCCAGAGGAGCTCCACAAGTTGTACGCATATTTCTGCTTTGACCTCAGCTGGCCTCCCTTTTTGGAAATTTACTCCTACAACCCACCGGATGGTCTGGCCTGCGTCGAGCACCAGCGTCGTGAAATTGCTCATCGCAAGCGTCTCCAAGCCGAACAGCGCGAAGGCGAATATGACGAGTCTCTTCCCCCCTTGATTCCAACGATGCGAACTGGCCTTGAGGATGAGTTCATGTCGGGATTCTGTTTCCTTCTTACGTCGAAGAGCTACCTCCAGGGTTCATTCCAAGACAATGACCACGGCACGGGCCCCTGGTGGATTAGCTTCGATCGGAGTCTTCCATCTACAATGAAGAAGCTGGACATGATTAAACGTCTTGATAGTCCGCCGACTGAGCTTCAAATTTTCAAGGAATGGGGGATTTCAGTCAATCCTGAAATTCGCGATATCAATGTGAATATTACGACAAACCAGGGCACAATGAGGTGGGACATGAAAGAGCTTATGCGAGGAATCTATTCGATATATGTTTATAACCAAATTGATTATGGACTCCATGAACCACCCCCACCCCCACCGTCCGAGGAGACTCCGACCTTACAACACATCTAGGAGATTTTACAGCAGCAGCAGCAAACAACAGAAGTCCAGTCTGTAGACTCGACCGTACTTCGCCTTACATAGGGATCTGAAAACAATACTGTCACAGTCACAAATAACTCTTCGGATGGGGAATGCGACCTTCAATACGTTATCTACGTCCAGTTCCTCGCGGCTATCGAGCAGGAAAAGACTGCCCTCCTGGAAATCACTGCACGCAGATTCGCCGCTGGAATCATCTCCCATCTCCCTGTCTCCAAAACTATTTACTTTGAGTTCCGGATTCCTGGTACATCCTTGTCTTCCCTTATATCCGCTGCCCCCAACGGATTCGAGGTTGGTGCCTCCCATGAATTTGAGGCGGGCTCGGTCATGCGAGCACTGCCTCAGATTAACCGTGACGTTTCTATCCGCCCGATACCACATGACTTCTTTACAGTGGTTCTTGATAAGCCTGCCTTCATCCAAGAACCCAGTGTGCTCTTCTACATCCTGTGGACCGACCCTCGGCTATACATTGAACCGCAGAGTACCGACACGGTCGTTGAGACTCTGCGGAGCGCTGGTATTCAGGAAGCTGCAAGGAGGCTTGCCATGCTAGCGGTGGAGGAGAAACTCCAGGATTGTCCAAGGAAGCTCACGCGGGAGGAGCATAGGGAACTATTGTCTTTGTCGCCAGAGGAGTACGAACAGAAGATGAACTTCTAGTGTTCCCGGACCAAAATGTGAGGGAGTAAGAGACATAGCGTCAGAGGTGTCGATGTGGGATAGGCTAATACATGTCTAATGAAGTTCGGCTTATTCAATTCATCATACATGAATCGTCCTACCAGTGCCCGTTCTAAAAGTCACAATTTTGACGAAAGTATCTTACATAATTTCCCCTCCCCAGTGATAGAGCACTCTGCCTGTGCGTTTCGTCTTCTGTCCTGGGCCCTGGAACGACTGGCAAGCAGAGCTCAACCAACCCGGTCATGATTACACTAGGAAACAATACGCAGACATGTAGGCTCCATGAATCGCTACAACGGTTTGCGGTATGGTTATTGGATCAAATGGACGAGTAAGCTGGTCATTCGTGCGATATTCCTGTGCACTGTGTGTTGGAATATAGAGATGATTGGCAGACAGGCCTAGTCTGAGAGCGATCCTGCCGGGACTTTTGCTGTCTAAAGTTGAGGCTTGGACGAACGTGCCCACATCAGGCTGCCGGCTGAACAAGGCGTAATCGGCCTGACAAAAAGTATAAAACCATGTATCTTGCACGCTATTTCCCGATCTCTGGAATTCTACCAAACGAGCAACAGATATATTTGCGATGAAAGAGTCGACCATTTGAGCTTAGGCTCAAATGCTCCTATATAGGAATTAGTGATGATGGGACAGGCTATAATGATAGAGATAGAACTACTAATATAGAATACTATTGGTTCTGATAACTGACTAATAAGGGGAAAAGAAAGTAGGGGAAGTTAGATGGTAACTAACGTATTTCACATGCGAGTGGTCCACACAAGCGAGTGGTCCACGCCAAAACACATAGTAAAAGCGATAAATTACAATATTATATTGCAACAACTATCATATATATAAACTTTTCCTTATAGCCTAATGTTTTTTATATAATAACTAGGCACTTTATAGAGCTTTAGGAAATTTGATAAAGTAGTGATTAAGATATTCATATTTGTAGGATTTAGAGGTGTATTTTTTAGTATTTTTTGAAACAATAGGAAACCTAAAGACTTAAATCATCTAAAATGATATATGATACTAAAGATTCTTATCGATTACTATCGGCAAGTAAAAAAACCAAATAAATGCGTCGGTTGTCGAGATAAAAGTGACAAGTTTATCGCTTTTACTATATGTTTTGGCGTGGACCACTCGCTTGTGTGGACCACTCGCATGTGAAATACGTTAACGTATTACTATAACTAGATTCTATTTATAGTAGTACCACTTACTAGATTTTATTATCACTATACTTCCCGAAATCCTTTATATTAGCTATATATTTTAACGTTAGGTTATATTTAGAACGCATCTTACTCGTAACTAAGCGGGGTTAGAGTGTTAAAGCGAGGCTACAGAGATAAAAATAGATAGGGAAAGGAAGGGTACTTATAACTTTTTTAGTTATAATAAAAAATATATCTTTTACTATATAGGCTGAATATTCGGGTAAGGAATATTTAGGTAGGTAAATATCTACCTAAGTGCCCTAAATAGAGCGGCGAGCCGCCTACGCCCGAACCGTGGGCGCTAGGTGACCACGGTCACACACATGCTGTTGTAATTTTTTGTTTTATTTTTCTAGTTATCTTAGGTGCGAAGGGGCAGAGCGGCCAAAGGTCAAATGGCTGATTTTTTTAGGCTTGGTGCTTAAATATGCCTGAATTATGCCTTGTTTTACATATACGTGTGCTTTTTTTTTGCCGCCTTTATATATACCTAAAAAGACATCTAAAAATATATCTAAAGAGAATATCTAAAAAGACTAGCCAAAAGTATATCTAAACATGTCACCTAAAAAGACACGACAAGGCCGTATAACCAACCAACTATTATTATATATGGTGTGTATAACTAGGAATAGCTTCAATTTACAATATATGGTATAGAGCGGTGTCGAAAGTAGTCTATAATCCAGGCATATCAAGGCATCATTCCTACAAAATCAGGGATTTGACCTTCGGCCGCTTTGCCCCTTCGCACTTAGGTAGCTAGCTTAGGACTTAAGCCACATGCATCACAGCTGATCGTTTACTCACCCAGGGGGGTGATCAGGACTAGTGCACACATCACCTCCCCTGCCAAGTAAGACATGTAAACTAGCAGGCTGCTCGGCTTTGGAAATAACCATTCATGTCGCTGCTCCCTCAACAAGCTCCTGCAGGAACAACCACCGACCCCGCTCGGCCACCTCTTCACTTCGCCAGTCGTTGATGGTGCGCGGAAAAAGATTTAGCACCGGTAACAGTGTGGCATCGTGTGTCATCACAATGAGCACATCATCGCGCCCGTCGAACGCCTTCAGCTTTTCTAGAGTTTCTCCGGCCTGCTCTAGGTCCTCCTGCATGCCAGCCGCAAGCCTATAAAACGTATCCTTTTTCTTATTGGGACCTAGATGCGGTAAGTAAACACAGCTGCACTGCTCGACCGGTGGATTCCATGTACACGCCGTCGTCGGCACTTGATCGGGAAGAGGCCGAAACGGGCTCGGCCGCAGCTGTCCAATATGATGGCACGCGTCGCCGCCTAGAAGAACCCAGGATTCCCGCGTCGTCCGGCATAACCCGCAGAGATGATGAGCTGTATGTCCTGGGGCGTGGAGAAGAAAGAAGGACCCATCGCCGAAGAAGTCTACCGCCTGAAATCCACCGATGGTCACATCACTGGTGGATAAGTTAACTTCGTGGACAGTGCGACCGTGGAAATAACTCTCCAGAATGAACGAATTGGGATTGGTCGGGTACCCAGGCATGCAAGACTCTTTAAAACCTGGACCGACAACGAGTTTTGTACTGGGCGGGAAGACAGATGGATCGCCAACGTGGTCAATGTGCGCATGTGACCAAATCACAGCATTGATGGCGGATAGGTCGATCCCGTGGGCTTGGATGGTCGATGGGACATCCTGGAGCTCCTCGATGGTCATCATGTCCTCGCCGCCAGCGAAGAGTGCTTTGACAGCTGGTGGCATTCGGGTCTCGAGGTCAGTCATGAATGCTAGGTCGAATAAGACTTTCTGTCCACGATTTTGTGATTCGATGAGGAAGCTGTAGCCAGCTAGAGTAATGTGGCTCTTGTCTGCTGGAGCTGGATCCATGACTAGATCTGTTCGCATCTTGGAGGTGGCCCCGTTGATTACGGATATTTTAACATTGTGGCCCTGGTCGGGAGGGAAGTCGATGGCGTGGTGGGACATCGTTGCCGTTGGATCTGTGGAAATGGGGCGCATCTCTGTAGGCTGGATACGGAAGCTTTATAAGACTGGGCAAAGTAGCAGAACCGGGGGCTGTATTGACTCGATTGTTCGGCCACCGGGCTCCTTAGCGGGACATTACGGGTGAACATCTACAAATGTTATATGTTATGTCCAATTTTACCCCGGACAGGGATCGCGGCGGGAAGGGCGATTTAGGAATGATTGGCATATACAGAGGAAAATTGTTCTGAAGGCGAGCATTCCATTCAGAAGGGGAATGGTCTTTGATCAACAGTAATTGCCTTCTCCACCAGGCCTAATCGACTACTTCGTGGTCTTTTTCACCCCCGAGTACCAGTACATCCGGCCAAAAGGGAGCAATGCCGTCTGTTCGCCACTTTTGAGTTCCCATTGACTGAGGTCCAAGTCCGGCTGGCATTTGAGGAGCGCCCATGTTTCATCAGGGGTGCGACCTCGCGTACAAGAAACATAGCCATCAATGGCGTAGAACAACGGGACAATAGGGATGAGGTAAGTGAACAGAAGATGCTTCGGTGACCAATAGAAGTCGTAGAGGGTGGTGAAAAAGACGGATAGGATGACAAAGGTGGTGTTGAGCAGCGAGGGAAGAGTACGGTGGGTCATCTCGATGATCCTAACGGCATGTTGGTCAGTTGTATTCAGTTCATGTGGGAATAATGGCCATACATGAAGGCATCCGCGCTCTTAACCGCACTCGCGAGCACCTTTTTAGCGGCGGGATCATCGAAATGATGGAAACACAAATTGAAAATCCGACACTCCTTGGTGCCCGGTTTGGCCAGACGTCGCGATTTGGTAGCATCGATTGGCTCTTCGATGTATGAGATGTGTTCACTCCGTTTGACGATCTTCTCCCAAGCTCGAATATCCGGCCATAGGTCCGTGAGCACAAATTCCACCGGCTGGTAGCCACTCTTGATCAATTTGGCATTCAAGGTTGGTGCCAGAACAGGGGTTGGGCCCCCAGCGCCAGCACATGCATCGACGATGGTGAACTGGCTCGCTTGCTCAGACCCTCCAAGGACCTTGAGTAGCAGATCGCAAGCCTGCGCCGCTGGTGATCCATTGTTGCTATTAGAAGCCTGCCACATGCGAGACAAAGCTCGATGAGTGTGTTCGCGAAGCCATGAAGGACACCAGGATTGGTCTTCGACCTCAGCTAGATGCAAACGCGGGAAGAGGACCCAGCTCGGCATTGCTGTTATTTTCTATAGTATTTTTTATCTCTAGATACTTGAAAGAAAAGGGGAACTTTTAATGTGACGTGAGGATCTAGTTTTCCGTCGCATCACCCTTGCTTTTGTTGTTCTCAAGTCTCGGAATTTGACGGGGCCCGGGGTCCGGGCTCGTTTCGCAAATGCATGATAGATAAAGGAATAATTTCAGTCATGACCAATTTCCTGTTCAGCCAATGCCAACCCCAGACCATTCTCAGCTCCGTGTTAGTTGGCTTATTTGGTTTGTAAATGGCAGCGAAGTTCGTCCCTTTCTCACTATCTCGCTGGAAAACGGCTGAGGCCCAGGCTCACCCAGAAAATATGGGGGATTCGGAAAGATGTCTTACTCTACTTCCTCCAATATCTCATGGATTTTATCGATTCAAGCTTAAACATCACTGGACCGACCCATTTTTGATCGAGGGTGCTTCCGCTGGCTGCTCCTTGCTGGTAGCTTTGGGGTCGTATTTGGACACATGATTCTATCCCTGTCCAATCCTCAAGCACGTACTTCTCGCCTAAAGATTTGTTATTAGAGCCGGGTGGCTGTCTGCATGTCCCCTGCGTCACCATTATGCCCGCGTACTTTGTACCACCTAGATAGGCTTGGCTTTGGACTTACAGCGTCGGTAAGCTCCCGGCATAATCTACCCATCATGTTCTATAAACTTGTTTGCAAGGCCAGCTTTGGATAAACGGTACGTATCCTGGGGTTTACCGCACTCTCCACTCTTATAATTCGACTCTTTGATATGCAGACTCAAGGCACCCTGCTCCATGCACGGTCTATCATTGATTGGACGGCATTCCCAGACGGGAATACGTAACCTTTGTTGCTGGCTACTTCACTAGCTTCACCACTCTATATGTTAGGTTTTTACAAACGTCGTACTTAGGACAGGGCTCTGAAGTGACGGGTGATAGCATGCCGTTCTATATTGTTGCTACTCTCAACGCCGCCTCATGCATCAAATTTTCACTTGGAGAGTCTTTGCATTCGATATGTAGCTTTTTCTAGTTATATATTCAGTCCACCCTTTTTAGTCACTTGCTCCACACATATATAGTGATGTATTGTTGGCTGCTATCGGAAATATTTAAATGACCTATCTAATACGACAGTAGACATCTAGCCAAGACCCTGTGCGATCAACCAGCATCTAATTCTGCATCACCTTGAAATATCAATATGATATGTCATTCATGTATAAGAACTGGGTAAGATAGTTGCTATAGTTTCCATTTATTAGGCACTCTAGGATCTTCCGGAAGATGGAATTGTGCGCAGGTGCATTATCCGAAAGGCGACTGCAATGGGCCTCTTAACGGCACTCGGAATCCGAACCACTGTCCGTAGAAGGCGAATCCCCGCACAATACAATCTCACGGCAACGTGCATTTATTAGTGTACCGTGGCCACTCGCTGTCAAATTCTGACTCAAACCGTGTTCGTCTCGATTTATACCCTTATCATGTCGGCAGTGACTTCAAAGATAACCATGTCTGGGTCGTGGCAGCCACGGATTCACTTGAAAAACTTGTTCTATGGCCCAGGGTGCGTGGAGAATCACCTCGTAAGCACCCTTCCCGCAACGTCATCTCGAGTGATCATTGTAACTGGAACGTCACTCGCCACGAAAACACCTCTCGTACAGAAATTGGAAACTCTACTCGACCAGCACCATGTAGAAACCATCAGCAACATCCGCCAGCATGGACCGATAGACGATGTTGAGGCAGCGATCGAAACTGTGACGGCGCATCCCGACGTTGACACAATCATCTCTCTCGGCGGCGGTTCCCCGATAGACACCGCAAAGGTCATCTCACTCCGTGTTCAACAAGCTCGGGGATCCTCCCTAACGCATATCACAATCCCAACCACGCTCAGCGGAGCCGAATGTACCGCAGGCGGCGGATATACCAAAGCCGATGGGGTCAAGGTCGGGTTCCGGAAGCCTGAAATGGGTGTTTCTGTTATCTTCTACGACCCACAGTACGCACAGTACACGCCCAAAGATCTCTGGCTGAGCACCGGGATGCGGGCGATGGATCACGCTGTCGAGTGTATGTATCACCCATGCGCTAGCGAGGTCCCCTGGAAGGCGATGTCGCTATATGTTATTCGCGAGCTCTTCGATTGTCTCCCCAAGGCGCGGGACTCGCACCCTCATGATGAAGAAGTGACGGTACGGTTGATGCTGGCAGCATATGCGAGCTCTGGTTTGAAAGGAGAAGGGATACAGGGGGGGATGGGGCTGTCGCACAGCTTGGGTCACGCGCTGGGTAGTCCATACGGAATTGGACACGGAGTGACCTCGTGCTTAACTCTGGGAAAGGTAGTCAAGCTAAAGGCTCATGAGTCCGTGGAAAATGCCAAACAAATTGCTCGCCTGCTGCCTGAGACTGGGGGATCCCTGACAGGCGATGAGCTGCAAGATGCACTCCAGGTTGGGGACCGAATCATCAGTCTTGTCAGCTCCCTGGGATTTGATCTTTCGGGGCTTTCTGCTCGTGGAATAAGCAAAGATGAGATACCAATCATTGTTCAGAGGGCGTTAGGAGGGGCCACGGATGGGCCATTATATGACCAGGTGAAGGCACTGGTGGAAACCTTGTTTTAACCAGCGCTAGAAATATATAAATACGCTGCTGAGACAAATCGGACAGATTCATTCAGTGCAAATTGGTCAGGGCTAGCGGACGAGCTCATCTCAAATTGATAGGAGGAATATTTTAAACACCATTTCAAATCTCTAAGCTGAGGTCTCTGGGCCTACCAGGTCATCCCTCTCGTCTGCAGCTATACTAGGGTTTATGTAGAGCCCATATAGCTATTCAGTGGTTAAATTAATTCTTCACGCCCCCCGGATTCCGCCGTCCGATATGTATATCTTCTTAGAAAATCCATTCCCCATCTATCGAGCAGTGATGAGCTGAATTTGGGACTTATCAACATCAAGTTTCCTCATTTTCTTTACCTAAACCCCCGTCTTAATTTTATAAGATTTTGTTTAGGATCGACAAAATCAAGACATCATGGATAGCGAATCAGGATCAAAGCTGGGTATTTACCCTGTCTCTTCTATTCGTCAGCTGGCAAATGATATCCTCGATCAATGTTCATTGATGGAAAAGGAGTGCCAGAGAACAGAAACTACGCTACCTACTCTAGATGCAGGAGCGGATACCAGCTTCTGGATGGATACTTCAGCCGACCTGGCGAAATCACGAACGCAGACACTTGGCCTGCTGGAACGACTCACGACTCTCCTCCAAGGGCCCCATGACTATCTCCACGAGTTCGTCGCTCCGAACTGGGACCACGGGGCACTTTATGCATTCCTTCAGCTAGGAGTGTTGGAGCATATAGCGAGTTCTGGGGGACAAGCTACCCTTCTTGACTTATCACGGAAATCCGGTGTCCCGGAGGACAAGCTGTACCGGATTATGGGACTGTTGCGCTGCAAGAATATAGTTTGTATGCCGAGTGATGATGTGTTTGCACTCACAGCTATGTCCGAGGATTTACTTCACGACCCAGACTTCAGAGCATGGGTAGAATTCCAGTGGGTAGTCGCTCCTTCGGTGGACAAAATTCGACTGACATTGTAGGTTGTTTGAAACACGCGTTGCCAGTGCTCACCTGGCTGACGCGCTCGCTACAACCCCGAACGATTATAGCAACGGCATCTCGGGGTTTAAAGCTGGGTACGGAGGGCCGAGTTACCGTGGGTAAGCTTGAATAACAGCGCTGACATTTCCTAGATGGGGCGTGGAGATGTATGACTGGCACGCCACCCACCCTGAAAAAGGTGAACGGTTCCGCCGAGCTATGAAAGGTGTATCCAAGTGTAGGTTTACAGTGGGACAAGTTCGCCCATTTTTGCATTGACTGATACCGATCGGTAGCTCTTGATCCTGCAAACTCCCTGCTTTTAGAGTGGTTTACGCGAGGCACACTCTCTAAAGATTCAAAGGTCGTTGAAATTGGTGGAATGTATGGCTTCGCATCGGTGACGCTTGCACCGCAAGCGCCTGATCTGTCGTTCGAAATACGATGCGATTCGGAGGCCTTCCTGTCACGGGGTAAAGCACTACTGGCACCAGGATCAAACGCCCGCGTTAGCTTCACTCATGTCGACTCACTGTTGTATCCGCCAAATATAGGTGATGCGAGCCCTGTATCGGTCTTCCTCATCCGGAACCTTCTGTGGAATTGGGCAGATGACGATGCCGTTCGGCTGCTTCGGTCGTTCCTCCCGACGCTGAAAAGCAGTTTATCCGCGCGAATTTTGGTAACAGACGGGGTGTCCCCTTTACCGAATGAGTTCCCCCCGCACGTGGAAATTGCATACCGTCGTCGGGATATTACAACGATGACAATGCATAATGTGAAGCAGAGAACGCAGGTGGAGTGGTTAGAACTATTTGGTCAAGTTGATCATCGTATGAAGGTGGGTTGCTACACATTAAGATGTTGGCGGTATTTCTAACCTACAGACAGGTAAACGCCTATTTTGATCAGAGTTCGCATGTATGCAAGGGACTATGGGAGTTGAGTTTAAGCCTTTAGTTAGAGGACAAGGCCGGGGTCAATCATCTTGCTCTGTGCTGCGGTATGAATATGCAAAGTCAACATTTCGATTCATAAGATAGAATGTTCATACGTATTAAAATATAAAATTCAGCCTAAGAACTTGCGAATAGCAAAGGAGCGTCTTTTACTATGTCCAGGGTTTTGCTTCAACGCCCAATGCAGGACCACCCCGAACGTTTTTTCTTTTTTTGCTTTGCTTTTGCTTTGCTTTTGCTTTGCTTTTTCTTTGCTTTTTCTTTACTTTTTCTTTGCTTTTTTCTTTGCTTTTTTTTTAAAAAAAGAAACGATAGAAATAGATAGCATCAGATAGATTCTTGTCATTCGGAAATCGATACGTTATTTTTAGCATAAATTGCGCATCGCATTGTTTCTCAAAGCACTGAAAATGGCACTGTTTGACCCAACACATCTCGGGCCCCGAGACCCCGGATACTTCGTACATCGGAATCAAGCCGCAATTTATGATCCTTCAGCATATGCCATGTATAAATTAATAGAGTGAAGACCACATGATTTACTCATCACAATTACCAGCACATTACTTCGTCATGGGAGACAAGGTCGATCAAGCTTATGCCAGCACCCTCAAAATCAACCATTACCAGCCAGATAAAACGCCATGGCGGCGACTGGGAGAATGTACGCACCACACCAATGACATGACAGCCGCAGACATTACACCCACTAACTATGTTTAGACCTCTATCGTGTGATGGAGGACGGTTCTAACACGCAGTTTCGTCTGGCTGCCATCGAGAGCCTACTTCCTCCTAAGACCGATGGACCGGTCTTCCATTTCCATGAGATGCACGACGAAGGCTTTTATGTCTCGGTATGAGATCCCTCAGCTCGATTAAAACGGACTTGGTACGCTAATTCAAAGCAGAAGGGAAAGGTTCGCTTCCACAGCCCCGGTCGACCGACCGTCGACGCCAAAGCTGGAGACTTTGTGGTAGTTCCAATTAGGCTACCTCATCGATTCAGTAATCCTTTTGATGAGGAGGCTGTCTTCGTGAATACCATCACCCCTGGGTTTTTTGTGCGCTACTTTGAACACCTGGAAGAGCTCATCGGGGAGGGTAAGGTCTTGACCCCCGAGGTTAATAAGGCCGCCCTACGACGTTTTGCAACAGTTCCTGTAAGCCAGGAGGACATCGATGATATAGAGAGTAAGAGTGGTATTGTTGTTCAGACCGAGGGAGAGAAATATGTGGACCAAGTTGCTGCGGAAAAGGCTGTGGCTGTCTCGGCCTAAAATATCCCATGGTGGTCAGGGTCATGATAGCTATCACATTACACTTAGGAGGACATCATAAAGCCTGAGCTAAGCCTTGCCAGAACATCATCTTCTTCGTCGGAGTTCCATCCATTACGAGCTCGCTACAGAACAAATAATAGATTGTTTCCTACCACATTCTCTTTCCATTCTTCTAAACCCCGATTCCTAGATAGGGAGACGGCATGCCTTTATTGGTGATATCCAGCATACCTGAGTCTTCATGCCTGAAATGATTAGATGGCGGTGAAGGAAGCGTCAAGGGATGATTCGGTAATTGTACAAGATCCCTTACCGCAGGAATTCTGCAGCTAATTTGGGGGGGAAGGAAGGGTGGTAGTTTCTCGGTTTGGAACAGTCAGTCTTGTGTTTTTAACCCCTGTAAATCCATGGCCCCCGGGCCCCGGGGCCCGATACTGTGAGCTTACTAAGGATTTATACCTAAGGCATAGTTAACTAAAAGCTGCCTGAAGTATTGCTGACTAAGTAACGGAAGGTTCCAAGGTTCCCGAGGTCCGTTTTTCTTCTAAATTTGTCACGTACAACTTAACTAGGACGTGGAACAAAATCGGAAGTAATTCAATCCTAATGAGACAGATAGGCATTTAAGAGTAGGATGTGATGCAACTCAAGAAAATGGGTATGGGTGCATGGAACTTATGATAATTATGTTTCGGGCATGTTGTAGATTTTCACGTCTCTAGTCCCTCGGTTTCAGATGGACCAGCAATGGTGGCTTGACCCAGAATCCAAAGATCTTTTGGTCATCAGCCCATCCCCTGCTACTTGGATCCAATTCCATCTCAAATTGAAGTAGAAGCTTTGTTGCAATGAGACGCATCTCAGCCCAGGCCAAGTTCTTTCCCAGGCAGTTCCTCGGACCGAAAGAAAATGGTTGCAAACAGTTGCGGTTATCCTGATTGTAGGGATGCTGATTCTGTGTCTCTGGAAGCCACCGTTCAGGAAGGAATTCCCCTGGGCGATGGAAATTCTTCGCATCATGATAGCAGGCATAGTGATTGATTCCAACAGTGGTCCCAGCAGGCACAAAACCACCGGCAATGACTTCCCCATCCCCCGGCACGACCCGCGGGAGTGTGATAGCTACAGGTGGATAGATCCTCATGGATTCAAGAAGTACCGCGTTGAGGTATGTAAGGTTGTTTAAATCAGCCAGTTGGATGTGGTCCACGGAATGAAATGCCCCTCGTATCTCCGCTACAAGTCTTTCCATGATGTCTGGATGGGTGAGAATGTAGTAGGTGAATCCACTGAGCACAGTTGCCGGTGATTCGGAACCAGCTATACTAAAACTGAAGGCGTTTACATTCATCTCTTGCCGAGACATACCCTTTTCGGATTCCATGGTGGCCAGAATATAGTGCATGAAGTCCTTGCGGTCTGTCACTTTGTCAAACCGTCGGTTGACCGTGCCAATCACGCGCTTCATATTCTGTGCACGCGCACCCTTGATGGAGTTTGGGGTAAATATTCCTCGAACTGCCAGAAGACCGTAGTATTTGAACATTTGCATAAAGGTAAGCTCTTTTGAGATCTCTCGGATCGAAGAGACAAAGCCGTCATATTGACCATCATCTAGACATGTAAATCGTTCGCCGAAGGAAAGATCTCGGATCAAATCATAAGCTAGCCATCACTTGAATTAGCAAGGATATTAGGGACGCGATTCAGCCACTGACTGATAAAATTAAACCAATCAACCAAGTCTAATGACCCAGAGGCCGCTCTGAAGGAAAGCTGGTCGAGAAAGACCTTCACATAGCTCTGTATAATACCTTCCTGCTCGCGCAAGGCCTTCTCAGAAAATGCATGAGAGAGCAGACGTCTCTGTCGGGTATGTGTTGGTCTGTCGGCTGTCAGGAGATCTGATTCAGTCAGCCAGAACACCACAGAACAGCATGCCAGAGTTCCTCATACTTTGCACTCCTGTCGGTGAATGAAGCGAAAAGACGGGATCTTTGCCCATTTCAGCTGATCTGGGACCGTAAATCGTCTTCCAAGCGACCTCAGAGGTAAACGAGAGCTCACTCGGCGCTACACGAACTGTCGGACCATACTTCGAATGGAGTTCCAGCAATTTACGATTCAAAACACCCTGGTACTGATACCAGCACCACGGCAATCGGCTCGCGCCCCAGAGTATAGGTCCTGGGTAGTTTCGCAGCGGATGCAGAAGGGCATTGTACAAACAGTGCAGAAAAAGCCAGGTGCATAACTGCGACAAGCATCAAAATTAGTACGACAAGATCACAAAGTATCAAGGTGGAGTTTGAGAATACACAGGAGATTGAAATGCCTGTAATGGATAAGAATTTCTGGAGAAGTGTGCCGCCAAGATAGGATGATACGATGTCCATATTAATGTGTATTCTGGGGAAAGTGATGGGGTAAGAAAGAAAAAGAAACGACGAGGGGGATTTAGGAAGTTAAGGGATAAATCACATAGCAGGCCAATATCAGGCTAGCAATCAACTAGACAGGGATAAAATAATCTGGAATTGTAGCACATAACCCCAATATGCAGCAGATGCATAAGCACAGATCCATAACTACAGAGGCCGCATTCTCAAATTCGCGAGCTGCAATCTTGGAAATGGGCTTTAGATTCAGTCCACCTAGCCAAGGGGGGGATACTTGGATACCTTCAGGGACTCGGACTCCGAGGTCCATCGGTGGAAACCGTCCGAATAGGAGTGACGTCCCATGCAGTGACAATATGATACTAGGGAACACGAAATCCTCAAAATATATGACCAATCCATTTCTTAGTGTATGCTGATTTTTTACTCAAACTCGTCCCAAGGTCCCAAATCCAACTTCCACCATTTCTAACAAACATGGCAGCTCCTCAGACACAGCCGCAGGACCTCCATGTCCTTATCATTGGGTCCGGTATCACCGGGCTCGTTCTTGCCCAAGCATTGAACCAGGTAAATCAATTTATCAGAGCCGTATTTAAAAAGAAGAAAATGTATCCATAGCTAACGGCGCGCAGGCAGGCATCCGGTACTCGATCTTCGAAAAGGAAGTGGCAATGAATTATCGGAGCAATGAATGGACGATGGCAATTCACTGGTCGCTTGACCGTCTGGAAAAGCTGCTTCCCGAGGACCGATTTGCAAACATGCTAGAGGTCTCCTGTAATCCCGCGGTTCCTATTGATGCCGGTGGCAACTACCCCATCATTCACGGTGAGACTGGGAACCTGTTGGCAGGTGTGCCCTACGCTAAGGGCCTGCGCGTCCCTCGCAGTAAGATGAGAGCGCTCTGCGCCAAAGGCATTGACGTTCAGTATGGAAAGAACCTGATCGATGTCGCCTTTAACGAGAGTGGACAAGGCGTAGTGGCCTTCTTCGAGGATGGCACCGTCGTGTCTGGATCAATCCTTGTTGGTGCAGACGGTCCTCGGTCAACAGTCCGCAATTTTGCCATGGGCTCCACCGAAGCTGCTGCCGTTAGCCGGTTCCCCATCTTTCACACCAATATGACCGTCACATACGACGACGCCGACAAGGCTCGCTACGTCCGAGAGCGGTTCCCCACTAGCTATCTGGCACTCAGTGATCGATCATTCCATGCATTCCAGTCTAGTAAGTCATTCCCAACCACTAGTTTTGAAATGTGGCCCACTGACACATCCTCCAGTATCCAGTATGCCAGATGGTGTCGACCACCCCGAGTCTTGGATTTTCCATATGGCGATGGCGTGGTTCTCCGATACTGAAATACCTGCCTGCTATCAAGAACGAGTTAAACTGATCCGTCAAAAGGCCGAGGGATTGGGAGAGCCTGCGCGGTCGGCATTCACTTGGATTCCCGACGACACTCAGGTCCACAAAGCAGATATAAGCTACTGGGCCACTCAGCCATGGGACAACCGACAGGGCAGAATCACTCTGGTCGGAGACGCCGCACACCCTATGCCTCCCTGTAAGTTCCTTTTTCTGTCGGGTTTTACAAGTTACTAACGCTCATCGGAATTGAATAGACCGAGGCCAGGGGCTAAACCATTGTATCTGCGATGTCTCTAATTTGTTAGCTGGCGTCCAAGAAGTGATGAGAGGACAATCCACCCTACGAGATGTGGTAGCGGCGTACGAAACTGAGCTAGTCCCACGTGGACGGGAGGAGGTAAAGTGCTCCGTGGAGAACGGGTATATGTTGCACGACTGGGAGAAGGTGAGAGAAAGCCCAGTTTTCAGGAATGGGTTCAAACCCATGGACGGCCATGATAAGGTGGCTTCCGTTGAGGTGGCTGTGCCAGTGGGACAAGTCGCTGCCAATTGAGACTACTCGCTGGGAACTGCAATAGATTTAGTTGTGGAAGCAGAGCAGAATATTTAAGACGATTTCGGAATTGACATAGTATCAGGTAATTATCTTCAAAGTAAAAAAGGAACGAAAAACCCCAGTACACTTTCCCCCCTCCGCCCTGGTAGCCATCCATCATGAGCAATTCAGTCGCTTAACTACTTTATTTCATTCCGTGTACGAAGAGTGCAGATGAGGTATACGGAATAAATACTGGTTACAAAAACCAACCATGGCAATTGGGACATGAAACAATACACGCCGCGGCTATGGCGGGACTCGTTCAAAGACGAAACTTTTGAAAGAAGCAATATCAATTGAAATGAAACGCAAAGCACATAATAAAACAACGTTAAAAAGCTCGCTGCTCGGCCTCCGGGAGTCTTAGACTAGTCCTCTTATCACAAGATGGAGTGGAAACTCTATTTTCTCTAGATGTTCGAAGTGTATTCACCACGAATGAACGTTAAATCGGGTTCAGTAGATACATTGTGATTCAGATTTAGGTCAACAGGCCATCAGCAATATGCGTCTCTACCCAACCCGTAACAAAAACAGTCCTCGCGGGGTCGGCAAAGTTAACGTGGTCTGGAAAAATTACATCTTGATAGTAAGGATCATCCTTCACTCGAATATAATCTTTCACATCCTTAAATATGATCTGAATAAAGCAATCATAGCTAGCGGTGTGGCCCTCTGGGAAGTGTCCAAAGATCTGTTGAAGCATCTGTTTGGTTTCGGTGGTATTGTGGGTCTTTGGGAGTTTTGTATCAGTATGCATTCTCTATCTCTCGTCTGGGTCTCGTTTTAAAACGCTTACCATAGTATAGCTGACAATACCAGCCTTGACAAGGTGAGTCTTGACCAGCTTGGCGTGGTGTTCGCTTAGGTAACTGTGGTAGTCATCTTCGCTCATTCCCTCCTTGCGGTAGGCGCAAATAGTCAAGGCATACACGCGCTGGCTGGGCATGATGATAGCAGTATTTCGCGAATGGAAGTCAAGATGAGGTGAGAATGACTGTTCTTTAAGGATGGCCTTGACTTATTGTACAAATATTGTTGCTCTACGTCCGGTTCCCGAGCTCGAGCTGACAAGGCGTCAGCTGAAGCCGTTCGATTAATTTCACGCATCGGAGCCTATGTCCCGAGCCTCCATGTACATGATAACAAGAAGGATGGACCCCGGGCCCCGAGAAACCAGAGATATACAGGCCGTTCTCTACCTGATGACTTAGGCTGTGAAACATCACATCCCTTAAAAAGGCAACGCATGCATGTTGAAGTCCCTGGTTTTGAGCTTTTTGTTTTGGCTCTGACCAAGGTATTTCATTAATTCAAATCCGATTTCTTCCTTCAACAATGGAGAACGTTTCTAGCCACCCCATAGGTAGCGAATACCATATAGATGCCACCGACTTGAGGAAATCCTGTCAGCTGTATGTCTTCGGCGATCAGACCATACCATTTGAAAACACACTATACAGCCTCCTTCAATTAAAGGACGATTCCATCCTGGAAGCCTTTTTCGACAGAGTCGCCTTTCACATTCGACGCTATATAGGAAGTCTTCCAACAAAGCAACAGAGCTGGTTCCCGCCCTTTACAACCTTGCTTGATGTTGTTTCCCAACATGATACTTTCAGCGGAGCACCTGCTATCAAGTTTGCTCTTCTATGCGCCACGGAGATTGGGCAATTTATCAGGTGAGGCACCACTCGATGTTGCCATGCCATGTATATCTTACTGACAGATGAAGACATCTTGGACAAAGTTCAAACACATACCCTTCTGCTGCGAGCACGTATCTTCTTGGCGCATGCACAGGGTCATTCGCGGCAGCAGCAATCAGTACCTCGCAAACGCTTGCTGAACTGCTCCCTGCTGCAGTGGAAGCAGTACTCGTTGCGTTTCGATGTGCCCTCCGTGCTTTCATTTTCCGAGAGGATATAGAATCGTCAGTTTCCTCGGGGCAGAAATCTTGGACAGCTCTGGTGGGAATCCAGAGGGCCGAGGCCGACGAATTGATCAAGAACTTCAATGACAAGGTAATACATACGTCTCGTGTTTTATCGATATCACCTTCAAATTTCCAAGGGTTTCGACTGATCCATGGACTACAGGGCCTTCCATTCAGCACACAACTGTACATTAGCTCCATTAACCGCCAGAGCGTATCTATCAGTGGGCCTCCCCGACTATTATCCGAGTTCGTATCATCGAACACATTGAAGCACTCTTTCCTGCCAATTGAGCTCCCGTATCATGCACCACATATCTTCTGTCCCGCGGAAGTCGAATTGGTAGTTGGGGACTTCCATGAGCCAATTTTGAAAGGCTACGCTCAGCGACTTAGTATCGTCTCCGCCACTTCTGGCAATATCATTTCGTCCTCAAGTTTCAGGCAGCTCATATGGGGAGCTGTTTCCGAGACCTTGACTGAAACTCTGAATTGGGAGCTCATGACCAAATCGCTAGTAGAAGAGTTCTCACGCAAAGCCATCGCCGATTGCATCATCTACCAGATTTCATCCAAGAGCGGGCCGCTTCTGTCATCAGCTTTAACGGCGAATATGACAATCAATGTCAACGTCCTTCACTTACCGGGAGGCGGGACGGAAACTGAACCTGCGTCAACCGACACGGGAAAGTTCTCGCAGTCCAATATTGCCATCATTGGATACTCGGGACGGTTCCCCGAATCAACTTCGAATGAGGATTTCTGGGAGTTGTTGATGGCCGGGCGCGACGTGCACCGGGAGATCCCTGAGGATCGGTTTGACTGGAAGGCCCATTATGACCCGACTGGAAAGAAAAAGAACACAAGTCGGATCAAGTATGGCTGCTTCATCAAGGAGCCCGGGTTGTTCGATGCGCGGTTCTTCAACATGTCTCCGCGAGAATCCGAAAGCTGCGACCCTGCGCAACGTCTGGCCATCACCTCAGCGTATGAGGCCATTGAAATGGCTGGATTAGTACCTAATACGTCCCCATCGACCCAGACTGATCGGATTGGCGTTTTCTATGGAGTAACCAGTGACGATTGGCGCGAAGTGAACAGCGGGCAGAACATCGATACATATTTCATTCCTGGGGGAAACCGCGCTTTTATCCCAGGCCGGATCAGTTATTACTTCCGCTTCTGTGGTCCCAGTCTTAGCATCGATACAGCATGTTCCTCTAGCTTTGCGGCTATCCAGACAGCGTGCGGGTACCTATGGCGTGGCGAGTGTGACACGGCACTTGCTGGTGGTGCCAATATCCTGACGAATCCCGACAACTTTGCGGGCCTGGATCGAGGTCATTTCTTGTCCCCTACAGGTATGGATACCTCGATACTATGATCGGGGTTGAACGAAAGAGGCTAATCCGAACTTACAGGAAACTGCAATGCCTTCGATGACGGCGCGAATGGCTACTGTCGCTCGGATGCAGTGGGAACTGTAATTCTCAAACGCCTTGAAGATGCCATCGCCGATAAGGACCCGATCCATGGTGTCATCCGTGGTGCCTACACAAATCACTGTGGACGAGCAGATTCAATCACACGCCCATTCGAGGGTGACCAGGCTGCCGTATTCAACCGGATTATGCGCTATGCCGGTGTCAACCCACAAGATGTGGGCTACGTCGAAATGCACGGCACGGGCACGCAGGCCGGTGACGCGACTGAGATGAAGTCAGTCCTATCTGTCTTCGCTCCGGATGAAAAGAGAACGAAGCCCCTTTATCTTGGCACAGCAAAGGCCAATATTGGACATGCCGAGTCCGCTTCAGGTGTCTCGTCCTTAATCAAAGTGTTAATGATGATGAAAAACAATGCCATCCCTCCCCACTGTGGCATCAAGACTAAAATCAATCAAGGCTACCCGAGAGATATGAAAGAACGAAACATCCATATAGCATTCACCCCAACTGAGTGGCATGCCAGTGATTCAGCGCAGGGAAAGCGAAAGGCCTTCCTTAACAACTTTAGCGCAGCTGGCGGAAACACGGCCATATTGCTCGAGGAAGCTCCTGAGCGTTCGGAACCGTTGGTAGAACAAGATATGCGATCCAGGCAACCGGTCACAGTGTCAGCAAAGACTGTCAAGTCTCTCGCCGGCAATGTTGAAGCACTCATCAGTTATCTGAATGAGAACCCCGCCGTATCTCTTTCCTCTTTGTCATACACCACGACAGCACGAAGGATCCACCAGAACTATCGAGTTGTCGTTTCCGGCTCCGATATTGCCTCCATTCAAGCTCGCCTGCAGGATATCCTCCCTGCTATCTCGGAACAGAAGCCGATCCCGCCCGTGGCAAATCGCCCCCCTATCATTCTAGCATTTACAGGCCAGGGCAATGTGTACCAATGTCTTGGCAAGCAGCTTATGAATTCCGCACCTTGTTTCCGAGAAAGTATGCTCCGTTTCAACCGTCTTGCAGAGCAACAGGGTTTCCCGAGTTTCCTGCCACTGGTTAATGGCACTATCGAAGATTTGGGCCAGACGTCACCGGTTATCACTCAGTTGGCACTGGTTTGTGTTCAGATGGCCTTGTACAACTTCTGGAGGTCGCTGGATATCACTCCTGCGGCAGTCACTGGTCATAGCCTTGGAGAATACCCTGCCTTGTACGCATCTGGCGTTCTAACTGCTGCCGATGTGGTATATCTGGTTGGCACGCGTGCACAACTTCTGTCTGAAAAGGCCACTGCCGGAACACATGCCATGCTGGCTGTCAAGCTGCCGCTGAGTGCCATCAAACCAGAATTGGAAGGCACATATTGCGAGATTGCCTGCATGAACCAGCCATCTAGCAATGTGGTCAGTGGCCCAGTTGAGGATCTGGTGGCACTGCAACAGAGGCTGAAGGTTCGGGGGGCAGAATGTATCTTGCTGGACGTACCATATGCCTTCCATTCCGGTCAGGTTGATCCCATCCTTGAAAGCTTCCAAAAAGCCGCTGCCAGTGTTTGTTATGAATCCCCTTCGATTCCTTATATATCGCCCTTTTTGAGCAAGGTAATTGCGGTGGGAGATACGGATACTCTGACAAATTCGTATTTGGTGAATTCTTGTCGTCGTCCAGTCAATTTCCAGGGTGCCATTGAAGCAGCGAGAGCGGATAATTTGGTGACTGAAAAGTGTCTGTGGATCGAAATCGGATCTCATCCAGCCTGTTCTGGCATGATAAAGGGTATTCTCGGTCCCAACAGTCTCACGATTCCCTCCCTTAATAAGAACAAGGATAGCTGGGCAGTTTTGGCCTCGGGCCTGGAAACCCTCTATTCCAGTGGGATTGACATTTGCTGGACAGAGTATCACAGAGGGTTCGAGCAGTATCAAGAGGTACTCGCACTCCCTCGGTATTCATGGGACTTGAAGAACTACTGGATTACTTATCGCAACAATTTCTGCCTCACCAAGGGTGACGATCTTGTTGTCGTCGCGGATCCAGAATTAACTACTGAGCGTCAAGCCAAACCCCGCTATCTCTCGCCCTCTGTTCAGATGATCATGGAGCAAGAGGACGGGCCTGAGAATTCAATGCTCATTGCTGAGTCCAACATCCATGATGAGCGTCTTGCACCCATACTTACTGGTCATTCTGTCAACGGTGCCCTGCTCTGCCCATCGGTACGTACAGCGTCCGCCCTATTTATTGTGGTGCCTACTAATCAGTAAATAGTCACTGTATGCCGATATTGCACTGACTATCACGGAGCACATGTTGAAGGCCGTGGATATGGATGTTGAAAAGGCTGGATTCGATGTCGCTGAAATGAAAGTGATAAACCCTTTGATCTCTCAGCCAGACAAGGAGTCGCAACTATTCCGCATAACAGCCTCGGCCGATTGGACACAAAACACCGTCTCTTTCAGTCTGTTTAGTGTCAATGACAAAGGGAAGAAGACAACAGACCATGCAACTTTCGCTGTCCAGATTCTTCCCACGCAAACGTGGATGGAACAATGGAAGCGCAGTTCTCATCTGGTTCACAGCAGGATTCGCACTCTTTATGATAGTGCCGAGAATGGTGACGCACATAGACTCAAGCGCCGTCTTGCTTATCAACTCTTTTCTACAATCGTGCAGTATAGCCCGGAGTACCAGGGAATGCAAGAGGTGATTCTGGATAGCGAGGGGCATGAGGCCACTGCAAAGGTGGCTTTCCAGGTGGGTGAAAATGGGTTCACATTCAACCCCTGCTGGATTGACTCATTGGGCCATATTGCCGGGTTCATTATGAATGCGAGCGATGCCACCCCGTCGAAGTCTCAGGTTTTCATCAACCATGGCTGGGAGCGCATGCGATGCGCCATCAAATTCTCCCAAGGCAAGCAGTATCAGGTATACAACCGCATGCAACTGGAGACTGGAAGCACCTATGTGGGCGATACCTACATTTTTGATGGCGCAACGCTGGTGGCCATTTTTGAGGGGATTCGCGTAAGTTCCAATGCACCTACAATCAAAAACTTGCTAACTCCAAGAAGTTCCAGGGCGTTCCGCGTCAGATTCTCGATCGCCTTCTCCCTTCAAAAGGGCGATCAAATCCAGTCAATAATACAGGAAGCGTGAAGACATCGGAGTCTTTACCCCCTCGCCCTCGCAAGGCTCCCGTTGATGTGTCCAAGATGCAAACCACCAATGTTCTTCCCAGAGCAATTCCTAAGCCGGCCACAGTTGGCGTTGGGTCTCGTGTAATGGATATCATTGCCCAGGAGGCTGGAGTTGCACCGCACGACCTAGGCCCCACCGAAGAGTTCAGCAACCATGGCATTGACTCGCTCCTTTCCCTTACCATTATCGGTCGTATCCAGGAAGAGCTTGGTGCAGAGCTTCCCTCGTCCCTGTTTATCGACTATCCAACGCCCAAGGACCTCTTGGGATTTTTCAAAGTTGCCGATGACTCTTCAACCGATTCATCGGAGATAGGGAGCGGTGTTGAGACTCCTGACAACGGAGGATCAGGTTGTGATACCGGGGCTACGTCCGACCAGGAACTGGAATCATCGGTCCTGGATGTTATCCGCGAAACCATCGCCCAGGAGACTGGCATGAGTATGGACGAATTAACATTTACCACCAGATTTGCCGACATAGGAGTTGACTCGCTTCTGGCGCTGACAATTGTGGGCAGGCTAAGCGAGGTTTTGGAAATCGATCTCCCGTCCACGCTTTTCTTGGAAGCTCACAATCTAGAAGAGGTGGATAAGACATTGGGTCTGGGAATGACTGTGAAGTCAGCAGCAAGCCAGACGTCAGCAGCTGTGCCGCGTGCATATAGTTTTGATCCCTATTCTGGCCCTCAATCCACGTCAATATTGCTTTGGGGAAACGCAAAAACAGCCAAGAGTACCCTATTCTTCTTCCCTGATGGATCCGGATCGGCCACCTCATACGCAACGCTTCCCAGGATTGGCGCAGACACAGCTGCATACGCCCTCAACTGCCCCTGGATGAAAACACCCCACGAGATGACGTGTACCCTTGAGGAACTCACCTCCAAGTACCTTGTGGAGATCCGCCGCCGCCAGCCAGTCGGGCCATATTATCTGGGCGGCTGGTCCGCTGGGGGAATCTGCGCGTACGAGGCCGCACAGCAACTAGCCCGAGAGGGCCAGCAGACTGCACGATTGATCTTGATCGATTCGCCCAACCCAATCGGCCTTGATAATCCTCCACAGCGAATGTACGACTTTTTCGACAGCATCGACATCTTTGGCACCAACGGCCGAGCACCGCCCAGCTGGCTCCGACCACACTTTGACGCGTTCATCCGTCTCCTTGACAACTACAAGATCAAGCCTTTCATCAAGGCCGAGCCCGGAGTGCGCACACATCTTGTGTATGCGCGTGACGGCATCTGCAAGCACCCAGAGGACCCGCGTCCTGAGACTCGCCCCGATGATCCCCGCGAGATGATCTGGCTTCTTAACAACCGCACTGATTTCAGTGGTGATGGATGGGCGTCTTTGGTCGGTAGGAAGAATCTGCACATCGAGGTTTTGGACGAAGTCAATCATTTTTCGATGATGGATAAAGGGTCGCATATGGACGCATTTGGGGATTTCCTGCGTCGGTCAGTGGCTTATTTGGTTTGATTATGTCCACGCGTACTCCTTTTGCTTATATATTCGGTTTCATTGTATATTCGGGTTGATAGTGTATTCGGTTTAATTCTGTCTGATTAGTTATGCGTAATGATTTTATATAACCCTTCAATGTTGAAAATTGATGATTTAGTTTCTTTAATTTGGTACACATAAATTGGACCATTCTGCGAAGGAGCATAACGGCCAATGTCCCAATGCACTTTTGACCTAGTTGATGCCTGGATCACGCCCAATGCCAAGCCTACTGAGATCTGCCTGACGCTGAGGATAACCCTTGTATCCTTTTGATGACAATATTGCATAGGTCGCTGTTGCCCTAGGAGCAAAAAAGGATTGTCATGCTCGTGCTTGATAGAAGGGGACATCTGGGCATTAGAGGTACCTAGGTATATAGCTGTTTAATTATTTAGTATGATTGACCCAACGACCGCTTTGGGATCTTTGAAGTTCAGATTCGCTGTGGATAGATCTGGGGCAATCTCAAATCTCGCCTCCCGCGACTCATCGGTTGTTTGGACTTCCCACTTTCCTTGAACTCTACCCTCATCCTCAGTCACCACACTATCTGGGAAGTAGAACTCAGAGCTATGTGGGGTATTGTCCCTCCATAGGACCTGTGCTTGGACTCGAAATCCGCCTTTGGTTACGCTCAAGGAATCTCTGCAGTTTCCGAGACTTATCGTCATATGTCCCACATCCCGTCTCCTCAAGGAATCCAAGTGTTATAGACACCAGACCTTCGGATTCGCGTTCTCGCTTGTTCCTCTTTTACATTTCCCAAAACTCCGATGCTATAGCGTTTTTTACGACGGAGGGATCCTAATTTGTAAAATTCTTCCCCTTACATTAAATGCTGCCCAGATAATAGCGAAGAACCGCTTATCCTTGCATTGGTGTCAGTACCAGAAGCTCTTTCCTTCTCCCTCTTTCTTCTTCGTACGTCGTTGTGTGTCTTGTCTTTGTTTTCTTTCGGAGGATCGGAGGATCGGAAAATCGGAGGATCGGGGGATCGGGGGTGGGCTTTGGAATCCCCACCCAAAGTGGACCAGCGCATATATGAAAGTGTCATTGGGGTCGTAGTACAGATGCTCGCATGGTTAATAAATACGACTCCTTTCCATTTGAAGGTAAATAGTATGTAATCAAATAGTCTTGCAAATAGTTTTGCCCAGGTGGTGTGGGACTTAGGGGCTGTACTCTAAGCTCCACGGCCAAGTGCAGGCCCGTAAAATCCCCAATACTAGTGTGTATCGTAAGATCTGGGTGTTTGGCCTCCACGGGGTGCCTTGTATGCTAGTATGCACTAGTAGCCTACTCCCACCATGTCAACTTTCTCCGAGTACCTGCTCCTACAAATCTTTTTCTGTGTCTATTCAGATTCAGGCTTTAAACCCCTGGGGAGCTGGTGTTTTATCATCTACATACCTTGGAAGTTTCTCTGTTCCCCACGCGACTTTGCCCCCACTCGAGCATTCTAAAAATGACAGATCAGCCAAGTCCCGAAGAAGCCATCATGGACCCTTCTGCGAGTCGACGTCGCACGAAACCTCAGCTCTCCTGCAATTTATGTAGACGTCGGAAGTATGTGTGCATAGCAACGCCATTTGTCTCGCATACACTGTCCCTCCAGCTAATAAGACTAGGCTGAAGTGCAATCGCGAATATCCTTGCGGCACATGCTCGAAACGCGGGCTGGACAAGTCGTGCACTTACCCTCCAGATCCGATGCAACCATCGAGGCTGGGTCGTTCATCGTCAAATATGCAGGCTAGGATAGAGCAATTGGAAAGCTTGGTGGTCACTCTGATGCAGCAGAGCAAGAGCGTGAAGCGCGAGGATTCAGCCGTACCTCTCCAGACGACCTATCCAACACACGAAATGGACAACAGGGCGGATGAGATCTCGTCTCAATCGGATCACGGCAGCATAAAATTCAACAATTTTGGGAATTCCAGCTATGTCAATGGCAGCCACTGGGTGGCTGTTCTGGACGGAATCGCCGAATTGAAAGATTATTTCGAGTATGAAGAAAGGGAACCTGCCCGGCCTGACTTCGGTCCAACCTCTTCTGCGTCATTTGTCGGCCCGCAGCTACTCCTTGGCTGCCCTTATTACACAACCAGGGAGCAGGTCTTGGCATCACTCCCCGGAAAGCCCGAAGTGGATCGATTGGTGTCGTTCTATTTCAACTCACTCGACATGTCTCCAGGTAAATACCGAACCCGTGATTTTGATTTCAAACCGGCTGACTGAGTCATCATATAGCTATTCTTCACAGTGTCGAGTTCCTCAAAGAAGTAAGCTCTTTCTCTCAGAATGTTTCTTCGAAGAGGTTCTGATTCCAATTCCCTCTAGTATGAACAATTTTGGGAGCGTCCTGCCGATACCCCAATAATATGGGTAGGGCTCTTATACTCTATCATGTGCCTGGCCGCACAGTTTCGGAAATTTCGATTCGAATCTGGCCTTCATCCGATACTATCCGCAGACCATGATCCCCAAACGATGGTGGAAGCTTTCCGCGCAAACATTGTCCAATGTCTGATCCTCGGAAACTACCACATGGGAGGACCTTACGTACTCGAAACGTTGATTCTGTACTTCACCTGCGAGCATTTTAGCCACAAGGATGCACAGCTCGGAATCTGGTTACTCCTAGGTATCGTTGTCCAGTTATCCATGCATATGGGGTTTCACCGCGATCCAAAGCATTTTGGAGATCAGGATATCTCTCCGTTCGCGGGCGAGATGAGGCGACGTGTGTGGGCTACAATCATGGAGTTGGACCTAGGAATATCAGCCCAAATGGGTCTTCCCCGTTTGATCAGACCATGGCAGGCGGATACCTCGGAACCTCGGAACTACCTGGATAGCGATTTCAATCAGCAAACTACAGATCTTCCACCCCCACGGCCCGATACGGAGAATACACCAATGCTTTATCGACTCTCGAAAGCACGCATGATGTCTACCCTTGGCCTTATTCTGGACGGTGCCTCCGATATTCGAGAATATACATATACATATTCCAAGATTTTGAAGATAGATACTAAATTGCACGAGACTCATAACGCCATACCCATTTGTCTCAAATGGATCTCGATGGCCCATTGCATCACAGACTCACCACAAGTCATCATGCAGAAACTGTTCCTGGAGCTGATGTTTCAGAAAGGCAAAATCATCCTACATCGGAAATTTCTTTCGCAACGAGGGGATCAATACAGTGATTCACACAGGGCATGCATACATGCAGCGTTGAATATACTGGAATATCAACGTATTTTGGACGAGGAGATGCAGCCTTTCTGCCAGTTGTACCAAGAAAGATGGCGTGTCTCGTCACTTGTCAACCATGACTTTCTGCTAGCGGCCAGCGTTCTGTGCTCTTATTTGGAGCAGGAAAGGAAATTAAATCCCGGTGGTCTAGCCGAGAATGCAGAAATCATTCACGATGCATTAACACGGTCGCACGGCATTTGGGCTCGATCGAGCTTTTCTGCAGAGGCTCAGAAAGCGGCACACGTCTTAAAGGTTGTTCTTCGGAATAGGCAGGATTTCCCTTCGAATAGCTGTGAAGCCATGTCGGAAGCCTCACAATTCTGTATGACACCAGATGATCCACTAAACTACCAAAGCGGTACGTTCTTCTCTATTATTTTTCTTTTTTTTTATTATTTTACTTCCGCTCTCTCGTTTTTCGAAAATTCCAAGAGATGACCCTTGTACTGACGAGCTGTGTAGACCTAGGCGCTGACCTCAACCTCACTTTCCCTTTCTTTCCCGATAGGGAACAATGTCCAGAGCACATTCTAAAGTCAATGGAGTTTTTGCCAAATTTCATTCCTCCGGATCAGTTTGCCATGTGTGACATATATGCAACAAATAGTGAGTTTGTTAATAACATGTATATATGGATCGGCTAACACCGTTCTGTCTAGACCAGCCTTTCTTGTCACAAGAAAATTGGCTAAGTCGAGAATGACAGTTCCCCTGGCTAGACAGCTACTCTTGAGTGCCTTTGAGTCCCTGGGCTGGGAACTGACTGCATTGTAGTGAAATTGCCATTTGTTCAGAATCACTCTCAATACCAACAAGAAGTTCCATTGGGTATGATTTGCTTGTTTTAGATCAATTCTTCAAGATATCTGGCTGCATCGATCTTTACATGGTTCTGGTGGGCTTTTCATTATAAAAAGAAACTACGCAATGGGAAATAAAAGAATTATATATTTCAAAAACCCTTGATCAGCCGCCGGCCTCCATCCCTTGGGCCCACAAACGCCGGAGATATGCAGCGTCAATTCGAGGACCTTTTCCAGACCAACCAGCTGTTCGCGAAGCAGAGACAGTTTGACTTTGGTCCAACGCAAACATGATGTGTCCATGTTGCAAGTACTGCTCAATGACCGTCCAATAAAGCTGCTCTTGCTCACTTGCATTCTTCCTCACAACTTCAAGCCATGTTCTGAGGCCCACGATCCGGGCGGGTTGGCCCAGCTCATAGTTTCCTTCCTTGAATATGCTATCTATCGTTGAGGGTAAATCATGTAAGCGCAGGGGTTGAGAGCTTCCTAGATGATAGATGCAGGGTAATTGGTGTGGAATAGTCCCCGCGACGGAACGGCTGTATATTGCATGGGTGAGCACGTCAACAGGTATGAAATCGATCACAACGTCTCCACTGTTGGCATTCGGGGCGGATATATCGGGTACGAGTCGGTGTCGGATCATCTGCATAATCATGCCGTTGACAAAATCAAGGCTTGGAGCTGGTACATTTGTAAATATGCTTCCAGAAATAGAAGACGATCGGTAGATGGAAACGGGGTAGCCTCGGCCTGCAGCTTTCGTGAGAATCATCTCAGCCGCCCATGGTGACTTCAAGTAGCCGTGTTCGTCATTATTTGGAGGCACAAAGTAGCCAGCGCTTTCCTCACCTTTGATCACATCTGTGGTGGTTCGCCTTCCTCCTTGCCAGGTTTGCATATGCGGGATGCTCCAGGTAGATAAGTGGTTGATTTCGGGGACCCGGCCGGTTGTATTCCTATTTGCAAGGGATATGAGGGTGCGCACGGCCTCTGTATTGACTGATTCCAACGCTCGGTAGGTCTTCAGTAATGAGACTCCTGCTGCAAAATTGTATACCGTATGAATTGAGTCTGCCAGGTATTGAAAGCCTTCCTCAGACAGGCCGAAGTTGGGGGCGGCCATGCTGCCGGGAAGAAAGACCGCCTGTGACAAGACCCGCTCCAAGGTAAAACGTTCACTAAACAGATGGTAATTTCTTATCTCGGTAATCAGGTCCTGCTTCTCGATTCTCTTGAGGGTTCCCAAAAGAAATACCCGGGTGTCCGGGTTCGATGTCAAAATCGTGCCTAACATATGAACACCGATAAAAGTATCGGCTCCAGTCAGTAGCACGCGCGAAATTTCCAGTCTTTCAATCTGTGGCGTTTTGGGGAGTTTTAGGTCTTCCAAGTTGCCTTGTAGAGAAATCTCATGGGTCCAGTCTATGAAGTTTCCAGGGTTGCTGCTTTGAGTAGTCCCGGGGTTGACCGCGCCAGCTTGGGTGCTGAATACCATCTCAGATATCGCGAGTGGGGTACACTTCTGGAACATTTCTTGCAAGGAGCGATCTCGAAGTGCTTTCTCAATTTTGATCTAAATTTCAGAAGAAGGATACTTTGGCCACCGACTTCGAAGTTGGCGTTTGGTGTGATATTCCGCTCTTCCCCTACAACTGATTTCATGAGCTCAATCACTTCCATCAGGATACTCTGTTGCGCGACTGGAATATCATAGATCTCATAAGGATCAGAGGTAGTAGAGTAATGTACCAGTGAGAGTTTCACATGTAAGAGACGTTGCCGATCTGCTTTTCCCCCGACGGTGGTTGGCATCTCACTCAAAAGCTGATAGCCGTTAGGCATCATATAGTAGTTGAAGATGGGCCTGATAGTGTTTTGAAGATATAACACATATTCACTTTGTCCGATATCCGTTTGTGGGATCCTCTTAGGAACAATGAAAGCGATAAGCTGACGCTTGTCAACCAAACTAGCAGAGTCTGACATCTTCCGCATCAATTGGTCTTGCCACAACGGCGATATCGATGATGCCGGACAAGGCATCATCTTTTGAGGATCGGTGTAAGGCCTGTTCAATCTCTCCCAAGTCTATTCGAAACCCTCTGAGTTTGATTTGCTTATCACCGGCAATCCTTCCGTGGAATTCCAGCGCTCCTCCTCGCAGGAAGCGATCTCTATCACCGGTCCGGAACAGCTTCGTCCAATTTCGCTCGCGGTCACTTGGCACGCATGATTGGATAAATGACTTGGCATTTGCTTTAGGTCGACCTAGATATCCTACCCCGACCTGAGCCCCTCCCACGCAAATTTCTCCGATGCATCCGGCCGGTAGTGGATTGAGGGCACCGTCCACAATGTAGTGGCGACAATTAGGGAGTGGTGGTCTTGCAGGGTCTTGGCGCGGTTTCGAAAATGGCAGCGGCGGGCTCTCTGTCCAATCGGCCCGCGGGCGAGTAGCGCTTTTCTCTCTATCGGAATCTGAATCGCTTTCACCAATGGATATGATGTTCACTGAGGGCTTTCCAGTTTTCCATTCACGTTGAACAATAACATTTTCGAGTGCTTGACTTGGAATCTGTGTCGTGACTTGCGCAGACATCCTGCAACCTTTGTCTAAACTTGCACTGTTTGATTTCTCGAAGCTAGAATCACTTGAGATTTCCTCGCCTTGACATTCGGTATTCTTACTTATCTATAGTTACCGAACTTAAAATTAGAGCAGCATGGGGCCATGGAGTGAGCTCCAGTTTCGAAGCGAGTGTCAACGCCGAACACCGTGATCCGAAAAATCCGAAAACTCCGAATATTTAGATATATTGATCGTTTCTAAATTCGGAGCACGATCTGATGACCTCGCCTTCGGAGAATAGTGTCCGGGTTGCGGAGGGTTGCAACACGTAACTGTCTAGCTACTATGGAACTTGTTCCCTATTTTTCTTATGCTTCTCCCTGTCCAAATCGCTAGGAAGAGACTCTGCGAATTTTATGGGGGCCCTTTGGTTTTCCTGGCCCCGCAAGCGTAGATAGGGTGAGCTTGATTTAATAAAATAATATAGTTTGCAGGTCACCTAATATCTACTATGTGAAAGATCTACTCAGGCTACTGGAAGTGGGCCGTTTCAGGCACAGATTTGGGATATTCTATCATATTCTATTACAATAGCTAGCAGGTAATCGTGCCAAGGTCCCAACACACATTCTCTGTGTTGGTGCGCCCCACTCAACGATAATTTCAATAGGATGAATTGCATTCAAACTACTTATAACCACCAGTAGTATCTATATACCAATTTGCACCCTTATTATCTGTTGCCGCCATTGAAGTTTCATGCTCAGCTTCTACTAAATCCCTTGCTTCCTAGACTCGCCGTTGACCTTCCAATTCCTTGGCATGGTTTGCCTTTATACGCTTCAACTTCTTAGAATCAGCATCTCTCCTGTCAACCATCTTCCTATTTGCACTTATAGGTGATTAAACACTGCCTTTAGTCCCAAGAAGCGATTTCGCATTTCTTGGCTTATTTGCAATTGAACTAGACGTATGGGTTTTCTTTAATTCAGCCCGTAATATAGCATTTTATCAGGATGAAAGTGAATTTGCATCTATACTTCGCTGGGTATGCCGTTTTACCCTCTGAATTTGGTTTTCATTTTGCTTAATTTCATAAATAAGCTCAACATCAAGCCTATTAACCCGCTGAATTGTATCTAGCGGCGAATTAGTGACTGACCTTGCGAATCCCGGAGGGGGAGAGAGAGTGAGAATCCTAAGGAGGGACCCTTCAGATTCAAGAGCTTTTTAACGTAGAGGACCAAGAATAAGCTCTGGATCTAGGGGATAAATACCGCTAGATTTAAATGAAGACCGGATGATTCTTTGGGTAAAAGCTTGCTCCCGGACACCCTGAATTATCCTGAAAAGAATCCCGCTTTTTGCTTGCACTTCCACCCTATATTATAGCCTCATTATTCGCTATACAAAAATGATAATTTAAGCATTGGAATGGCTGGTCATCTAGCGGTTGGCAGAGATAGATTATATAGGGTAAAAGAAGACTAGGACAATGAAATGCTGGTTGCAAAATTCGATGAAATTGATCGTTGTATAGGATCCATAATTATCCATCACAAAGTAGCCTTAGCCTGCCTTTTTTGACCAGAGATTTTGTAGCTTCATGAAAAGAACAAAGCCATTCAAGAGCCGTAATTATCATCAATCCAGCCATTAAACTTTAGGTATGATCCGGAAATCGGGGGTAGTAATATTTTCATACGCAACCATCGGCGGATATATATTGAATGCTACTAACAGACTCTTTTTGACCACCAGTATTTCAATAAGAGGAGGGTATATACCCATATTGCCAATGTGTAGGGTATCGATCCGGGTTTTCAATGCTCTCTCCTGAATTAGGTTTAATGTCTTTTTTAGGCTGGCAGCAGTGGTTTTACTTCCCCGCCCGTGAATACGGGCGCGATGCCTCCGGTATGGAACGCTGAATTCCCGTGCCAACTGGGCAATGTTGGTGTTATTATGCAGATGAAAGGCATTGGTAGCTCTTAAAATTTAGTATTCGATATTTTCAATTTGTTCCGATATCGTGGTATAGTATAAAATGCTAACAAACTTGATGCTAAAGTGGAAAATTATCGTTGTATAGGAATTATCGTTGAGTGGAGTGCACCAACACAGAGAATGTGTGTTGGGCGCTTGGCACGATTAACGGTTAACACATGAAAGATAACCTCGAATTAATAAAGAAGTGGGCCTCAAAAAAGGAAGAACGAATGTTAGAAAAAAAAAGAAAAAAAACCACAAATTGTAAATCCTAAACCGGCTCACAGGACATGTGGAAAAAAACCCCTCTGATCTGGAGCGAGTGACAGCTAAACCAAGTTGTCAAAGGGTGATGGTGAAGTGAGTACGTAAATATTCACCATAGCGGTAAAACAGCCAAGGTACCGGGGTGAACGCCAGACAAATAAAGCCAAGGATGCTATTTCCCCACCCAAGGCCTAACTTTTCATACATAGGCGAGGCAGCGAGTGCAAGAAAGGCTCCAAAGGGGCTTCGGACAACGAGATTCGCGGCCAAGGCCGACGCCGCTGCTTCAGCCCCGAAGCAATCCACCAAGTAGACCTGAGCTGGCATGACGATGAACAAAGCTCCAAGTCCGATCACAAAAGTACCCACAATAGGAACCATCCAGTGGACATGATAGTATGCGCTCCATCCGTAGATAAAACATCCCACCGGGGTGATTGGTGCAAACCATTTCATCAGAATCAGTCGCTCTTCAGGTCGGGTGACTGTACCACCTCGCTTCTGGCCAAGAAGTTTATCACTGAGAACGGCGAACAGTACTAGACCGATGATCATGCCTAGTCCAAGGCCTAGATAGGCCAGACCAGCAACTCCGATATCGAAGTGGTATTGTGACTCGAAGAGGGTCGGGAGGGTGGTGAAAAGAAGGAAAATAACACCGAACAGTGTGCCGCTGTAAAGAGAGATTAACAGTACAATCGGCGAGAATATCAACATCTTGGCGGGTCTTATGATGGCGCCACGGAGCATCTTTCCCGGGCTCTCTCTGTCTAAGGGAGCCGCTGCTGTGGTTGATTTTTCTGGCACGTTCGCTGCCTTTCGCTGCAGCAGAACCTTCGCGTTCGTTTCTCGCAGAAAGATCAGAGAGATGATACTGAACACGCCGGACTGCAAGTCGTGTGTCAGATTAGATCCGACCATTTTATCTCATCATAAGCTCATTCCATCGTACCATGATTAAGATAATTCGGAACGTCCATCGCCAGCCAATCGTCTCCGCCACAAAGCCACCAATAACTGGCCCAATTACCTGAGCTTGCAGGTCAGATCTGATTGCCCATTGATCAGTCGATGATATATGCGCAGACGTACCGGTCCTAACAGGGGTCCCACGGCAAACAGGGCCATAGCCTTCCCCCTATCCTCTGGCAAAGTTACATCTGCAACTGTTCCGCCTCCAATACTCATGGGTCCCGATGCCGCACAACCACAGATGAATCGGAAGACGAGGAACATGGACACATTCGTGCTAAAGGCGCAACCAGCGGTGAATGCAAAGTAGAAAATATTGCAAATGTGGTATATAACCAGACGACCGTACAGTTCCGATAAGGGTGCTAAGATCAAAGGGCCGACGGCAAATCCTAAGACGTAGATGCTGACTGTCATGGCTTCGATGGTTGAGTTGGCGATGTGGAATTCAGATATCAATTGCTCGGCCCCAGGAGCAAACATCGTGGCTGCTAGATTTCTGCTGGATGTTAGAGCTCAACACGACAAACCAATTCCCAGGGTGATTGGGAAGGAATCCATACGCATAGAGCGTAAAAACGCTCACGAAAATGACGTGCATGTTCTTCTTCGCCTGGGACCAGTTGAGCGGATTGGCGGGGTCGTCAGGACCATCCCAGTCAACCGCATCCTGCTTTTCGAGTTGGCTGGACTGGTCTAAGCCCAGATCTTCAGACTGCCTCTCTGTAGTACTCATCACAAGAAGCTGATATGGTATTAAGGGTAGATGTGATTTCTCAGTTGGGGAGGACAAAGAAAAGGAAGGGACGTGAGTCTGTTCAAAAGAATTGAGGGAATGCGTTGGTCAGAATTGAGGATAAAGGAGAAGATAAATCTCGGCGAAATGAAATTTATGTCATATAAGTGAGGTCCAACATCTTCCTGGTGAAGTTAGTCTGGCTTTTTTACATATCAAAGCTAAAGCGGACCGTCCGAGTAAGGGGCGTTTGGAGGTGGGAACCAAGTAGTCCATGCTACTGATCCATAACCGCTACTGTCCAACAAAGACAGTAGCAAGCCACAGGGGTCAACGAGGAGAAGAGCACGGAGTACGGAGTACCACATATATCGATGGAGGATCGGACGGTCGGATGGTCGTGTGGTGGCGCGTGGCGATCGACATGGTATGCAAAGCTTAGCCTGCAGCTAAGAAACTAGTTCAATTAACTTGGTAGCCTGAAATCCTTCCGCCTTAAACACACATTATTAGCGAGAAGTAAATAGATGATACAGTTGTGGGCGTTGATGAAGCTCTCCAAGGTTCTTTGATTGTGATAAGTCATTCGATAATAATGCTATACCAATGGGTGTGACAATTGTTTCATGAAAGCTCGCTCCTCTTCAAGCCCCATATGCCTTACAGATCTACTTTTTCCGTAAAATTTCCTTCAATAATTGCACTTCCTTGATCGATTCTCGGTCAGCCTCGACCTGAATTACATTTTCGATAAATCCAGTGTTGAGCGTCATCGTTTCTTCCATGTCCAAAGATGATTGAAGATTCTTGCCTTTCCCTGCTATAGAGAGCCGCTCAGGAACACCTATCGCGGTCTCAACTGCATGGAGAATATCAAGTAGCGCACGCATCGCAGTATCTGTCTTGATCCACATGTCCCTGGGAAGAGCCAATTCGCCCAGTCGGAGCCTTTCGCTGATGTTTTGGTCGAAGAATGGTAGTTTTTGTGTCGAGTGCCGCTCTGATGATCCTCGGAGATGTGTACGAAAATGGCTCATCACAACGTATAATTTGGTAAAGGAAGTGTAACAGCTCATGACTAGTAATATATGTGGCGTAGTTATCAGGCCCGCCGGCTGGTGGGGTGGTGTTGATATGGACGAACTGTTTGTTGTTCGACTTTGTAAATCCGGAACAAGGTGGTGATCTCTATTCTGCAAAGTATCGGCAGTGGCTGACCCCTGCGAATGGCTGCCATGATTGGTGCTGGTCATTGATATTGGCCTATGTAGAATCCGAAAAAGGTCTTGAGGTAACTGTAAGACTATGCCAACAGGGTAGCTGTCAAGCCCAGTTGAGTGGTTGGGATACGCCCAGGGGCTATCCGTGAGAGTCTTTGCTGCTTCATGGATATCTATCATGAGGTTGGAGAGGTACACTATAGGGCTCTCATCCTTTTCCGGATATGATATCGAGGATTCCGTCTCCTGTTCATCCTGACCCTCCCTGGCCAGGTTTGGTATTGGACACAATGCTATGTCTGGGCCAAAGTCATCAGCTGGGTGTGATAAATGACATGAATCAAATAGATTAGCCGCGGTAAAGTTGAACAAGTCTCGGCTTTTTCTTTGGTCATCTCCCAACAGATTATTCCAAGCGGTCATCTGAGGCGTGCAGTCTAAATTAACGCTGGAGCGGATGTCCGACCCACCGCCGAGGCCAGAGGTGTTCACCCGTTTATCGAGATTTGTCGGTTGTGAAAGGTCGGGGATAATCCCGTCGCCGAATTCATCCCCAGGACACATCTGTGCCCTGACCAGGGGCATCACCTCCCAGTCATGATGGTGACTTAGTTTGTTGGAGTCATGCCGTCTCCCTCGCGCTCTGCGACTGAATATACACTCTGTCTTTGCACGAGCACATCGAATACATTGATTAGGCACACCTGGTGGGCCACTCAACGGAAGTGTGCATTTAAGCTTGTGAGATCGACAACGGTCACAGGATGACCGAAGAGTCTGCAAATTGGGCCTCTCATGATTGTTTCTGTTATTGCTGTTGGTTGTCATGTCGTTCGGCGGTTTATACAAATCTGAGTTGTTATCCCGTCGGCAGATGCAAATATTTACATCCAGGCTGAATGGTTCGTTGAGGGTTCCTTGGCTAAAGATGAGCAAAACCTTGGCATTTGAAATATTATCCTACATTTCCTTTTTCTCTTTTTTTTCCCTTCAAAAAGGCCAATCCTGACCGAGGCATGGAGGCCAGCAGGGGCGAACTTATCTTAAGAAGCCTTGCGGGGACGACCGCCATATCCCCCCTGTAGGTAGGTGACACGTAGATGGATATATAACTCTTGCATTAGATAAACATGGGAGCGAATCCTCTCGGCAGTGCTAAGTTCCCGACGATCCCTGTGGCCTGATATCTGGGCAAGTTGCTAAGTGAGGTTGTAAGTGCAATAGCCGATGAATCATGAATTCTGTCCACCGATCTCCTCTACTCATGCTTGGGTACTGGTATTTTGTCAACATCGGGATGTCATCAGCCAGAGTTATATAAACTTCCAAGGTTAGAAGGTTCATTCGGCCATCTATTGAGCGTTCAACAATTCTCACCGACCACTGTCTTGTCGCTTCGGGGGTTCAACCTTGTTGCTTACTACCCCTCACCTTGGCTGGTTCTGGCGCATTTAGTGGCGGGAGCAGCCGGAGATCGTGCCATTGTAGAAAATCATTGGGGCGTCTGGGCCTTGTTGCGCCATTAGGAATGGTCAAATCTCCATTACTACAATTTAACATTGGTGCGCAAAATATCCCGTTGCTCTTAGATCGAGCCAAGCGGATATAGATGGGATTCATGTTCTTGCATTCGTACTTGGAAGATCTCACTGATTGACCACAAAAGTCACTAGTGGTTTGACGCAGATCTATGAGTAGAGCTATATAGTGTAGCTATGCTCCTAAGCTTTCTACCTAGTCGGAACCGGTCCGTTCGACCGAATCAATCTACTCGGTATTTTGAGAAGCGGGGTATATGGCATGGCGTGAGGGCGAATGCAAGGAACATGTGTGTAATGTAAAACATGAATCGGTGGAAAGTTGGCTATTTGCCTAGCGATTCTCATGATTCGAGAGAATATATAGTGCAACCTTGAATATTATCTGTTACTTCTGGTAAGCTGCGGAAGACGGGAATTGGGTGGTCATCAGAAAGTGCATCTCTCTCTACTAACGTCTTGGGGCAACAAGGAATGACAAACACGCAATCCACCAATAGTGCTCATCTGTTTTGTGGATTTTGGTACCTCTGGCTCGGCCCATAAGCTATACCGGATTTAGTATCGTCTCTACCGAACTATCCTAAGTACGCAGAAAGAGTTCGAATAGCGTTTTTTATCTATCATTTTCACGGTATTTTTTGCGAGCGCGAGCGCATGGGCTTTTAAGCAACAGATTTCAGTGAAGTATAGGAAATTCTTTCGAGGGATTCCGAGAAGAGGTTGGGATTCGCAATCCAAAAGCGGGGAGCCCGGTCCAAAGTGTTGTACGATAAATATGTAGGAGCTTGTTAGACTGACAGGACATGACAGCGGATACATCCGTGCATGTAATAATTGTGGTGAATCGGCCTATGGTATCATGACAGATAAAAACGAGAGAAACTATGCTTCATTCAAACAATGTTGGCAAGCTTCTCTAAGGTAGAGCAAGGAGTAATCAGAATCCAATCATACATTAGTCCTCTAATCCATTGTTGACTCCTCCACTTTTGAAGCCGTTGATTTTAACTAGTTGGCTATAAACTACGATCCACTAGAAATGGAACATCTAGCTAGCCAATGATACCTCCCATTTGCCACCCCTATTTGGGTTGGCAATCAGGTCTCCGTGGGTCTTTATATATAGTCTTCTGACAGAAAGCTGGTGTACGATCAATGTATGGTATAGATGACCAATGTTGAAGACTCTAACTAAATTGACAAAACCCGCTATTTCAACAATCTGTGCGGACCTCGATGACTAACTGTAATATACATTTTTGTATGGTATGCCTGGTACCCAATGTCACATAATTTGTCCGGTATAATACCTGGTTTCTATCATGTATTCGGACTTGGTATTCGACAGATGGATCAACCTTTTTCAGCCCAATTATTCAGCAAGAGCTTCATAGGTTCTGAGGAACATCCCGAGGTCCCCTCACCGCTGTTTTCTCCAGCACGTTCTTCAAGAATGTATGTTGTAGTGAAGCAGCATTGAACTTTCTCTCCCCGACTTTTTCGATCGATTGATCGAATTTGACTGTGTCTAATGACCTAGTCGTCCGGCACCTCGGAGGCCGAAAGTGCGGCACTCGGCCGTTCCCCAACTGCGGCGCTAGGGTATCTATACTGGTTGACTCAACGAGTCAGTATAAATGAAGTCCATGATTGGCTTTCAACCTTTCAAGTAGTTAAACAAACTGGATCCCTCAGATCCAAACTTAAGATATCACCAATGTCTTCTTTTACCGACCTCACGACTCGGATCGCCTCTAATGCAGGTGTGCTCGACTACCACCTGAAATTTAATGAGTTCAAGGCCCCGTCTTTTGATGAAAACGCCGAGCCAGAGTTCCCTAATCCCAAGCATGACCCTTATGTGGAAGCAGCGCGTGTGGCCCTAATCGACGACACGCGAACATTACGTGACCTGGTGCAGGGACCTGCTCAAGTCCTGAGAGAATTGTGCTGGGGGGTAAGTTATTAAGCTATCTTCGCTGCGTCAAGTATAAAAATTAGCCTCCAAATGGGCTAATATGTTATCAAACAGTCGATTGATCTTGCTGTGCAACGAGTCATATACCACTTCAAGATCCACGAAGCTGTCCCACTCGAGGGATCAATTTCGTATGGCGAGCTCGCTAAAAAGGTCGGCCTTCCTGAACGACAGGTTGAGCGATTCTTACGGCAATCGACCTTGAACGGCATCTTTGCGGAGCCCAAGCTCGGCTACATCGCTCACAGCGCAGCCTCGGCCGTCCTGCTGCGCAACAAGCCCATGCATGACTGGTACGGCCACTGCCTCGAAGAGCTCTTCCTCGCTGGCGCTAAGTTAGCCGATGCGCTGGACGAGCACCCAGGTAGTGAGAAGCCCGAGGAGAGCGCTTTCAGCAAGGCATTCGACACGACAGACCCTATTTTTACGTTCCTGGAAAAACACCCGGACCGTCAAGCGCGGTTCTTCGGCACCATGGAGGGAGTCGGAAAGGAGTATGGTCACAGCCTTCTGCACGTGGTCAATGGATATGATTGGGCAGCACTGGGCAAGGCCACCGTGGTTGATGTATGTTTTCTCCTCGCTTCTGATCCAAGCTGTGTTTCTAACGGGTAACTGAAACTTGAAAGGTGGGCGGGTCTTCTGGTTTCGTGAGCGCAGCGCTGGCTTCGCAGTTTGCGGATCTTACCTTCGAAGTCCAAGACTATAAGCACACGATCGAGCAAGGACGTGAGCAACTTTCGGTCGCTCTTCAAGATCGTGTGGCTTTTGTGGCGCACAACTTTTTCGATCCTCAGCCGACGACAGCCGATGTCTATATACTGCGGCATATCTGCCACAACTGGTCCAATGTTAATTCGGCCAAGATTGTCCAACAGATCGTGCCGGCCATGAAGCCAACTAGCAAGATTGTACTTGTGGAGGTGGTCGTGGTGCCCCCGAAGGTTGTCAACAGCGTCCAGGAGAGATATATGCGGTAAGTAGCTTGGCTTTCGAACTCAGTGGCAACTTGCAATTTGTTTACTGCGTGCTAATGGAGTCCACGACTAGGAATGTGGATATCACGATGCTTCAGATGCTTAACACTCAAGAGCGCAGTGCCGAAGACTGGCAGGAGGTTGTGGCCCTCGCGGACCCCCGATTGAAGATCCTTGGTATTCATAAGCCCTCAGAAAGCTGGGACTCGCTCATCGAGATCGGATTCGCGGAGTAATTAGACAGTGTCTGGGCTACGCAGCTATTCTACCCCGAGAGAACTATATAATCCATATCTATGTAAGCCCAGACGAGTAGCATATGTATCGATCTGGATGTTCAATGTTCATTTACATTCATCCCAATTTATTCTGTTGCACATAACAAGTTCCAACGCCTTTTCGTCCTTGGCGCATGCGTAATTCTACCCTGACGACAGTAGGAATTAAATTTGGCGTTTTAGTTAGAGTACTAAATATCGGTCATCCATACTATGCATTGTCCGTACGCCAGTTTTCTCTCAACAGGCATGAATGAAATTTCGAGAATCTTGGTCAAAACAATTTACGTTGTTTCCTTCACCTTGTCGATTGAACGAAGGCCAGGGAAGTATCTTCGAATAATGTCAAGTAAAAGAACGAAAGCGGGCATGAAAATCGATCAATATTCCTCAAAATACCCTAATTAGACTCAATAAGAGGATCAAATATTCTGTGTGCCTCCCTTTTGGTCTAGCAGTTTCGTGGCGATCGAGTAAGGTCGGACGGAGCCCGGGCCCCGGGAAGGGCGTTGTAGAAACCTCCGTCTAACGGCAATGTACGTTAATATCAAAAGCCCCTCCCAGAACGCATTTCCATGAGGGTTCTAGTATTCTAGTCTCGGTGTCCGAAATATACATACTTGATCCATCGCTGAACAATACCCTAGCGGAAGACTTAGTGCCCGCTTCGAGGGCTTAATATATATTATTGAATTCAACGAAAGGGAGAAAATAAACTTGTTACAGTGTTTTATTCGACATTCGACATCCTAACCGTGAAATATTCAACCACCATGACAGACAGCGCAAAGCCACCCGTCGTAGATGTGGTGATCAAGGACTATACTCCACAGGGCCGCGAGGAGACCATCGCCGGATTACGAACATGCAAGTAGTTACCAGTCCAAGCAAATTCACTTAACTGACAGCAGAAGACGTGGTCGGTCCCACTAACGCCGAAGTCGGCGTAGTAATTGCGTACGACGTGATGGGGCTGTCCTGCAACACGAAGCAGGGTGCTGACATAGTTTCCCGAGCGCTCAATGCCATTGTCTTCATTCCGGACTTTCTCCAGGGAGTCTACGCGGATGCAGCATGGCTGCCGCCAGACACGGAGGAAAAACGAGAGAAATTCTTTGGATATCTCAAGGGATACGCGGCGCCCCCCAAGTATGTGAAAACTCTTATCGAGGTCACAAATGAATACAAGGCCAGCTTCCCGGGAGTGACTCGGTGGGGTGCATATGGCCTGTGTTGGGGGGGAAAGGTGAGCTTTGCGTGTTGTGTTGGGTGTTCTTTCCGACTTTTCTCACTTCTGACTGGTTCATCAGGTCGTGGCGCTAGCCTCTAAGAACAATACCCCGTTTACAGTATCAGTACAACTACATCCGGGGTAAGTATGGGAACCATTCCTTCTGACTGTCCCTCGGAGCTGATCGGTCTTGTCCTCAGCATGCTCGATCCCGCCGACGCCAAGGAGATTAACATCCCGCATATGGTGCTGGCGTCCAAGGATGAGCCGGCAGAGCCTGTCGCCGGATTTAAGACCGTCATCGAGGATCGTCTAGGCGCCATCGGTGGGTTTGTCGAAACATACACAACAATGTTTCATGGGTGGATGGGAACGAACGCCAAACTCGATCAAGACGAAGGCCGCAACGGATATATCCGAGGGTAAGTCCAGCCAACTTGTATTTTATATTCGATAAAGAGATGGTAAGCTGACTATAACATGGCCGTATGCAGTTACACCCAGGTCATTGATTTCCTGCGCGAGTAAATGCCGTCGTGAAAGATAAGAGTCTTTGGGATGACCCTATCGGCCATTAATTTAAACATTAATGTGGAATGAAAATACATTGGAACCTTCAAAAATTAGCGGAAGGAATTGTTAGAGGTTCCATTTCGCAGTTTGAATTGCTTAGCACAATCGCATCCATACCATGGGTCAAGGTAAACATTTGAACGCACTCTGTAGTCGTAATATAACATCAGACCTGGGCATGATAAACTGAGGTCATAGTCCTTGAACATATTAGGACATATCTCATATTCAGCCATTTGTAAATCTGCGTTGAACCGAAGACGCCTTGGACAGTGACTGGGTGTCTGAATACGAGTCGGCTGAGCTAGGTCGCCTCAGAGCATGATGGTCTATCCAGTCAGCCTGAGTAAGATTTACCCAGATATACCAGTTTCAAAGAAGGCACCCGGGGCCTGGAAGTTGGAAAAATAGGCGAAGCCATTGTTTTACTCTCCAATCGTGAATGAGAATGCTCCGCCAAATTGCGCCCACGATACGAGTCATGCGACCCACTTCCGTAGTCCATGGCTGCTGGACAGCTGCCAGCCGGGAAATGACCTTCACGGTTCGCTTCAGCTTCGTCGTTCCCTTCGAGTGAGATTACGAAGATGGCGTAGCTGACGGGCTTCTAGAAATGGGGATTGCGCATGCGAGGATCAATAAGGCCTAAATATAGAATGCAAGGGACGAGATTGAGCTGAATGAAAGTGACGGTATGCATTCAACTTGCATTAAGTGCATCTAGGTCTTTGGACGCCGGGAATTTCCACCAAGCGAACGGATTCATGCGATAACACAGCCCTTTCGTGGCGCCCTCGTGGCCCATGTAGCCCCATGTGGCCCCATGTGGCCCCCTTGTGCCTCGTGGGCGTTCCTGACGATCGATTCAGCCGCGACGCATGCCCAGATAAATTGCTGCCTCTGGCCGCAAAGAGACCCAGTCTGATGTTTCATGAAGTGTATGTTTTATTTAGGAGATAACGATGTTGAAGTTATATTTACTGACTCTAACGGCCCTGACCCTTCCTGTCTCTCACGCAGGAGTCGTCCCTCGCGTTAATCAGCCGGACTACGTAATCATTGGCGGTGGTCCAGCAGGCTTCGTGCTCGCGGAGCAATTGACCAAGAACTCGAAGAAGACCGTTACCCTTCTGGAGGCTGGTCCAGATACGGCAGGGGTAGCGGCAATCGATGTGCCTGGCTTCGCTCCAACATTGCTAGACTCGGAGTATACCTGGAACTATACCTCGCAGCCCGATAGCAACATCAACAACCAGACTCCGGATCTGGCTCAGGGTCGGGGATTTGGTGGTGGCAGCGCTGTCAATTATTTAGGTGCCTGTCGTGGTGCACCGTCGGTCTTTGGTGAATGGGCTAATATCAGCGGTGATGATGGATTGCGATGGGATAATCTCCTCGAGGACTTCAAGGCTGTCTTCCACTATACCGAGGTCGATGTTGGCTACGATACGCACATCAACGCGAGCGCTTACGGTGATGGTCCTATTGATATTACCGCACCGGATGACACTCTGGGGTTCGTTGACAAACTTGTGAGCGCGTGGATGTCAGTCCTGGGGCTACCTCATGTTGACCTGAATGATGGCACTGGGCTTGGAGTTTCTTCGGGCACAAGCAGCATTCGCGCTTCAAACAGAAGTCGCAGTTATGCTCCCCAAGGCTATGGATGGAAATTAGCCGGACGCTTTAATGTCCAAGTTCTACACAATGCGCAGGCCACGAAGATCAACTTCCATGGAAGGCGTGCTCAGTCAGTCACATATATCAACCCTAACGATGGCTCCTCCAGAACACTTCACGCAAAAGAGATTATTGTGGCTGCGGGGGCCATCAATACCCCTAAGGTAAAGAACCATTCACCCTGCAACCCTCAGCCTTACTATCCTGGCTAACATTTCTATCATCTTTGCAGCTGCTCATGCTTTCAGGGGTCGGTCCAGCGCGCCATCTTGAGTCATTAGGAATCAAAGTAGTGGCCGACATTCCTCAGATTGGCCAGAACCTGTAAGTACACAACCATTATGTTTCTCTATACAAGCCACTCTGACACTACGCAATAGACTTGACCATCACTCCGCCTTCATGGAGTTTGAGGTGCCGTCAAGCATCGAGACGTTGTGGCAGTACACACAAAACAGCACTTTTAAAACCATCGCGGAGGAGGAGTACTATAAAGACGGGTCTGGTCCGCTAGGTGTGCCCAACGGCGCCGCATTTGCCGTCTCACGCATTCCCGACGCTATTTTCCAGGCCGTTGGCGATACTTTCCATCCTAGCCTCCCAGCCGACAGGGGTCATCTTATGTTCCAATATTCCAGCTCAACGCTGCAACAGACCACCCCAAACGTGAGCATTATATCGCCCTTCGTAGCGCTAGCTCAGCCCGAAGCCTCGGGCTACATGAAATTGGCGTCGGCCGACTACCGCGATGCGCCGCTTATTTACTCAAACTATTACGGGTCCCGGGGTATGTGGGTCACTTAAACATCATTGCGCCATTGCTAACGCTACCCAGGAGACAAGGCTGCCATTCTATATGGCTACAAGCAGTTGCGCAAAGTGGTTCAAAATCCAGAAATTGCGCCCATTTTGGGACGAGAGATTTACCCCGGGGCTAATGTGACTTCGGATGAGGATCTGTGGAACGCCATTGCTGGGGGCTCGATGAGCTTTCATCATCCGGTAAGACACATCCGGCCTTTTTGAAAACATTATATCGACTGACGCGTTAATAGCTGGGAACCGTAGCCCTGGGAACGGTGGTGGAAGGAAAGTCTTGGAGGATCAAAGGGCTTGATGGTATTCGTGTGGTCGATTCGTCGACTATGCCCACTATGCCGACGTGCCATATCATGGCCAGTGTCTACGCCTATGCACACCATGCTGCCCAGCTGATCCGACAGCAGGACTAATAGAAGGCCACTATATACTCTTATTACAGCCACCAGCTTGGGTTATTCTAACTGGAAATCTACAACTTGTCTCTTTTCACTACTTGCCACTGCTCGCCTAAGCGAGACATTAGCGTAAATTTGTATGCTTCATTGTGCATGTTATCAATGAACAGACTTCACCAATTACCTATATTTAGCTAATGTGGAATTGGGGGAAGAAGTGAGGCATAGCCGCGTTATTTTAATTGACAGTATTCCCAGTTTATTCTGATAGTGGAGGGATTGTGTCTAGTTTGTTGCTGTCCAAACTAGATAGGGGATGGATGTAAAAGGTTGTACCCAGAGGTCAAATCTTAATCCACCTCAGCTCTCGATACCACCCTACACGTGAAGCTCGGCTTAACGAAAAATACATTATCTGTCCGCCATTCATCACCTTCTAGTTGAAAATCGAACCGACGGTATAACTCGGGGATGAGCTTGGTAATTTCTAGTAAACTGATGTTCTTGCCGACGCAAGTTCGAGAGCCGGCACCAAACTGAGAATACGTTAGCATTTATTCTAATCTCATCAAAGGTACCGTAAATCACCGAAAATAGGGTCTTGTCCATCACCACGACTTCTTCCTTGGGGCCGAGCCATCGTTCGGGCCTGAAGATATCCGCATCTGCGCCAAAGACATCCTGGTCTCGGTGCACGACCCATGCATTCATCCCCACAACCGTCTGTACACGTTAGCCCTTGAACTGCGGTTACCCAAATCAGTACGATTTAGATGATGGCCACACTTACCCCCTTCGGAAAGAAGTATCTTTCCAACTCGACACCTGGGGCAGGCACAACTCGAGGTAAGGGCAAGCCCACAGCCGGGTGCACGCGCAGGACCTCTTTGATGATAGCTTGCAAATATGGCATCTGCTGTGCTTCTGAAAACGAAATGGGTGTCGATAACTGACCCGCGGCCAGTCGGGCATCAATCTCCTCGCGCAGCCTCTCTGCACAGCTCTTGTTCCGGGCCAGATGATAGATGGCGGCGCTAAGAGTGAGACCGGTAGTATCGGAGCCGGCAGCGATGTTGGCGTTGATAGTGTTGAAGAGTTCCAGGTCGTTGACCTTTCCTGCCTCCTGCAGGTCAATCAGTTTCTGGATGAAGTCCGGGCGATCGGATCGGGCGTGGCGACGTGCAGCCAGGTGGCGGTGGACGAAGGCATTGATATTTTCGAAAGAACTGCGAGAGCCCAGCAAATGATTGAGTTGTCCTATCCAAGAATGCAGCTCAACGAACAAGCTCATGCGTGAACTATAGGATAGATTGTCTTGGAGTGTTTGCAGGATGCCATCTATGTCGCCACCGGTGCGCATCATGCCGAAGGAGGCTCCGACCTGACCATGAAATTATTCTGTCAGAGACCAACGGGGCACGGGGGGAGTCATGAAACCTACTGTTATCTCCCCAATCACGTCAAAAGCGTAGTACTGCATCCACCGTGGGATGGCCACGCTCTCGCCACGCGCGGCTCGTTGGGACAGCTGTTCCACTAGCGTAGTGTTACAGCTGTTGACGAACGGCTCGTATGCGACCATCGAAGTCATGCTAAACATAGAGGCGACCTTGCGGCGGTGGGCAGCGTGGCGCCGCTCATCCATGACTGAGAACATGTCGGCCTGGGAGTCATCAGGATGGCCGTAGGCGCGGTACCAGCGGTCCTTGGTAAATTTGCTGCCATGGCCATATATCGTCTGCAGGGCGGCGGGACTGGAAATGCTGTACCGATTGGGGGCGATGCGGACGATGGGGCCTGGTGTGAGAGTATTAGAGATGCCCCTCCACCCTAAAAGGTGATTAGGTCTGGGGAACGACAAACCGTATCTTTGGTGAAGTTCGACATTAATCTGTTCGAAATGGCCGCGACGGATCTGATGAAGTTCCCACAGACGCGTGAAGCGCGCGAGCCAGGGGCCGGGCACTCTACGCAGAGGATCATGGGCCAACCGGTACAGGTGGTGGATAAGGAAGGCTACTAGACCCAAGATGACAATGGGTCCGAAAGGTATTGCCGGTTGAAGAAATGTCATAGCCAGAGAGTCGAGTGACAAATTGAACACACATGTTGGGGTATCCTAAATGGTTTAGATTCCCAGAGCGAATAGGCCATTTAGGGCACGGAATCCGAAGGCAGATGCGGAGTACAAAGTGACGTTGGTCGAAGATCCTTGTAATAGCTGCAGCACATTGTCCAATTAGAGTCCTGTATACCTCCTTCGCGCTTTCATAGGGACCGAGACCCCGATGTGCATAAAAGAACAAAGAAAAGCCGGACTTAAGAGGGGAAAACGGAGGCCGAAGGCAATTTTCACGTCCATACAACACAGCTGCACATCACCCCACTCACCACGTTTGAACCGGAACCTCCTTTTCTTTCTATTATCCACACACCATCATCGACATCGTCAACATGGCCAAAATAGTTCTCATCACTGGTGCCAACACGGGTATCGGCTTCGAGACCGTCAAAGCCCTGGCTGCATCCGATCAATCTTACACTATCCTTCTTGGGGGTCGATCCCTAGAAAAGGCCCAAGCAGCTGCCGCCACTGCTCAGAAGGACTTTTCCGACTCGAAAAGCGAGTTTGTCCCTATTCAGGTAGACATTGAGCACGATGATTCGATTGGTCGAGCCTTCACCGAGGTGAAATCCAAGTATGGGAAGGTTGATGTGCTTATCAATAACGCTGGTGAGTATTATATCTGTGTAATTGGAGGTGTCTATTATCCGAGATGAAGAATTGTGCTAATAGGACTTGCCGGTAGGGGCCCAATTTGACCAACAAGTAGCAACAGGGCAGCTAGGAGCGCGTGAGATGTGGAACCACACCTGGAACGTTAATACGACCGGTACACAGATTCTGACGTCGGAGTTTGCGCCTCTATTGCTGGAAAGCGCTGACCCACGTCTACTCTTCATCACTTCGGGTACATCGACTCTAGCCGGCACTGAGAACCGGACTTTACCGGTGAATCGAGTGGCGGCTAAGGGGTGGCCTAAGACAGGGTTTAGTGTACCGGCGTACCGCAGTGCTAAGACGGGGCTAAACATGCTTATGCGGGAGTGGTATCGATGGTTGAAAGAAGACGGGGTTAAGGTTTGGGGGATCTCACCCGGTTTCTTGGCCACCGGATTGGGTGGCAACCCCGATGCCTCCCGGAAGATGGGCGCGCTTGATCCCTCCGTGGCGGGGCCGTTCATTCGTAGCGTCATCGAGGGCGAGCGGGATGCTGATGTGGGTCTTGTGATCAACAGGGATGGGGTTCAGCCCTGGTGAAGAGCCGAATCATGACCTCTGCAAATTCTAGATGCTTCCGGTAATGTCCGTTCTGTGCAGAAAGATGATGTTTTCGTCTTCTTTTTGCTCTCCGTTTATCTCTCGGACATTTTAATGGAAAAATTTGGCTTTATCTCACTTCCCATTCTGAACATGTCGATCCTATGGACTAGGCTTTCTCAATGAAGGGCTCATGTGTTGATAGAATGAAAGCGCCCCGCCCCCTGCATAACACGATCTATCAACAGCTCCCTTGCTTCCGTCATCACCTCTTTCCCTCCTGCACCTTCCCAAGAATGCACGAATTATGGTGGGACCTAACTGCCATGGCTCAGGTATCCCGATGAGCCCAATAACCCAATAACCAATGACAGCAACTGAGCTCTATCTACTTCACAATTTATGTTTTCTGTCGATGTGATATTCAAGCAATTCTAGGGTTTTATGTGTATGCGCTGGTATTACGATAAAATGAGAGGAACAAAAAAAAGAAATATGTTATCATGTATTGAACGAGACGCTTGTTCATGCCAAGTTCAAAGGGTGGGCCTGGAAATACTCATCGAGCGTGGTCAAGTGACCTCTAGCCTGCTCCGCCGACCATTTCACCTTTTCCTCAGTATTCTCACCGAAGTAGCCAAAGTCTTCGAAATACAGCAGCATGTCGACAATGTGATCACTCATCAACGGCGGCAGGAACCCTTTCCAGACGTCTACGGGAAACTGTCGGTATGCGACCGTCTTCCCAGACGCCTTGCTCATGGCCTGGGCTATCTCTTCGAAACTGTACAGAGCGGTGGCGCAGCTGAGCACCTCGCCCTTGTACTTGGGGAAATCAGCGAGGATAGCGGCCACGAACTTGCCAGTGTCATCCCCCGTGTTGACGAGGGGCATCTTGGCCTGGGGGCTCACGATGGCAGCAAAAGTGTAGGTGCCGTCACCAGCAGGGTGAGGCGCCATGGAGGCATTGAAGTTTGACATGAAGGATCCCAGGGCAATGAAAGCACTTTCAATGGGAAGGGTGCGGATGTATTCCTCCACTTCCGCTTTACCGTCAAAGTGGCCCATGTTCTTGTATTTGCCATTTGAGTTCTTACCCCCGTTGGGCAGAGTTGAGTAGATGTACTTGGGCACACCTACGGCGACGGCGGCGTCGGCCAGGGCACGGCCCTGTCTAACTTCGTTGTCGCGTGCGTGTCCGTCGTAGATGGTGATGGTGTTTGCGAAGACAACATCAGCTCCGGTGAAGGCGTCGCGAACGGAAGCGGGATCTTCAATACTGGCTGCCACAACTTCGATTCCTTTTTTCGCCAGTTCTTGTGATTTCGCGCTGCTTGTATCCCGCGTTGTGCCTCGGATGGAGTATTCCTTGCTCAGCTGTGCGTCTGCAAGTACAGTCTCGGCCACTGAACCGCCCTGCTGGCCGGTGACACCGAAGATGACGAGAAGTTTAGGCATTTTGACTTGGATTTGAGGGATTGAAGACAGTTAATCTCTGGTAGGTTTCAAGGAACTGAAAAGAGGTCAACCTGAGCTATAAGTAAAGCAGCTTTATAGAAGCCCCGACATTGGCAGTCGTGCTTAACTAACTCCTAAGTCCGGCAGACTCGGGCCCCGATATCCTTATCCCCGGGCTATCAACAAAGAGGCCAAATCATTTTGCAAACAACCTTGAGTACCGTAATCGGACAATCCATGTAGAGGTGGGGTGGTATTTCGTAATAAGTGTCTCGTTGTATTTCCGCTCGCGATGTGGGACTCGGGCTCCGATGTATGGCTGGCGGGGCATAGTTAGCGGGTAGGGCTCAATGCCTGGTATTTTGGGTATCGATGCGTGAATTATACGTTATTTTGCCGTATTTCAAGCCAGCAGAAAATTAAAATACCTGTATCAATATCCGTAGACGGGAGGAAAGCTTAGTAAGGAAAAGTACCCACCATTCACCTGGGCACCTTGGCACCTGGGCAACCCTAAAGTTAGAAATAACATCCTCTTTAAGATATAGGTTTTAGGCTAATTTACGGTCCATTAGTACCAAGCGTTTAACCATGGCCGCTATGCCCATTCGCACCCCGGGCCCCGAGAGGCTGCACCGTGGACAAGCTAGGTCGCCGAAGTTGACAATTTGATAGTCAGTGAGAATAGCCAATTGGGTCCGTGAAGTCGTGGGAGTGGTGATATTCATTTCTGTTATAACCAGTCGTGCATCTGCACACGATCACCCGCCCACATCCCAATCTCAGGTGCTCTGCCCAACACCATGGATGCCTTAGTGAATTCATTTGGTGACCTCGGGATACCCGTCACCATCCTGACAATCTTGAGTGGAGCCGCTCTGGTCATAGCCATTATATCCGTTCGCTATTATGCCTTTCGACGCCGTCTACCTCCAGGACCTCCAGGGCTTCCACTGATAGGTAATTTGTTAGAGTTGCCCAAGAGCCATCCATGGCTCACGCAGACGGAACAACACAAAAAGTACGGTCCTATCTTCAGTATGCAGTATGGCCTGTCCACGGTGATCTACTTAGGCACATACGAGCTGGCGCGAGAGCTATTGGAAAAGCGCAGCAACATTTACAGCTCGCGGCCGACTTTCACCATGATTAACGAGTGCATCAGTCAGGGCAACCGGTCATTGACCCTGCCATACGGCGAAAAATGGCGGAACTATCGGAGGCTCCAGGGATCATTCCTGGCGCCGCGCATGTCCAACGTGTACCGGCCACTACAGGACCTGGAGAGCAAGCAGCTTGTCAGCGAGTTCCTTACGCATGACGACTTCTTCAAGCGCTACCACCGCTACTCCTCTAGTCTAACCTTCGCCCTGGCATACGGTAAACGCATGCCAACAGGACAGGAAGAGGAGGTCAAGGGCGTCGAGCGCATAATGGACAACCTCAACAACGTATTCATCACCAACTGGGTCGTCGACTCGCTGCCGTTCCTTAACAAGTTGCCTGCCTTCTTTAAGCCATGGCAGAAGATAGCCAACCAGCTAGGAGACGTGGAGCGCAACTTCTTCAACATGATTCGCAACGGTGCCTCCATGCGACCGGGTTATAACTGGTGCAAGGACATCCTAACAATGAAGGACCACCGCTCTCTTACAGACACTGAGCTATCGTACGTAATTGGTAATACGTACGAGGCCGGCGCCGACACTACAACAATGACGCTGCAGGTTTTCACGCTAGCTGCCGTACTGCACCCGGACAAGGTGCGTATTCTGCAGGCAGAAGTTGACCAAGTTGTTGGGCGTGATCGACTGCCGACGTTCGAGGATACCGAGAAGATGCCGTACCTGGCGGCGTTCGTGAAGGAAGTGCACCGCTGGCGACCGGTGTTGCCCGGGGGTGTACCTCACGCTGTCACGGCCGACGATGAGTTCATGGGCTACCACATCCCGAAGGGTGCCACCATCGTTTCGGGTCATTGGGCTATCTCAATGGACGAAGAAATGTATCCGAACCCCGATGAGTTCAGGCCGGAGCGCTTCCTGGAGAACCCAGATCTCCCGCATAGTCAGTTCGGTTTCGGCCGGCGCAAGTGCATTGGTAAGTGAACTATTTTTTCAATCCACCGGACAGGGCACCGAGGCAGAGGCTGACATGGCTATATAGGGCAATATATCGCCAACAACTCAATGATGATCAATGTGTCTCGGATGCTGTGGGCCTATGACATCCGGAAGGGCTGGGAGGTTGTCAATGGCAAGAAAGTTGAGGCCCACGTCGGTCGGCTTGATTTCTTTTCTGGCTTCAATTCCCCACCGCTCCCATTTAAAGCAGCATTCATTCCTAGAGACTCCAAGGTGTCGGAGATTCTGCGTACGGAGTTTTCTGAGGCCGAGCGCAGTACCGAGGAGATTTTGGAGGAGATTTTGCAGGCACAGCGCGTGATGAAGGAGGGAAACTAAATCTATTCCGTCAGCCTACTTGCTATCCTTGCAAGCGACCACTTGAGATATAACAGCGCTGCGGCGATGTGGGAAGTGGAAAAGGAAAGCAATGTCTTCAACAGAATCAAATTGTGGGCTTGGTCTTGACGGAGGACGTGACTATCCAAGGATCTCACACTAAGATATCAACTATCCGACGTTATGTGTGAGGCAGCCTGCTACTATTAATTTTCTTTTGTCCTTTAGTTTGCACTGCTATCGGGAAGGCAGCCGGAATGGGCCAAATTCGACAAAGGCGTTTCTATGTACTTAGGTTCTTAACATATGTATATATGTGAATTATAGATTAACGCCGATGGACCCCCTCTTATAATTCAAGGCTACTCTAAGGCTGCTATGGTCTGGCAACACGTAGCATGTTCTCACAGTATCCCTGTGCCTTGTGCTGTAGTTAGTCGTTCGGGGATGTAGTATTAATTGACCAATCGCATCATATTAATGTACAGACAACTAACCCTATCCATCTAAGCATATATATTATATTGGCTCCCTTTCATTCGGTGACCTGCGGAGACTATGTATGGCCTCGTCGCCAGCCCATTTTGAACAGCGGACTATCCATGATCGTACTCTTGTCCCTAGCTTTGATGGCCTGCTCCAACGATAGAGCAACCTCTGTCGCGCCTCTTGGTCTCATTTCGCCTTCGTAAGCCGTTATCAAGTGAGCGAGTGTATTCTTCCTCGATACGATACCCTGGATAGCGTCCACCAGGTCACTGGCGTCTCTCATGGCGTGGTTGAGGCCTTGGCCACGTTCTATTTACGAGATTAGCTATCCTAGCTCTCGCATGAAAGAGGGGAAATCTTGACACGGAGATGGATACACATACGAGGAACCATGGAATGGGCTGCATCGCCCGCCAACGTAACCCGTCCATCGTGGTTATCCCACGCCATCGTCGGCGCCCACTGCTGCCCGGCATATACTGGGACAACCTCTCTCTCGGCCAACTTGAGGGCACCCGTTCGGAAGGGCTCGCACAACGACGCCGTCCAGGTACGGTAAAAATCCATGCGAGTGTCTGGATCTTGCAAATCTTCAGCATAAGGCGGTCCCCACCAGCCGATGTAGTTCTGGAACTTCCACGTTGTCGCGTCGTCCGGGTCTGGAATATCTAGAACTGTCCATGGAATTAATACCACCACTTCAGCAAAACAAAAGTAGGTAGCACGCTTTGTCTCACCAGCCAGCATTGCGTTCCCAGGCCTTTCGGGATGAGACGCAATCTTAAAAACGGGGTGCAGCGTCTGCAGCAGATGTGCCTCCTCGGCAGTATATCCGCTTTTCGGGAAATTCATCATCGTGAGACCGACGGGCTCCAGCTGAGCGGCGTCGTAACCGGTGAGAAATTCGCGCACCTTGGAGTGCGACCCGTCGCATCCGATGACCAAATTCCCCGTCTCTTGAGTGCCGTCGCGAAATAATACGCGCACGGCATCGCCCTCGACGACGACGTTTTCGAAACATCTTTCAAACTAGTGAATTTTGGCTACCAGCTCTGATGCAAGGAATTTGGTCAGACATACCTGTACGTTGAGATTCTCTCCTTGTGTCAAGAAGCGACGCAGTTTCATTCGTGATACGCGGTTCGTACCTTCAAGTGGAAACTCGGCAATCAATTGGCCAGTCAAGGCATTTAAAAAGGGGACTGGAGCCGAACATGCCGACGGATCACCATGGGGATCGCAACGGATGTCGCTGATGCGCGCACGAAGATGTGCGGGGAGTACCTTTTCCAAATACTCGGTACCCCAGTGGAGTAACATGCCTAATAAATTGATCAGAATATCGGGAAGAAGTAGTTAGAGGGGTATAGATGCCCACCCCAGTCCCGCGGACGGTTGTAATAGTCATTCTCACGGTCTCGCTCGAAGACAGCGTAGTCAATATCAGCCTGGTCAGTACCCGGTCAGCGTCGTCTATGGACAAGGCGGTTTGCTGTACCTTTTTCAAGCCGGTAGCAATTGCAAGGCCGCAGTTACCTGCAATTGGTCTTAGTTAGGGTTTGAAGAGTTGTGTAAACAAAAATTTACCTCCACCAATGATAAGAACTTTGAAGTTGTTAGACACAATCTTCGACTCTTTGGTGGCCTCCATGGCTAACGGTAAATAAAAGATATCTATTATGTGTTGAATAATATACTATAGAATAATATACTATAGAATAGTATACTATAGAATAGTATACTAAACAGCATGTAAAATCCGAGGTGGATCTTTCACAGAAAGAGGAATACTTTGTAGTATAGAAATGGAGTAATAAAACTGTCTAATCTCTTCATATCTGGAAGCCAAGCCATACTTATGGCTTCACTTCCACCCCTGCAGATCCATCTAGTTACTCCTCATTATGAACATGCCTTTTGAGATCAGAGGGAAGATTAAACGAGCGGTGAGAGGCTTAATCGCTGGGTTCTCCCATATTCCATGGTTATGAAATGGTTATGAAGAAGGCAACCATTTGGCTGACAGTAAGCTGAATTGAAATCTCACTCCTCGACGCCACTAATCTCGATTCTGTACAAGTTCTGAGTTCTCGGTATGCAAGAAACTGGTGTATGCAGAACCATGAGCGAGTGATGACTGCACAGTGGCGTATGGATATAATCAGTCAGGATCCGAAACCAGGTTAATTATGGAGAATTAATTTGACTTTTCAACACTGTTTGTTGGACTTCTGAACTATTAGATTACGAATGTTATTAAGGTTCAATCATGGAGTAGTCAGGAATGAAATTTTACGTTCATTCTAATCCAGACCAATTTGACTCGGGTTCCAGTCCCCGCCATACGGGCAAATACACTTGAGCCTCTCAACCGAAGTATTGTCCGTATATGAATACAGTGTAGGATACAGGCAGGGACTAATTTTATTCTCAACTAGGGCTTGTGACGGGATCTATGTACAGGATTCAAGATTCGACATATTAACATCCTTGCAGCACGTTCCACAGACATAGATCGAGTCAGCGCATCAACACAGTCCATCGCAGAGTTTCTCTATATCCGTCTGATTGTAGACGCAATATCCACATCACCCATATCTGTAATCCCCCAAAGCTTATCGGGCAGAGGCGTTGGCGCTTCCACATGCGGCTGGATGCGCCGGGAGGCCTCCAGGAATCTTGCGCGGATTTCACTCCAGCTGAGCGTGGTATTGACCAACTGAAAATCTCGTTTTCGAAACCGCCCATCCACCAAGACGTGCTCAATGTCCCCTGGGTGAGCATGGAGCATAACAGCCGCAACAGGGTTTCTCCATCCGAGCATATTCGGCGAGTCTCCATTGAAAACGACGAGATCTGCCTTGGCCCCAACCTGCAGCACTCCGATATCTGGGCGTCGTAGGGCACGGCCGCCCTGACGTGTTGCAAGAAGGAAGGCCTGCTCTACAGCCATGGGGTTCTTGTTGGGCAGTACGCCACTGTCCAATGTCTTTTGGTAGTTCCGGCTCCGGACTGTCTGTAGCCAGAGACGTGATTGGCTAAGAATGTCACCCGAAAAGGTCCAGTTCGTGTCAACCCCGAGAGAGGCCTGGTCGGAGATCATATGGCCGGTTTTCTGGCCATGACCGTAGTGACATTCAGATTCCGGGGTGATAGAGATGAAGAGATCATGTTGGCGCAATGCACACATGTCCTCATCCGTGAGGAAGGGCGCATGGGAGAAGACAATGGGAATGCCTATATTTTGGAAGCCACGGGCACAGAGCAAGGTTGGCGCAGTATTGCCCTCTGGTTAGAGTTAAGGTTAGCTCGGCCAATTTGCATGATTATTGGTGAAAGATCATTTACGTGGCCAAGGTCCTCCCATATGGTGCATCGTGATTGCCTCCAACTTCAGATGATTGATCATGTGTCTCAGATGCGTGAGCTTTTCCTCAGAGCCAGTGAGACAAGACCCTGCAAGTCCATCGAGGGATAGGCCTAGCTTCACGTATGACTGTGTCGCCTTGGATGTCAGTCGGCCCAGAAGCTGCCACTGCTCCTCCGCTGTAAAATCATCTCGGGGAGCAACGTCGTAGCACCACCAGATCCTAGCACCACTGTCAACAGCAGCGTCAAATCCGGGCTCTACGACATCTCGGCTCCAGTTATTGTGAGCATGCTCTAGATAGGTTGTGACACCCGCATTGAGTCCCTCGAGGTACCCTTCCAGACAGCTGATGTAGATATCCTCTGGTGTAAAGGTATTAGTAGCATTGGCTGACATTTGGCTGAGCCAGTCAAAGTACTGCGCTAGCACGATATCTGGTCCTATGCTCCGGTAGACGGACTGCCACATGTGCACGTGTGTGTTCACGAAGCCAGGAGACACAATTTTGCCCTCAACATTGATAATATCTGCATCTGGGGGAGCGCGTAGCTCCTCAAAGCTCTCCGCAATAGCGGCAATGCGATCGTCGATGATTAAGACGGACGCTCGGCGCAATACCTGGACGGCCTGGGTGGAGTCATCGAAGGTCAGCAATGTGCCATCTTTCAGCACAGTCGCTGACATTATGTCGTAGTCGGCTTTAATACTGGTATTGCAGCTATGGACGTGAAATAGGATACGTTTTTAAATCTCGATATCGACGCCCGCGCTCTCGGCATCCGGTTGTCTCCACTCCGGAACCCGGACTCCATCACAACCACACGCCCATATAGCTCCCCTATGTCAACAAATAAATAGAGATTATAGGTTCCTTAACAGGCAGCTACCGGACCCTATCTAAGATCGTGAGTAATCGGCTTCTCTGTGCACCCGGATATAGACCGATGATAGCACATAGTAAGAAAGCAACTCCGACAATATTCAACATGACCAAACAGCCTGTCTTGATACCCACTGCCTCCCTACACGGGAAAGTCGCCCTTGTCACAGGCGGCAGTCGCGGCATTGGCCGAGGATGCGCCATCGACCTGGCCAAGCGCGGATGTAGCGTTGTGGTCAACTACGCGCACAGCAAGGAGGTTGCTGAAGAGGTAGTGCGGGCGATCGAGGCGACCGGCACCAGTGCTCGGGGAATAAGTATACAAGCGGACGTCACAAAGGTATCAGAAATTGAGCGATTATTTCAAGAGTCCAAGAGAGAGATGGGCAAGATCGACATCGTGTTAAGCAACAGCGGAATCGAGTCATTCGAGAAGACGGAAGACGTGACGGAGGAGCAGTTCGACCGCGTGTTTGGTATCAATGCACGCGCGCAGTTCTTCGTCGGCCAGGCAGCCTGGAAGCACGTTGAAGACAATGGTCGACTGATCTTAATGAGCTCAATCTCGGCGGGCTCGATAGGGATCAAAAACCATGCGTTGTATAATGCGTCAAAAAGTGCCGTCATTGGTATGGTCAAGGCTTTTGCCACGGACTTTGGTTCCCGCGGAATCACGGTGAACGGGCTTGCACCGGGAGGTGTGAAGTCGGACATGTTCACAGAGAATGCATGGCGCTACATCCCTGGCGGCAGTCCCGACTGGCCAGCAGAAAAGGTGGAAAGCATGGTCGCCGGCGCTTGCCTCTTGAAGCGATGCGCTGTACCTGAGGATATCGCCCGAGTCGTGGGCTTCCTGGCATCGGAGGATGGGGGTTGGGTTAACGGTGAGTTGGCACGCAGAACTCTCATAGCTGACTCCCGGCTGACTTCATATTTTAGGGGAGGTGATCACCATTTCAGGGGGATTCAAGTGATTTAGCGAATGTGTGTAGGTGTGTAGGTGTGTATATTATACGCGCTATGTCTGGTGAATTTGATGTGCACTGTGTTGGGGTCAAATGACCCCGGATGCTTCCAACTTTGAAGCTGCTGAGGGGCATAACTCTTTCTTCCTTCCATATATCTCTATCGAATGCCATTTTTTCCCTTCCCCACCCCCACACCTTATCCTACGGATTCTGTAGGCTTGGTCCGTCTGACAGAGCTAGATCATGATGGAGCATGCTCCCTATATTAAGGGAATGGATACACGGTTGCAATTTGTAGATCTTTATTGTGCTAACAGTGGGTGATATTGGTATGAGGGGAACCAAAAGAGCATCGTCTGGCTATCTACAAACAGATGATGACCCATCAACAACAATGACGTACTCCGCAAAGGTCTAACACACTCAGCTGGCACTTGACAAAGGTAACGATGTCTCTAATTCAATTCAATATTTATCACGGTCATTATCATATCAAATGAAAAGGCATTTCCTCTGCCAGAAGTGTGGACAGTGGACTTGGTGCATTCTTACGGGCGGACCTCTCCGACCCTTCGTCGGTGCGTTGGCGTTTCAGTGAACCCTGGCGCTCGGTGGTGCATGAGTCCCATTGCATCTGATCTGGGCAGTTAGGCAAGTCATCGGCGGACAAGATGTGCGTGAACCCGTCTGATGAGGTGCCGATATGTTCCAAGTCCGCCGTGTCTGGCGGCGTGGCGGGCCCAAATGAGGACGGCATGGATAGCCAACTCTCCCAAGAGATAGATGTGCTACCTTCTGGTGTCTGCCAATAAGCCATATTAGACAGCTCTTCGGTAGAAATGCTGTGGTTGATGGGTGGGCGGATGGATAAGCTTTGCAATGGCGAATGAGATGCCCGAGGGTCGGGCATGGACACTGACGGCTGGTCCACCCCTTTCTCCATTGATGGGTCGGTTTTCAACCGATCCAGAATGTCCAGTAATCGATCAAAGATTACAGACACCACGCGGTGGTAACTATTATGCTGCATTCGTGAGGTCCGTTCACGATAGCAAACAGACGCCTTCCGCAGAAGTTCCAAATCTGAAAGGGATTTCATCCCCGAGTCACCCTCTGATGGATGCAACAGACTTTCGAAGATGATAGATAATGCTGGGATTGAGAAGGAGTCGAGGATGTTGCCGAATGGAATGTCACTGCCCATTATTGGAGGAAAGACACTCTGTGCCTGTGTGTGACTATTCAAGGCACAGAAAGCCTCTATAAGTTCAGCGGAGCGATCGCCATGGATTACTAACAAAAGGATACAGCTGGTGCGTGCATCGCATTGAACCTGTTGAATATGCCGTGGCTCTGATCCATGCTGCAGAGCTAGAATCCGAGTGGCCAGGAACTCCAGCTGCAACTGAGCGCCACGCGCAGACTCGGGCAGCCGGCAGTCCGCGATGCCAGAAATGCGTGCGTATTCGTCAAGCTTCTTCTCGATTGGTTTAAGTGCAGACTGAAGCTTTCGGCTAAACCGCTGACGACGACCGGTGCCCTCATGGGACATCCGGTAGATGTCATCCTGGATAACGGCTAATCGCAGTCGGTCGGCATATGGTGCCTGGTGCTCCAAGGCTACGGAAATCTCTGAGTTGATGTTGGAGTCGTAGCTGGGGAGCCAGGCGACGGATCCTCGTGTTGTGCATAAACTTTTGTCCCATGTATACAAAGACCGGAGAACCTTGGCCCGCTCTATCGCCTCGTCGTTACTGGACTCAGAAGGTAGAATTCCAGTATGATGAAGGCCCATCGTTCTTGCTAGCATACAAGCCTGGGCCAGGATCAGATCACTCCACCCGGATGGATCGAGTTGCTGCGCCGCGACACTCTAACACCTGTTAGCAGAAAGTACACCAGTGGATCATTCGAAGGTGACGGAGATTCACACCAAAAGTATCAAGGTCTGTACATTGATGAGCCGGGGTGTCGTTAGCAGACGCGAACTGACCAGAGCCGCACGACTAGGGAGCAGGGAGCGGGCAAAGTCGCCAACCAGCGCGGTGGGCGCTTGGGTAGATATTTCCATCCCGAGTACGAGCAGCGTGATAACATTGAAGCAGACTGCCCATGCCTCGTCACCTGGTTGTTGTGGCTGTGAGTAAACCCTTTCGAGATTGCCCATCAAGCTTTGCGGAACAAAGATGTCGGTGGTACAGTCGACATGTTGGATGAAATGCCCCACGGCGGTGACAGCCTGCTTTTGGGGCAAAAGCTTGATTAGTGGGTTGTCGCTGAAAGGAGGAAAAGGTTCTGTTGAGCCAGCAATGTCACATATATTCTGAAGAATGTCCCGTAAGGTACCCGAGACATTTATACTACTAGTAGCTAGGGCCTGTATTCGAAAACGGCTGCAAAGGACAAAGAGAGACGAGCGTCCGTGATATCGGTCGACCATATCCGAATGGTTCCGCGAGATCTGTAAGTCAGGCATATCCATGTCGGGCAAGGAACGAAGACTGTCTAACGCGAGGTCGTCGTCGCCGTTGTCGCTTATGTCTCTGTCATTGCCTTCAGTGGCGCGGTCACCAATACTGTTTGAGCCACGGGAGGATGATGGGGTTAAAAAGGCAACTTCTGAGGTTAGTCCAGAATTGAGGCCATTAGAAAGGCGTCCAAGGTGGGACTCGATGGTTTGTAACCGCTCCTGGAGGATCTCAACGCTATCGCATCTAAGGGAAGTCAGCAGGTATGAACGATACGTGGTCGCAGAAGGCGATAAAGCCCACAGTAATTTAAGATGGTTGACTCTCTTGACTGGATTCTGGTAGACACAGGTCACTCCATCTTCTCGATCGCAATTACTGCATTGCGGACGCTCGCGGCCACAGCGGATCTTCCGCTCTCGGCAGCGAGTGCATGCCAGGTCTGGGGTGCAGTCGGAGCGATTCTGCACATTGAGATTAGCAATCTCGCGGCTTTATGGGAGTAGCAGTGGCCCAAGCATGGTTAATCCGTACTTGCTTGTCAATAGTAGACATCTCCAGAGATTGCGTTGAAGGGGCCTGAACCAAATTCAATCTTGACCTTTGGATCCCGGTTTATAAATGCGAGAGGATGTATCGCCAGTCAGCAGAGTATTAAAGATCCTAGTGAATTCTCAATAATTCACATTGCTCTAATAACGCTAGTCCTAATTTATTCCTCACCTACGCCAGCCCACTTAACCCACATAATGCTTACACGCCCTTTCGTACTACTACAGAAGTGAGACTAGCATCGATGCAGTTCGACACCTCAGCCACCAATTCCTACATACAAACCGCATCATATTATATTGTACGAAATCATTTCAATTCGGGCTGCTTTGAGTGAACAGAATCTATAAGATCCTAGCACTTTTATTAATTTAGTCCTAACAGAGCAAGGTTGTTTTTGAACTAGAGGTTCTCTTCCGCCTTAATTTAATGGATTGGAATATAGTTTAAGCACAACATCTTACAGAGTAGTACTACCTACCCCCTACCGCAATGGCATTCTAGGCGCCTGGAGGTCGGGGCTTTTAATTGGAGGCGCTCTCCCGTCAGCTCAATAGTGGGGAGTGGACCCTCATACCTCTAAAATAATAAATCTCTTAATTTAGAGGGCAATATCTACTACTAAGACAATTTATTCCATGCTTTCTCCTAGGCTTTGATAGATATTTTATACCCGTAACATTAAACACCTTTCGTTAATAGTGGCATGGGTGATAAAGGGCTTTGTCTTCTTGACAAATGTGTTTTAAGTCATGCATTACTATTACAAGCTAGTGGTTTATTCGAAGAAGCAAATAAAGATCAGGACCAAAACTTTTGAGACAGATCTGCGTACTATTCCTATGGTATCAAATCGATCTGCGAACGATTCTTTTACATGATGCATAGTATACACTGTAATATGCAATACACAGGGCTTGTGGTGGAAACCATGTGAACCATTGCGAATTCCTTCAATGAACATTCCCCATTCAAAGTCAATTTCCCATTGTTTCGAAGGGCATGAAAGGATGACCCTGCAGGTCCAAAGAACACTCCTATAGGTCATACCGGGTGTATCATTTCACTCGCCACCGTGGGTCTATATTGGCCACGTCAACAGCACATATGCAGCAAGACATGGGTCATTAACCTGTCGCTTCCAGACTTCCAGATATATTCATCAATTGATTTATCTTGGAAGTCTTGTCATTTTCATTGGTTTATATTACCCATCCGTTCCTAGTCACGCCATAGTATCCCCCAAGGCTGCGACAGCCGCCCGAGGAAACCCGTTCGAGGCAGGATCAAAGCTAATATAATAGGATTACATTATATATGTCGATCAAAGTTTTTTAAGTTCACAGATAAGGAGCAAACACCCCATGCAGGGTAATGTAATTCAATCCATTTTACATGATGGATTCCCGTCGACAGGGTGCTGATCCTTTGCTTACATCGGTTAATAAAGCCTTTCCGACAGAAGACCGGAGGTGATAATGCCGCACCAATTTTTCGATTTCATCATAGCCGAGTTTACCGGCATCCGGGGGGCATATAGAACGAGGCAAATGCGGCTGAGATGATCCACGGCTCCACGGCTGAGACCCACGGCCGGTAGAAAGGCCGAGCATTTGTCTTGGGCCTTTTTTCGGAAACTTCAGTATTCGTCGTCTATTTGCTTAAATCGGCTCCATCAAAGGACGAATGAGAGAGGCTATGCATATCCTGTACGCCATGAGGTAGAAATGTTCGTTCGATTCTTTTTCCCATTATTCAGCTGTTTCCTATGTACTTTTGACCATCGCCTGTCTGCTTCCTGTAATCTATCGTCGGCAGCTGTCTGTTCCCAACTATTATTGTTAGATTTCCTCTACTTGCCGTACTATAATGCTATAATGCTGTTCATCATTTGGGTATGAAGGCTCTTCCGGACGCCTTCTCCCGTCTTGCTGATACTTCTAATCGGGCTCAGTGGCTGTCTCCATGACTTAAGTCCGCCTTTTTATTCCATCTCCCGTTGTTTTCTCTACTACACTCCCCAGTCATATATACGCTTACTTCATATCTTATGGCTGTTGCCACCACCTCCATTAGTTTGTATACACCTCTTCTACATCACCTTACAATACTATCAGATCTCTTCATGCTCTACTTCTCTCTTTATTCCTACTAGTAACCCCTAGAAGCTGGATTATGCCATGTTTTGTGGTCACAAATTAATCATATCTGACTTGTCGATCATGACAGCAGGTTCTTTTAGCTACCTTGATATATCCCCTCGCCGTCATTATTTAGACACCTCAAGAACTTCGTGCTTAGATGGCATATTGCTAATGATACACTGTTCAGCCTTGAAGCGGTGGGGAAATATTACTCGTCTCATTATGCACAAGGTGTAAAAGTCAATCTGCACCGTCCTCAGCTCTCAAGTTCAATTTGCTACTGTATGTTGTAGGTAGTCGCCGGACCCTGCCGCTAAATCAGATTCCCGTATTTAATGCAGCTACTATTCTGCGCCCTGCATAAATTTGGGTAACATGATTTTTTCTTCCGCATTAGCGCCCCTCACCTGAAACGACTTGCGCTATTATCTTATCTTTGTTCAATATTACTGGCCTGCTAAATGTTTTCACTTCGGCAGGCCCCTGTACTACCAAGCCATATACCAACCATATTTATAGGACCTGTCCAGGCTACAGGACAATATCATCTTGCCTACCACAGAAAAGCTGTTTATTCCACTATCGCTACCAATTTATCATGTAGAAGGTTCACATTTTCCTTCAAAAATTAGTGGTCTGCCAAATTGAATGAACCTCAATTCTGCAGAGAGTAGTCTCCGGATGACAGCTTTCTCTTAGTACGGTGTACGTTTCTGACGTGCAGCAATATCCATTATTTCAATGATCTACATCGTATTATTTTTCTGAACTGAATCGGCAATTAAGTAAGCTAGATGCTTTTACGTCAACGGTGAAAATAGATAGAACGAAATACGAGTGATTCACAGATAGCCATAACTACGATAACATGTTCTAGACTGCTCTTTTTGGTTCACGTGTGTACTGGGATGCGTGGGTCTCTGTTTTGCAAAAATGAGATAAAATATCTTACTGTAGTCCCGTAAAAAGTGCGCACATGAGGGGGTTTGCTGTAGCTCTAAGGTGAGATTATGTCACTGTATGCGTTCCTAAAGGTAAAAACTTTTGCGATACATAGCTGAAATAATTTCGGACAAGCCGATAGGGACACGTAGAAGTCTTCGATCCGATCTTGTCGGCCTGGTAATTGCATAGCAAGTAAGCATATCGACGTCATTGGATACCCAGGTCCATCATGAATGACTAAGTCATGATGCGATCGTGCAGATTAGCTGGAAATCTTTCAAGACCAAACCTAGACGAGTCGGACGGCCACTGATGAGACAAAGTTGACAGCATTTTAGTGTGAACACTTTCATGTTGACTAAAGACGGTACTACACCACGGGGGCAGCCTAATGTCTGAAATTGGAATGAAGTTACAACAGACTTTGATCTATTGAACTTTCTTTTCGGCAATTAGGGCTGACCTTTTTTCTATGAGAAAACGTGTATAAGCGGGAATTGTTTCCGAACCGCCGATGCGAATCCTCACGGCGGGACCCGCACCTCCTAACAAAGGGAACGGCAACGGGCCACCCCGCAAGGCAACTTTGAACCTTGAAACGACCACCATATTTAAACTCACTCGCCTTAGCGATGAGCACGCTATCGCATATCACCCAAACGCTAAGATCACGGGTACTAGAGATCTAAGGGAAGCGTTATGAACCACCAAATATGGTGCTGAAAGGCCTGGCCGCACTCTACGATCTCTATCAATTGGATTTCCACCCAATTCTCTTGTCATTCGAAGCATGACCATGGTGAGTGCAACGAGTTTTCTAGTATTGGTTTGGCCGCTTTGTTCACTTTTTTTTCACCGCGGCAATGTCGCCCTTTACCCCTAGTGTTGAAATGACACCCCTCCTATGGTAAGCAAGAGCGAGCTTGGACGTCTGGGGTACCCATAGCTGATGTGCAATATCCTCTAGCGCTAGGGCTTTCTGAATAGTTCGAGTTTTAATAAGGATGTGCACAGTCAATCGACTATGAGCGTGGAAGGGGGTCTGCGGATACTAGAAATGAGGGATTAATAGAAACGCTCGGACTGGACTGATGTTTTTTGAAAGCAAGCAGCGATCAAAGGTGGCTCGAAGTTGCTCATCTGAGACAGATAAAGACAAATCTCCCTCTGTGATGGATCCCATTCTATTCCCCAGGAGGTGCAAAAGCGCAAGCTCGTAAATAATCACGATATGCCAGGAACGCCTGAAAGGCATCGTGATAAGTTGAAAACATCTCTCCTCAGCCCTGTCTCATGTTCTTCTTCAAACAGTGATAGGATTTTCTGACGGCAATATAGAATGCAGCAGGGTTTGAATATCATTTGGAGCGACGAGGTAGAACGTTCGATTACAACATTTGAGGGCTCACCTAATTTGAACCTGGCGCGACCGTGAGAAAAGCGGCCTGAGTTGACCTAGGATGCCCAGATTATATCATGTGACTCCTATATAGCTTGATGTCGAATACCAACGCCAGTTTTCTGTCACTTGATTCCAAGGTTGATCACACGGGGGCAGTGCCACGTCCCGAGGTCCCCAGGTGTACTTAAGTAACCCCCCGCCCCCGCTGGACTTGGGAATTGTTTGTGTTCCCCCTACACATTCTATACATCTCCGAGTCTCACGCTCATCACCTGGCTAGCCATCGTGACAGCACCTTTTTGAGTAGCTATTTTGTGTTCAGAATTCACGCACCAGTTAATCCACAGCATCACGACTTATTAAATTTCGTTTATATCATTGTGGTTTTCTCCTCATCGCTTTCTTCCTACTTTCTCTTCAACCCAACAGCAATTTTGTTGTATGTATAGCAGCCCCACCGCCCCTCTATTAGATGTTAGTTCATGTCTTTTAGATATCACTTCCACAGAACATCAGCTATGAGCGATTCATTCATTGTCGTGGCCGCATGTGGCAGCTGTGGTATACAATCAACCTTGGCGATAAGTGCAGGAACAGTATCAGCAGCCGAAGCCGCTGCTATTGGAATGAGCTGCACCTCATGTGTTGCTGGGATCTTCGACCGTGTCGTATCCGCATTCCGAGGGTCGGAGAAGTGACGAGCAAGATGATTCGCGACTTTGTTCCCAAGAGTGGGGAAATGCTTGGTCATATGTAACCCTTGTAACTATCTTGAGTGGATTGGTCAACCTACACAAATACGAATCGAAGCTGCTGTAAGCACTGCCTGCATATGCCATGGCCAATCGCTCTTTGGGCCAAGGTATCGGCATTACCCTACCGACGTAGATCAACGATCAACCATAAAGAAGAGAAGAGCGTATTCAAATTACAACGACGGTTTTAATTTACCATAAACACGAAACCAGACGCAACCGAGAAGGAAATCAATTCTGTATCCAGGTTGGGCACCATTGTAGTCCCTAAACTGTTCGTCACGTTGCTACGGTCAATCACAGAAATTTCTACACCATCACAAGGACAAGAATTATCCCGTGGGTCATATACTAAGATGGATCTTGAACCACCTAGAGGCATACTCGGATAAATTATTCAAATCAATACTGACAGGATGGTTAGAGGCCCTAGGACCCCCTATTATTGACTTTCTATGGCCAGATGGAATAAAATTCAATAGCGACCATCCTGTCTTAAACATATATCTCCATTTCCCCCCACTATTTCATCTTTCAATTTGTTCTCATCACACTCCAATCACCATCCGCCCAAGACGTCGTCATCTTAAAGGCCTCAATCTTCCACAGTCCACTCTCTTCATCCTTTGCCAAATCAGTATAATACAGTGCCCCAGCGAGTAGGCGCGGCTGGTCAGGCACAAGCCCCTTCCCACCACCGTAATGCTGCGCGAGCGCCGAGGCAGTCGCTGCGGCCTTGACGCCACCGTCGGCGATATTGATACGGATATTGGTGACAAAGTGCGTGGTGTCCAACTTGCTTATCACGTCAAAGCAGTCGGTGTGGATGGCAGGAAGGCCTGAGGAGACCTTGTCGTTGATGGAGAATGTCGCCGTGGAGGTGAAGGCCGAATCGAAGAGGGCTACGTCGTTCGTGTCTAGCCCGAGAACACAGCGATAGATTGCGTCGGCGATGGCCTCGCGGCTGCTCAGTGCGGGGGTCAGGGTTGCGGGGAGGGAGGGGAGGGATGCCATCGTAACGATGGGTGAGATGGTGGTAAGATGGGTTGCGGGAGAGAGAATTGTAGGGAACGCTGGGATATTACTATCGGTAAAGATAAAAGGCAACCTTGGCATTCCATACAGGAAACTATCTAGCGATATATAAACCTCTATCCTCGTTTGTCGTCGTTAATTCCGTTCGACCATTTAATCTCTAAGGATCCATCGGAGTTAAGGCTCACTTCGGATATAAGCTGCAGTCTCATATGCAAGGATTAGTCGTCACAGAGAGGGGTAACGATCGCTCTCGGAGCCAGCATTCATCCAGCGAAAAATCCCATGAAAACCCTGTCTTCTGGTAACCCCATGGTCCCTCCTGTCGTGATACTTGGTTATGATCAAGGGCTCGGAGTCCAGGTGCATCACATCTCCCTCGATCCAACCATTCATGCTTCACCTAGACTGAGATTGAGACCCGTCGGGTCTTGTTGAGTCTTGTTTGTGGGGACTAGAAAGATTCCACTTAATTCCGTAGATAGATCGAAGCGAGAGTCTCTATGACACTGAAAAGGCATCTGTGGAGCAAAACGTTAAGTGGCTTAGCAAGGTATCATGCCATTCAATAACCAAACCACTATCATGCTGGTGATAAATTGGGAATTCTAAATATGAGAGAGGGAGGACGAAAGGTAAGAGAGATGCGGCGCTGGCAGAGACTATACTCATCGCATCTGTTCATGGACTTCCCTCTTCACACGACGTCGGGCGAATAGGCCAAATTATTGGCAAGGGCATCACCAGCACCCATCATACTATTAAAGGGCTTTCTTTTAAAGTCTCATACATCCAATCAAAGCAATATAAACCGCATGGTTCTCCAAGGGTAGATATTCGACGTAGTTCTCTTTCGATTGAATGTAATGTCTATTTGTCGTATATATTCCTAAGCCACTTTGAGAATGATTTTACTATAATACACTTAATTTGGGGAGCATCGTTTGCCAATATCAAGACCTTCAATCGTCTTGAGCTTGTCGTTAAGGGGGAGGCAGAGGAAACCCACTCGACTATTGGCTACACATATCCACACACCGGTAAGTTAGTATTTGGGTGGATGACCACAATTGAGTCCTCGCTTTTATGTGGATTCATTTCTCTTCTGCAGTTTCAAACTCAACCTAGTCTGATCTGAAAGGGCTAACGTTTATTGAAATCAGCTTGGACCTGCCCTAAATCGGCCTATATAGTAATATCAAACTCTCCAGCTAACTAAGAACTATGAAATTCACAATGTTTTATCCAATCCCTAGGTATACTACATATCAAAGGCCCTCCTCTTCACATCTATGCTTTTCGCCATCTTCGTGTAATATTCTATGCCACTATTCATTATCCTTTTCGAAGTTATAACGCTGAGAAGAAAAGCTTCTACAAAAAGGAACATGCGAAACTAATCCCGCAGTATTGTCTTACCTATTAAGCCAGATTAATCGGATTAATCAAGTCCCAGGTCGTTAAGGACAGGAACCTTATACCCGGACGACTACTCCTGTGTTAATAAAGCGTAATATATATGTTCATACCGGGATTATAACTCCTATTTCCAAAGGGATTGTCGGGGATGCTTAAACAAAACGCCACGCAGATTCGATCCACCAAATATATGACACGTTCCCATTGTCACCCATGCAATATGTACAAGACCTGAAAAGCCCCAACCTCGCAATTCAAACCCAATATCTTCTCACGACACAGGCAACTCCCGATATAATGGAAAAAAAGGCAACAACCACCATCAAACTATTCATCGTTGCATGGTCCCCTACGTAATTCAAGGCCCGCCCGTCCGATCCATGCCACGACCTGCCAGCCTTGTGCTGTATCACCGCTCTTGAATATCTATCATCCAACAAGCCCAGAGTGTGCCGAAGGGTGCCGTGTAGCCATGCGTACTTTCGAAATGCCGCCGTCACCATCGTTGGCCCCGTGGACCAAAAGACTTGTAGATACGGTAGGGGGATAAATCGAGACGTCGCACCGCCGCGGCGCTTGCCCTCGTATAGCGCCCAGAGGAGGAATGGAGATTCGCGCTCCGCCATGAAGAAATGGTTGCTTAGCCCGAAGGTCCCCGAAGTTGGAGCGAATATGGCCTCGAGATTGAGACTTTGGAGGCATTGTATTTGGGCGGCCGAGTTCGGGTAAACGTCGAGGTCTGCGTATATTCCTCCCTCTGCATGGATGACAAGCAGTCTAGCTATGTCGGCACGTTGTATATTCTGGGGATAGGCTTTGTACGTCGATAAGAACCAAGCATACTTTTCATTGATGAGTTGGAGGATGTGGTCGTCTGTCCATAGTTTGATTGTATAGTTTAGGGGCTCAAGTTCTTGCTTCCACTGGTCGTGCGATGCTTTCATTTGCGTAGAGTAGGTTCGGAGGTCGGTTGTTTTCCAGATCTGATGAACAACGTTGGGGATTTGTGGGACGGCGATAGAATGAGAGTCGTCAGGGTTTTCAAGGTCAGAGGTAGCGCACGCGGTGATTACGTCCATTGAAGCGGACAGTTCGTCGGGATTGGAAAAGGGGTTTGCGAAGTTGAGCAGATGAACGACAAAGATGAGAAAGAGGGCCAAAACTCCGACAGCCATGAACCTTGCCCGCCCTTTTCCCCACACAATGATCATTATGGCTTGTCGAGTGATATAAGATGGTAGGATTCCAATGCAAAACACCTGAATCTTTAAGGACCGCCAATGAAGCGAAAGAATGACTTGCAATAGGCAAATAGTAGGGTTTGGTAAGAGACTACTCGCTTGTTCAAAAAGGGAATAACAACATGCTGGTATGGAAAGAATAAGGAGTCTGTTCTTATATTTACAGAACGATACTTTACACACTGTATGCGTTAATGGTTGCTCTCAATGGTTTAGAAGAACCACTAGTTCCTGCATAAGGGTTCTAAGATCACTTGGAGAGACATCCTATGCACTCCATACAGTTTCATTGTGAGACAACCATTTAAGAAGCAAATCTGGTTAGATATGCCAGTGCATTTCTCGTTATCATGAGAGCAGGATGTATAATACGAGAACAGGACTCGTAAATCCATAGCAATACGAAATGAGACACTACTCTTGGCGGAGCCCACGACATTTTTTGGCACACTTCTCCGGTTCCATAATTCCGTGATCGGCAGGGTTGCAATGATAAATTAAAAAGGTTGGAGAGTCAAATACTGTTGCCTACCTAATCTTAGCTAGCAAGATAATTCTCCGAAGCTTGAGCTCCCACAGACCGAGCTCATGGCGAGCCCGCTCGTATAGGGACTTACTAAGAAAGTCTAATAGTACATCCATATCTGTTGAAAAATCACCATTGCACCGGACCTTGCTTATAGGTTTAATTGACAGGAGGTAGAGTATCTATGAGCATGAAGTCCCCATAGCGCTTATATAAAGGGAAGTAAAAAAAGATACATCGTCGATACTCCTCTGTCGATAGCCCCAGGCTCCGCTTCTGTGTCGGTTTGTCCAGGATCTGGATCTTTAAACGGCTTCTTCTTCCTTCGTGGTCATCATCATATGCTCTAGTCAGAATAAATACTTTTCTCCGTTTGGCCTCTTCATAGCAGGTGTATATTACTCTTCGCCATGTTGACAGTAGTTTCCCGCCTAGTGTTGGAACGATCCTGCTTTTAGACCGGGACTGCATGTGAAAGGCGGGCTAGTGTATAGTCCAAAATCTAGAAAGGACACAACTCCTGGCAGCTGCAAAAACAGCCTATAGCCACAGTCTAGGGCAAGCGCAAGTACTAAATGCACCAACCTGAACTCGTTATCGAAACGCAATTCCTCGAACCTCCGAGAGCCATACATGGATACGTTTGCGATGAGAACTAACTGGCTTAATTCCAGCATAGTTTCCGCGGTGTTGTAGAAGATCCCAATTGAAATTGTCAATGGCATCTCTTGACCCATATAAAACACGGGAAAAGAAGAACCTTGGAAAAATATTA